ACAAGAAATAGCAATTGCTTTACAAAAAACAACAAAAACTTTCTTTCCAAAACTCGATAAACAAAAAATTTAAATTTAAATTTGAAAATATGACAGATAGGCTAAAGAAACGATTTTTTGTAAGAAACCAGTGCAAATACGAATTGGACATTTCATTTTCAACATAAATATTCAAAAAGCTCCCGGAATAAAACTTCTTTTTGTGTCTGAAATGGCATTGAAAAGGTTTTAAAATAAAATTTAAAAGTGCTATTGCACCTGTTTTGAAATTTTTCGAATTAAGAATTCAAAAAATGACAAAAACTTTGCTTAAAGGTCAAAAAATGGCAAGAACTTTCTTTAAAATATAAAAAATGACAAAAACTGCTTACAGGTCAAAAAATAACAAAAACTTTCTTTACAAAACTAAAAATGGCAAGAACTTTCTTTACAAAACACAAAATGGCAAGAACTTTGTTTACAAAACAAAAAATGGCAAGAACTTTCTTTACAAAACACAAAATGGCAAGAACTTTGTTTACAAAACAAAAAATGGCAAGAACTTTCTTTACAAATTACAAGATGGCAGAAACATACTTTACAAACCGCAAAATGGCAAGAACTTTCTTTACAGTTTAAAAAATGATGAGAAATTTTTTTCCAAAACAAAAAGTAGCAAAAACTTTCCTTACAACAAAAAAAAATGAAAATTGCGTTTTCTTTGAATTGGTTTTCAAATATTCAAAAACGTTTGCTCGTTCTTTATTTTGTGTCTATAGCCATAAAATATTAACCTACATTCCGACTGGTTTTATTAGCATGCATATTGGGTATGTTATGTAAATACGACCAAAAGGCTGTTTGTTATTTTTGATTTAAATTTCCGAGAAAAATTTTTAAAATTTTGACATTATTTACTTAGGGTTTCCTTAAAAATGACCGTTCTCCGTAATAAAAAAGAAAAAGACCAATAGCTAAACATAATTGTCTATGTCCGAAGAATGCAAGAAAAATGTATTTAGTACGAGAAACGTTCAAGTTGTTCCTTTTGATGGCACAAAAAACCACTTCCAACATAAATTTTATTATGTGAAAATTACAATTTTTCAACAAAATTTTATCGTATAACTTGTCTCTCGCAAATAGGTAAAATAAGAAAATCAAAACATTACCCCTCAACAGAGCCGGGCGCAAGGGGGGGGTTACCTCTAGAAAAAAAAATCCGAAAAAAAAGTTGAACGTGGTCCCCCCCCTGTGGATCTTTAGAAAAACCCCAGATCAAAAGTCCCCGCCCGGTCATGCCCCTCAACCCTCTTTCCCTTCCACCGCCACGCCAGCACAAAAATCAACACCCCTTCCCCAAAAAATAGCCCTACCAACCCGCTATACAAGCTTCGAGTCATTATATTCAAAATCGTCCCTTAAATTTCGGACCTTGCGTGACTGGAAAATTAAGATTACAAAATTACTAAAATCTTTCAAATGCCCTCAGGGCTTGAAAATCCGCTAAATTTCGGGAAAACTTTCTCAAATTAGCCATTCAGACGTTGTAAAAGCAATTTCCGCCAACATCTGGCATTTCAGGACAGATTCAAACGTTCTCACTTTTAATGTGACATTTTTTGCTTAAGTATAAGGCTAGAAACTTTAATATGAACCTTAAAATCCTAAAAAATTTTATAAGCCTAAAAACTAAAATGTAAACTTAAAATCCCTAATTTTACCTAAAAATCTATCACAATATAATTTTAGAGCCAAAAATAGCAGTAATAAAAACTTTTATATCAAAAACTAAGATTCAGACATTTTTTGTGACATTTTTAGTAACAATAGAATGCAATCACGTGCATTAGCTTACATAATTTATGTTATTGTCCCGGTTCCGGCAGGGTTTCTTGTTTTGATTTCTCGAAAATAACACTAGACTCTGAGTACAATGTCTTTAATTTGAAAACTTCTTTTCGTGACACTTAGTACTAGGACGGTTTTGGGTGTCAAATATTAGGTCCCAACATAAAGAACCAATGATAAAAAAACCGTGTAACAGAACTTTTTGCGCACGCTGTATTGGGTGCGGACATAAAGAACCCGCCATTTTTTGCAGGAAATTACAGGCAAAATATGGCGGGTTCTTTATGTCGGCACCTAATAGTACCAAGAGAGTAATTTTCTGTTTTGAGAGAAAGTGGGGATAGAGTAGAATTTGGCAACGAAAGATAAATTAAAACTTTAGAAACACCATGTTCAACCCCCCCCGCCGCTCTCTTCACTCAAAAACCAAGACATTAAAACTGAAAAACCCATGCCAAATAAACCTTATTCTAACCGCTCAAATATTTCGAAAAACCAACACATTGACTTTAGAATAAATTATAAATACCAGCTCATTTAAAATACTATATGCACCTAATGACATAAACAAAAATAAAAAAGGAAAACACGACCCAAAAACACAATGTCATAAATATTCAAAAAACACATGCCATCAATGACATTTTTTATCAATACAACCTAAAAATGTCATCAAACCATATAAAAATAACATTATTAGGTCAGTCGGTATAAAATGTCATCATCAGAACAAAAAGACATAAAAAATGTCATAATAAGGTCAAGACATAAAATTTCATCATAAAAAACAAGTAATAAAAAATGTCATAATTGGGTCAAAACATATAAAATGTCATCATAGAGCCAAAAACGGAGTTTGCAATAAAAAATGTCAGAACCGGGCCTAGTACAGTGTAATAAACTATAAAGAACTTCCGAATAAACTAAATTTTGTTCGTTTATAGGTCATTTATGACGTCTACGCTGGGTGGACCTATACTTTAAATAATACTATAAACCTATTTAAATTTAGATCATAAGAGTATTTAAAGACGTAGAGACAAGTGAGAAAACGTGTCATACAAAATTATTATCATCAATACCACGTATAGGCTTAACGTATATCATCCTATGCATAATATAGACATTGTCATTTTTGATTAACAAAAGAATTTAAAATTTATCATCGGACTAAAGATTATATTTTGAGTTTTGATACTAAAATAGCACAATAATGAAATTCTGTTTCCACAGATACAACGTTCTTTTGGATACCCCCCCCCCTTTTTTTATTTAAAATTTTTTATTTCCCCCGTTTTGCAACAAGAAACAGTACACTTTAACGCTAACTATACCACAAGAAGCATATATTATAAAGTACTTACATACTAAACAAATTTCTTCAAAAACTGCCTGCGGAAATAAACGCTTTTGGGTCGTATAACACGTGAAAAACACAATTAGAATAATTAAATCAGCGAAAAATACAACATTATTAAAACAGAACGTTTGAAAAACATAAGAAATAAGAAAACTAAAGACAAAAAATTCTAATTTTAAAAACGTTATTTATAAATTACTATTTATAAAGCTGCAAAATGTCATTTTCTATGCATAGCGATACTAAACTGCCAAATAATTTATAGAAAAAGCAAAAATAAATAAATTTTTAAGAAGAAAAACGTATGTCAAGTAGTTTTCATCACATATTTATGCCAAAACCCGACTAAACACACTCCACAATGTATACAAAAACAAAAAAAATAAATTACAAAAAGCAGCTTCGGATAGGGGCGCAATTTCATCATCCTAATGTACGCTGAACTATGCATGTTCCTCATAAGCCTGTGGCGTGAGCCGAACCAATGACCTTCCCGCAAAAGTCCAACTCACTCGCCACTGAGCCACGCAAACGCTTAACGTTTTCCTCTTATTTTCCCAACAAATCAAAGCGGGAAAGACGAAAATAAATCGAAAGAGTATATTTTTGAGAAAAGTAAACATTATTAGAAATTAAAGCCATTAAAAATGTAAAGATACATGTTTTAATAAAATTTTACAACCAAATGTTAAAATATGGCGCGATTCCCGAAATATTTTAAAATTTTGTTAAAAACTCACGCAAACGTTAAAATGAAATTAAAAACGTAAATTCGTTTCCAGTAATCCATTGTTTTAATATATTTAATTCTAATTTACAACAAGATTAAACTTTAATTTTATAAAAATTATTTTTTACACCACCCCAATATTTTTATTACCTAAAAATTTAATTGCCAATAAGAACTAATAAAAAATAAAAATTTCAAATAAGATATTTGACCAAACGGACCAATGACTTCATTATAATATTGTTGACAACTTTTGTTGTCATCTACAAATGTGGAAATTAATTTAAAATTACTGAAAGAATAATACTTGAGCAGTCAAAAGCTTTCCGAAAGACCAGGATATACGAAATGTGCAGCAGACGATAATATTCAAATTGATAGACAGTATAATTTACTAACATACTATTTTTTAAGTTAAGTTTACTGTAAAAAAGTCCAAAGATAAAAAATAAAATTACAATTTTTTAAAGCACGACCGAGACTTATATGATAAAATCCTAGACACCTACTCAACATAATTTACCTCCCAAAGAGCCACATCATTAGCTTATACTAACAAAAAACAACAATAGTTTTGTATTATATCATAATGTACTTTTAAAAAAACCAACAAATTTTTCAAATTTTAAAAAAATCTTTGATGCCAAGGCAGAACAATCCCTTTCAAAATAAACAACCGTTCACATTGTCATACCCATAAATACAAACTTTACTACGATAAACCCTATGAGGATTGTTTTGTTTATAAATGATAAGTAAGTAACAAATAAGAGAAAAACCGGTTCCCACCAAAATTATCTGCCAATTACTGCTTGAAAATACTTATTACGTTCTTCTGTTAATTGTTTACTGTCGCCATTACTACTATAATTTCCCAACGGTTATGATAGTACGTTGTCCGCATGAGGCGAGCATTATAATATAAAAGAAAAGTGAAAACAAACGTTTTTAGCTTAAAATTTTTTTGAAATTTTAAAATATTTTTAAATATTTTATTGTAGGTATAAAAGAGATGCAAAAACAACGGCGCAATGGCAAAAAAACAAAAAAATTTTTCAACAATGCGCCATTCTTTTTATATCAATATAGTAAATAGAGCAAACTATACCTGAATCGACGATGTTGTCGTTGTATGGTTGATAAAGACCGCAAAGACGCTGAGAATTGAGGAGCTGCTGTGATATCTGGAAAAGTTCATATGATAAGGAATTTAAATTTTAAAATTTCAAAACTTTTCTTTTGATTTTTCGAAACCAGCCAAATGCTAAAAAATTACATTAGACTGCCCAACCATATCAAAAACCAATTTTTCTAAAATAAAAATAAATAAATAAATAAACATACGATCATTGAAAGCCAGTAGAATACCATGATCATGCTGCTTCGCTTTGACCGGCCTCAGCGATTGCTGACCTCGATTATTTCGTCGTTTTGGAGTTTTGACAAAATCAAAACTATTCAAATCAATCGAAGAGCTGCCAACCGAGTTGTCGTTGACCAATTTGGTAGAATCTGCATCTCCGTCGAATTTACGCTGTGATCGTGGAGTCCGTAGCGTCACCAAAGCGGTTTCTTGAAGACCGGTCAGGTTGCATGAAGGTGATGATATTGATGCATGCATAACTAAAAATGTCAATTTTTATTTTTTACCTGGTTTTTACGCGTTAAAATCGTTATCTGTAAGTCAAAATCTAATTTCAATAACTTTTTTAATTCACATTTAAATTAAAACTGCTACCACAACAATTAAAACAAACAGTTATCGAGTATTTGTTCAACTAAATTAACGTTTCAAAAGCTGTGCACAGGTGAAAAATGCGCATAAAACGTGCAAAGATTGGCTTTTTAAGACCTTCGAATACCATACAAATATGCCCTTTATTAAGAATTAAGTTTTCTATCTGTTTTCCACAAAAGTGCAGCTTAAGTGGGTATCGGCCATTGTGCATCACAATATACTCATCACGCCTATTAATTATCAAACCAAAAAACAAAATTTTCTTTATATGAACAAGGACAAATAGTACTGGTATATAAAATAAGTTGAAATGGAACTGAAGTAAGTCGACCATATATTTATGAAGGCAAAGATAAAACTAAGCCCAACCAAAATAGGGCTGATAGAACTAGAGTCCGGCTATGGCATAGCTAACATTTTTGTAAGAGTCAAGTTAAAGCAAAGCCAGATTACCAGATAAGGCAAAAATAATAAAGCAGGCCAAAAACAAAGTTATAAACCCCATTATCTATTTATTCCTAATTGGCATAGCCATATTTTTTTACTAAAAATGTCGTAACTTGATACCGAACGCAATTCCCACCTGTACAACCTTAATTAAAGCCCTTCAAAAACAGCCACACTTGTTTTTAGTGTATTTACAAGTTAAAAAGTAATCTGTTGCCAAACAATTTACCCTTTCATTTCCTTGTTATTTTTCACACGTAAAAAATTACATTTTAATTATCAAAAAATTTAAATATAGAAGTTATAAAACTGGAAAAAATCTTTTTAAAACACAGTAACAACAACCTTCTTCATGGATCTAAAAATGGCAAAAACCTTCGTTCTAAAACAAAAACTTGCAAAAAATTACTTCCACAACCCAAAAATGACAATTTTTATCAATATTGATCAATGTGTTTACCACAAAACCCCACATTCATTTTCCCAACAGCTATTTGCTTTTTATGATTGAGATTTAGTGAATTAAACAGATGTGGCCAAAGAACCTTGCCAAAAAAAAGTTTTAAGCTCAATTTTGTGGACTCTAAAATTTTTGTAGTCGAATTTAACGCAGACTGCACGTAATTCAGTAAATGTTCGAAAATTTTTTTTTATTAATTTGCATTCGTTAACGTGAAAATACAGCTGCGCTTATTAATATCGACGTTTAATTTTGAGTTCATATATATTCTTAAAATATTTCTTAATTCTTGAATATAAAATTTAAAATAAATTAGATGGCCCAGCATCAAAACTAGTAGCTAAAATTTTTAAAACTTTTCAAAATTTTTAAAATTTTTCAAAATTTTAAAAACATTTTCAAAATTTTTACAACAACAAACTAATGTTGAACCCGTTTACCCCACAAACATTTCGCGGCTCGGTCAGCAAACATAGAACGGGCGTTAAACGGCATTTAAAAAACGAGGAAATTCGGGTAAAATTTATGTAAAGTTAGATGAAAACGCATTTGAGATGTGAAATGTAATGGGACAGTCAGATTACTTTTATAGTTTACTTTGCATAATTTATAAATCAAATGGCAAAATAACAATTATAGAGGAAAAACAAATAATAAAAGAAAACATCAAAAGAATACCCTGCCCTATTCTATCCTACGTTTCCTTATCTTAAACTATATCATATTTATTAAATTGTTCACATAATTCGGCGCCTCCATGCCCCACAAATTAGCTTGGAGAAGGGGCGCAGAATTAAGTGAAAAACATAATACCTAACGATGGCCTATACCATATACGAACAGAATTTTGTTCCAGCGAAATCAGACTTATTATTCATTTATTAGAACGAACTAATATCATATTTAAACTCTCATAATACTATTCCTGAACATGTACTAAATTTTAGAGATCAAAATAAACACTTGGTAACACAAATGTTCAAAATATAAAACTCGTTTACTAATCGAATTTCACGAATGAATTAAAAGTTTGGTCAAAACTGACAATTTTTATAATTTCCTGGGATCATAAAGTAAATTGCCATTGAAAAAAATAAAAATTACCTTTATGAGTTGTGTTTCAATGTAAAATTTATTTTAAAATTGTACAAAAAATCGTTAATGGCAAAAAATAACTACAGGTCATTAAATAGGTATTGAAAACTAAAAAATAAACAAAGTTCATGTCAGAAACCAACTTTGTTTTGATTGCCAAACAGCTGTAACGAGCCAAAAAAAATAAACCTCATTTCAAGATAAATTTTATAAATCACAAAAGAAATTAGCTAAAATATAAATACATATGTTAATATTGTCACAAAATAATCCAACCACCTTTACCCTACCCTAAATGCACCCGTGCCCTGCTCGAAAACTCAGAACCCATGTTTATTGTCGTGAAATCACAGACACATCCTCTCGAGCGCTTCAACAATTTTCTCACATTTCAAAAGCACAAATATTTTCCGTGGCTAGCCGAGGTCCATTAATTATTTAGCAGCACTAAACGTAAGTTAAAATCCAGTTTAATTAATGGATAAAACAGTTCGTTTTTAGTATCATAAGGGAATAGGTATGAATAAATATCCAATTTTTGAGTTTTTAAAAGATATGTGCCATTTTTGATGTAGCAAAAAGTTATTAGCATCTTTTTTTTAACACAGAATAAGCAAAAATTTATTTTAAATCCCTTCCTAAAAGTTAAAATATCAAAAATTATTGTGAATACCAACAAAAATCGAAACATTTTCCAAAGAACCGTTAAATTTATGCTATTCACAAAAGTTCGGTCGACTTTTTTTTATTTATCAACCCACGTAACCTGAGTAACCTTTTTTTGGGCCAAAAAACCGAAACAAAATGTGTTTAAAAAACCCCCTCGAAAGAGAAGACAACTTAAGCGGAAGTGCCGGAAATGACCAGTTTAAGTCGTATGCAAATCACCTGCGGCGCGTTTCGAACTGAATTATAGGAACCATGTGGGCAAATTGATATTTATGTATTTCAATTGATGGAAATAAGTTGATAAATTGTTTTGAAATCAGTGTCTTTTAAGATATAGGCTTAGCTTAGGCTTAGCTTAGGCTTAGCTTAGGCTTAGCTTAGGCTTAGCTTAGGCTTAGCTTAGGCTTAGCTTAGGCTTAGCTTAGGCTTAGCTTAGGCTTAGCTTAGGCTTAGCTTAGGCTTAGCTTAGGCTTAGCTTAGGCTTAGCTTAGGCTTAGCTTAGGCTTAGCTTAGGCTTAGCTTAGGCTTAGCTTAGGCTTAGCTTAGGCTTAGCTTAGGCTTAGCTTAGGCTTAGCTTAGGCTTAGCTTAGGCTTAGCTTAGGCTTAGCTTAGGCTTAGGCTAAGAATGACAGTTTATACAAATGTTCTTGGGCTTATATTCTCAAAACTATAGCCGGTAAAAATGGCCTTCTGCCCAAAAATATGCCCATAATATCACACATCATAATAAAGAACATCACGTTAGCCACGGAAAATTGCACAAACACTACGAACTCAATTATACTTTCACTTCTCACTAACCAGAATACTAATTGTACTTGCGTTATTTTTACCTTAAAATTGGATTATAATACAATAAGTTTGCTATTACATTATAGCTACTGCAAAAAGTTATTTTCGGTTAATCTCAATTTTTGACAATTATGACAAGTAAAAAACTGTAAACGTGGAAAAAAAATATTTTACACTTGATAATTTAACCTCCTTAAATTTAAAATGCCGAGGTTATAAAAATTTTTTTTTACTTATCACTTAAAATTCTAAACAATTATATTATTGCTATGGCAGACGAAGATAATGACGTATCTGGTCAAAACTTTTTTATTTGTCGTTCTTAACTATTCAGTTTCCGTAAATAAAGTTTCTGCACGCAATATACTCTTTACAATTAGCCACAAACACATCATAAGACATTTAAATTATGTCGAAAGTAACATATTTACTGTTGGACTAATAACAAAACCAATATTTCTTATTCTCAGCCGATTTTTGTCTTTTTTCAATACACAAGCGACAAAAAAAAATTTTTAAACTCTTTTTGTCACAAGATTATAAAAGATTTTAAAAAGTTTTACAGATAAATTTTTAATAATTAAAATAACATATTACTACAACTTAATTACACCAACATTTATAGACATGCTATAATGTTGCGTGCTTAAGTAATGCCGTACTTCTTGTTACATTTTTGCATTTTAATTATTGACATTTAATTAAAATACGCAAAAATAGTTACAATTACATGTTTCAGTATCTTGTTTACAAGTTTCGCCAGATTTGTCACTTTTTCACCGTAGTAAAATTTAGCTTTCTTTAAAAAAACCTCCCCCAATTTTTGTTTAAAACACGTTTCAAACCCTGTATCTCTTAAAATTAGCCTAACGACCAAAAAACACAATAACAAACATAAAGATTGGCAACAATACAATACATTGTTTCTGGTTCTCATTTTTAATTCTGACTTTTTTCATTTTAAATTTGACACAGTTTTTTAAAAAGTCAAAAAATTTTAATAAAGAAATTTTAATTACATACTGTGCTCTAAATTAATAACTAAAAAATGTAAAAATTAAGTTTTAACTATAAAACAGTTCCTATTAAAAACCAAAAAAGTTTAAAGAAATGAGTCTAGACCAAAAAGTCAAATTCCCATTGAAAAATGCATCTGGGAGATGTAACATTTCCGGCTTAACTTAATAATATTTGGAAGAAAATATGTTCGGAAAATGCACTCGTTTCGTTATTTTATATCACCGAAGTGACAGAATTTCCTTTTTTGAACTAAAAATATAATCTTGATAGAAAAGAGCAAATCTGAAAGACGTTTTGAAGACTACATATAATACTTTGAAAAAAACGCTAAAAAGGTTAAGGACTCAAGGTTTGTACTCTTAGGCTTAATAATCTTGGTTTATAGTAGACTTCTTTTAGTGAACATAGGCTTAAGAAAACTTGACTTATTAGGCTTAAGCTTCGTAATCTTTAAAATGCAGTTACGTACAAAATATTCCAACACTCGCAGTAAAATGTTGGGTCGTTTTACATCGAGGGAAGTATTATATAAATCATAAAAATTACATAATAAATGTTACGCAACAAAATTTTTTGCAATTTCTCTAAGGCTACTTTGTTATGTCATTAACGTTAGGTAATGCCGCAAAAATTTTTATCTATTTTACGTCGCAAAAGCAGCGAAAACTTGACATAGTAACTAGGTTTAGCATATATACCCATACAGTTAGTAAACTAGACTTAATAAGCATACGCTTAGCTAACTTGCAAAGCCGTAGGTTAAGTGCCTAATCTTATTTATATTAAACTTTTATTAGACCTGGTAGTCTTGTAATGACACTTTAACCATAAAAAACCCACTAATAAGGTCAAAGTAACACATATTTTCTGACAAAAATGCAAAACTCAAAAAAAACGTTCAGCTACTTTTACTTTCTCTTCATCTTTTCCAATTTCACGTCTAATTAAATTTTGAATTAATTCGGGCCCAAATTCAACCTGACACCAAACTAAAAACATGCCTTTAGGCAATCAGCTGTTTCACGTTTCGATTTTGATCCGTCATTTTTTAAACTAATAAATTTTGACACTAGGTGAAAAATACGAATCAATTGTATTTTAAGGCTTGATTTTACTTTAAAATTATATTTATTGGTTTCTTAAAATTGCAATACGTTTCGAACTATAATATGTACCCCAAATTTAAAAGTTATTCTACGTCGTACTTCATAATGCGTCAGAGAAATTCAAAACCGTTATAACTAAAAGGACAGTGACTAAAAAATGCAAACAAAAGTGCTATTTGAAACAAGTTCCTATTCACTATGGTTATATTAAAAATACTAAACCTTATGCAAGTATTTTTAAAACTTTAAAAATATTTTAAACTATTTTCTATTTATTTTTTCAGGAAATAAAACAAAAAAGACTCCAATCATCTCAATACAAAAAAGTTTATTCACGTTAAAAAAACAATAAAACTGCCCAAATGAGGTATTAATGCATGACAATACAAGTATATCATTTATTGAGACATCATTTACAACACTTCGCGAACTATTTAAGGAGATTTCTGTTTTCGGACAATTTTTATCATATTCTTGCTAGGTAGTCAAAAATAAAAACATTTACATATGTGCAAAAGTTGTTACTATAGAAGAACATCCTATTCTTGAGTACTTAAATTTTGGAAAATAAAAGAAAGTAAAAAACACATTTTTAATTGACTAAAATCACGTATCAAAATAAAAAATAAATTAAACGAATTAATGTTATAAAAATTTAAACTGTGGTCAAAATATACCAAAATAAAAATTAGAAACTAAGAAATACAAAATTACAAAAATAAAACGCATTGAAATGGGGAGGGGGAGGGGGAGGGGGGGGGGAGGGAGAAAATAAATAAAAAATTACAGAATGGGTGGGGGAGAAGAAGGGGTGAGGTAAAAACCCCTGAATAAAAAGTATTACCTAAACGATTCGTTTGAGAAATACTGTATTATGTTATAAATTCTTCGTTACGAACTCTGAGAGTATTGCACAAACCAGACAGTATAAAAAAATAAAAAAGTAGATTTTAAAACAATCTAAAAAAAATAACATTAAAAAAAGGGGGGGAGGAGCAAAAATAAAAAAAATTAAAGGGGGGGGGGATAGAAAATAAAAGAGGTCAAAAGTAAAAAAGATTTCCCTGAATATTCATCTGTGGATTACTATATTATGGTGCCAAACCATACAGTTATCTACACAAATATGGCTAATGAAGCTAAAAGCTTTAAAAAAGTTTAAAAAAAGTTTTAAAAAGTATAACTAAAGAACAAATTTACATTAAACAGTTTTCGAATTTCACCGTTGGAACTTTTCGAAAAGATTACATTGCTTTAATTAACATGTTACTATGATCAGATATCATTAAACCGATATAGTTCTGCAACTAAAATTTATGCATACATATTAGTATACGAAAAATTCAAAAAAACAGTAATTTTAATTGTGATAAGTAACTGTTAAGCAATGTATCTTCTCAAAACTGTCCAAAATTCGAAGAGGTATATTACATCATGCACAAAAGGTAATAAAATAAAAGTTATAAAAAATACAGTAGATAAAAAACGTGTTTTTAATACTTTTTTAATTTTAAAAACTAGTAAATTCAATATATAAAGAATATAAGCACATCTAAATTTTTGCATAAGAAACTTTTGTTCTCTTAAACAGTTTTAAAAATTTTTTATTTTTACAGCAAGATAAAACTAGTCCGAGAACTCTTGTCAACCCAATGTTAAATTTTAAAGAAAAATTAGTTTACAAAAAACATGCAGTTTTATGACCTACAATTACAAAAACGAATTTTAAAAAAAGCTACAACATTAGTACAAAAAATAAATAAAATTACATGAAATTAAAAATTTTAAAAGATTTTACGCCTCAAAACTAGATCTAAACAAATAAAACCAAATTTTTAAAACATCACGTATTGTCTTCCTGATTCTCCAGATCTGCCATCCCGTTTAGCCTAATGTGTTCTTCTTTGTCGGCCATAAATTGCTCTATGCTTGGTGCTCCATTAACTCTTTTATATGGATCTTCACCTTCATGAAAGAAGAAACATTTCTCACCATAATGACAACGACCTTCTGTTAAAATGGCTTCACAATCTATTGTTTTAAAGTTTTCAGGGAGCTGAAATTTATTTTATAATTTTAAAATTTCTTATTACCTTACTCTACCTTGCCCTTGTGTAAAATATTTGTTTTGATAGACTTACTTCTTTGTCTGTCAATTCCTTTGAACTATGAGCAAAATGACACCTTTCCCGGAATGGACAATGACCATTATTAAAAAAGTTCCGGCACAGCGAATTTTTTTTGAGGTTTTTTGTTGACTTTTGCACTTTTGTTTTTTCCAGAATGATTCGAAACTTCGTTTTGGGTAAATTGCTGATCGGCCATGCTTAAATTTTTGTTAAATCCATTGGGAGGAAATGGTGCACAATTCACATTAGGTGCTGGTCCATTTGAACAAATTGGCATGTCTAGACCATAAATTGGATGCAACATTGGTTGAATAGGCAAGTTGACCTGAGGTTGTTGATAATAAACTGTTCCGTTTTGTACGTAGTTTTGAGGTTGGACAATCTAAAATTTTTAAAAATGAATTTTTAAAAATTTAATTATAAAATTTTTACCACGGTATTATTAAAATGCTTTATCCCACTTTAGTTTTTAAAACTCTGCCCCCACCCTCCCCCCCTAAATTTATAAAAAATAGCTATTTAACCTACCGCTTGTCCGTCCGGCTGCATAACAACATGCTGAGGAACATACGGTAAAAACGGCAAACTTTGGGCGGCATCAATAGGTTCGTTGAAGTTTTTATACTCCATTAAATTGACATTGTTTTGAACAGGCTGATACATTAGTGGCTGAGGAACAATCATAGGCTGAGGTAGGTTTACATGTGGAATATGTTGAAAGGATGACCTGCCTGACGGAGGTAGATAACCAGTTACTGACGAGTTTGCGGATAAGGGTTGATGTACCAATACTGATGAGTTAACAGATGTATTTACTGAAGCAATTGCGGGTACTGATGTATTTGCTAAAGCAGAAGTGACTGATGAATTAACCAAATTAGATTGATGTATATGTAATGGTTGGTTTACCGAAGAAAGTGGCTGCATAGTAGATTGACTGAGTAAAGCAGGTTGAGGAATAGGTATAAGTTGTCGAACAGATTCATGAGGATATGTAAATTGATGATTAGATAGTTGTTGTAGATGAGTAGGTAAATTTTGTAGATGATTAGGTAATCGTTGAAAATGGCAAGGTAGTTGTTGTAATTGATTGGATAAATGTTGAGCAAATTCAGATGGTTGTAGAACTATGCCTTGTCTGAGAGGTTCAGGTGTGTCTAAAGGAGAAGTTTGATAATCAGATATGGACATTTGGCCCGATTCAATAGATACATGTGGATCCGATTCAGTAGCAGGTATTGCCTCAATATACGGTGAGTCGTTAGAGTTTGGGATCGGTTCTACTTCGATTGGATCAGAAACAGCGCCTTGGTTTGAGCTTAAAGGTGGTGCGTTGACAAAATCATTTTGCTTCTGTACAACCGGACGTTCTTTAACTTCTTGCATATTATTAACCACATAATGGTGATGTACGTTGTTCACAACAACGTGTTTTTGTAAGTCGTTTACTAAGACAAATCTATCCTTTTTAACTGTAACTTTTCTTTGGTCGGTTTTAGTCACACTTTGTTGTTGATCTCGTCTGGGGAGCATAAGGTCGTTCACATTATTAATCGTCCCGTTGTTGTGGTTCTGCGTAGCATGTACTGGGAAATTGACTGGTGGGGGTGGTACGGACATGTCAGCTTGATGAGGCGGTACAGGCTGATGAGAATGTCCAGGCATTGATTGCGGAGAATTTCCAAGTCCACGGTTCTGGTAATCAACCTGTTTCTCATTACTGTACTGTCGTCTTTTGGGATGTAGTTGTTGTTGACTATCTTTTGGTATGTAATTTTGTTGAGAAGGAACTCCATATGAAGAAGAAGGTCCTCCGTGGGCTTTGTCATTTCCATTATAATGCAATGTGTTGCCGTTGTAATGTGGTTGATTGTTGTAGACATGAGGCAAAGGTTGATTGTTAAAGTTACCGTGGGACAACACTTCGTTGTTGTACTTAATCTGCGATGAATTCGGAACTAACCCATTACTAACATGCATTGGGTTGATGTAGACATTTTGACGATCGGAATCACCACTTCGATGTGAAAATCGTTGACCGTTGTTGTCCACAAATGGGTTATTTTTAAACAAATTCCCGTTTCGGTTTCGATTTTTTATATCAAACACACCGTTACCGTTAGACCTCTTCTGGCACCCCCCTGGTTCAAGTTGAAGGCTTCCAAGTTTACCAGCAACTTGATCTCCTGGCATCGATTATTAATAATGTACTGAATGGACTGTCGATGGGGACAGCCGGGTGATAACACCACCGGGAGTATGCATAAACTGAGATTCAGCACTCGGAAGAATTGGGTTAATCTGATAGGTTGATATACTGATAAAGTGGCAACGACGATAAAACTAAAGTAAATAGTTTAAGTTTAAGATTAGCAATAGTTTTTTCGTTGAAATACAAAGATGTACGACAATTTAAGACCACGAGAAACTGCTCTTTTAAAATCTACCATACACTTCTTACCCCCCCCCCCCCCTCCCAAACGTTGAAATCCAAACAAAAACGGTTAAAACAACTAAAAATCGAAACTCCTACGACAATACCCGAGTTATGTTTGAAAGTACAACAATGCCCAATTAAGTCTAATACAGCGCTTTTTGTTCGAAAATTACAGAGCCGTAAAGCGGTTTTAAGCACAACATTAATTATAATAGTTACAATTTCAGCATTGAGCTATTTTAAACACTTTTAAGTAAGGTTTTTGTACTAAGTATTCAAAAGTTTCTAAGTACGTCAAAATAATTCTCAATGAATTTAAAAATTACTTATGCGAAAATACACGTAGGTGGACCAAAGCCATTAAAATTTGATAAAACTTTTTAAAATGCTAAAACTTTCTTTAATATAAAATCACTCCCCTCCCCCTCCTCCTCATAGTTTAAAAATTTTGTTTTCTACGTATATTTTTTAAATCAGCCTTTAAACCCAAAACATACTGCCTGACTTTCGTACACATACATATTATTACAACCTTAGTACCAAACGGATTACATTTTTTTGTATTTTCGTTTTTGCTGTACGTGTTAGCGGCTATTTTTCAATTACGTTTTTTTTTCTACACGCAGGGTCAGTCGAATGTTATTGGTAAACAGAAAACAAAGCACACTGTGAAAGTATGTTTCGGCGTTGTTTGCTTCTAAAAGGTCGAACTGGGTTGCACAGGGAGTAATTACTACGGTCAAGAGGTGCCATAGGTATGATTATTTGCGAGTTAAAGATAAAATAAGACTAATAATTGTAATTATGATAATATTAAATGTCAAGTAGCTTTCCAGAAGAACTTTTAACATTATCTGCTAACCCTCCCTTTTCTAAATATTTTTGCATACTCCCAATACATGATAATAAAAAACAAAATATTAACATCAATTGACCAAAAAATATGTTTAGCAAACTTGCAACCCACAAACGCGTTATGTGCAAATCGCCGAATGCACAAGGCCACACGAGACGAAAAGCAAAAAAAGCGCTGCACTGTGTGCAGGGGCGGTTCAGGTATATACGATCTATGAGGGTTAGACGCTGCGCGCCTACGAATCTAGGTCAGGACACAGCAGTGCCAATGCCAATGCATCGCTTATCACGCCACAGTTTAAACAAAAAACACCACGACGTTGCGATTGTTGAACGTAAACTTGGGAATTTGATAACGGTTAATTCTATTTTTAGATAAAGGACGTTTTTACCATATTAGTAGGAATAACTAAGATTGAGCAGTCAAAACTCCACTCCTCCCCTTCCCAAAAGTGTTAACAATTACTATTACTATGCCTAGCACAAAAAACTCCCCTTGACCATAAAAATCCATAAAACTACCGTAGACCCATGCCTTCTTTAATTAACTCAGGTTATTACACTTGTCGCACCTGTAACTCCAACTGGACTTGAGGATAATACGCCGCTTTGTAGTGTATTTAATCCGTTGTCGTGTACAACATCGGCAACTCATTTAGAAGCTCAAATTTCATGCTTGTTAACTACAACACCCGTCAAAGTATGATATCTTACTTGTCGCATATACAAAGTGATACGGTATTAAAATTAACCTCACTTTTTAAAGCAATTAGTTTACTACATATATCTAAAGTTTCCAGTATTTTAAAATTTTTGACATTTTTCGTCATGTCGTTAATGTTTTTTGGCATACCTTTTAATTGGCAGTTAGAACCCATGTCCAGATTAACGTCATTAAAGCGATGTGTCGATAGCCAGAGACAGCTAATGAGACAAAGTGTGGTTTTAACGTGAGGATCCTACTGCGCACTTGAAACATTTTTGAATTTTACAACACACTACCGTAATCCCGTCGGCATTAAAATGAAAATCACCCATCTCACCATCCAATAAAATAAACTTTAAGAAACTTTTAAGACAAAAAAAGCTACGTTTAACTCTACCCCACCCAAAGAAGGACTTATAATCTCGTTCTTGTCAATTCCCCAATAATTATGTCGACAGTCGAAAAGAGGGTTCGCTCCACAATATACGAGTACAAATTTCTTGTGCATAATACGCACGGCCGACAATGCACTAACCAACTGCCAATTTATTTACGGGCAAAATGTCGATTTCGACCGACACAATTATAAAATGCGACCGAATTAACACAAAAATCGTGACTATCGCGTGCTGTATACTATATATACATAAATATGACGATTACGTGTATTAGCAAGATTAATTGCGCGCGTTAATTAAAACGCGGTTTAACAGATTGTTGGCAGTTTTGGTGTGACAGACATGTCCAAAAATAGGGGTTTACCTTTTTTATCAAAAAAAAACACCAATACCTATTCAAATAGCAAATAAAAAAAACCTTTGTACCAGCTTTGCAAATTACTAAAAACCCCAAAACCCCTAGAACTACAAAGTTTATTTCCTAAAGTCAACTCTTATTCATTAGGAATGACGATAAACTACGGCTATTTAATCATCTTTTGGATCGACTTCCTCAGGCTTCTGCTTCAGCTTCGAGACCAAAATCTTTTTGGCGTCGCTCTTAGCTTGGCGATCGTAGCGGTTCTTGGAGTGCACAGTCAACGCCTTTTTCAAAACTTCGACGGCTTCGGAGTTGTTCTTAGTGAGTCTCAAAGCTTCACCAAGATAATAGAGACCAGGAGCAAAGTCGGGCTTCAATTCGTTGGCTTTGCGGAGAACAGTCAAAGCATCTTTGTACTCTTTTTGTTCAATATAAGCGGCTCCTGGAATTATAAAAAATCTATAAACTATATAATCTCTTTTTTATGACGAAAACGAAATTTATGTCATTATAACCATTAAATGTTAAAAATAATATATCTTAATACCTAAAATCAGGGTTCACCCTTAAAAACCCTTTCAAAATTACCCAAAAGTTGAAGAGCATAGTAGTCATTTGGAGCCAGTTCGGTGGCTCTCTTCAAATGAGCCCAAACTTGTTCCTTGGTCTTCTTTGGGTCCTTAACCGCCTTCTTATCAGCGTGCAACAAGCGAGTAGCACTAATAGCATACCACTTGTGAGCTCCGGAAATTCCAGTAGCACCTTCAAGTTGAATAGCCTTGTTGGTGTATTCAACAGCCTTTTTCAACAACTCGACCTTCTTCTTGTGATCGTGTACGTTCTCAGCCTTCTCGGCGTAGGTACGGCCAAGTCTCCACAAAACGTGAGGGTTGTCCAAGTCAGCAACTCTAAAACAACAATTATTGTTATTTTAGGTAACAATATGTTTTAAATTAAAAAATTTAAAACTAAATTAATTATTAGAAAACAATTAAAAATATTTTAAAAATGTTATTATAAACACCCTTTTAACAACTATTTTAACACAAGTTTGTATCCAAGAAGGCTTTTTGTTTTCCATCTAAAATTTAAAAAGAATTAAAAAATCATAACTAACCTGTTAAATACATCTTCAGCAGCGCCCAAAACTTCTTCGGATTCGATGTAGCCGAGTTTGCCCAGCTTTTTCAATGATTCCTCCAGCGAACGGACAGAGTTTTGATACCATTCTGGTTTCTTTCCCAATTGCTTATCGGTCAATGCAACTCCGGCAGCTCCTAACTGAAGAGCACCAGCACCAGCGGCCAATTTGGCAGTGGATTGAAGAACACGTCGGAACATGGCGGTTAAAACACCTAAAATTAAGAAAATTAGCAAAATCTAAGCCTAAACTATTAACCGAACAAATGAACAATATATAAAACAATAAGCTGAACGTATTCTTACAAAGTTTACACAATTTGAAAGCTTAAACTAATTGTGAAAAGGCAGAACGATCCGTTTTACTTTTTTCGTTCAGAGAAAAAGGCTACACAACGAGACGAAACGCCACTATTGAGTTTGACGAAACGTCACAAAAGTATAGAACACTTCTTTAAAAATTCAAACTTGAACGTTTTACTAATTCACAGTATTTTAAAAATATTCTCGAAATTTGAGCGCAAAATTTACACTGTTAAAAAATAATTTTTCGATTTCGCGGTAAACTCTTCACGCAGTAAGTAAAAGTGCATTTATTGAAAAAATCACAAAACCAAAATAAAGTTAAAATTATCATTCATTATGTTATACTTAGATATCAATGTCAATGTTAACGTCCAAATGCTTCGACAGATGACTAACTCGTTTTTGTGGCTGCGCGAATACATTATTTGATGTAGAACTGGGTTTTGGTGTTGTTTTCAGTGATAGTGACGCTGTCCCCGCCGCGGCTATTGTCACTTTTTCATCTGAAAATTTTGCAATTAATAAAAAACAAAATGTGCAAATACACCCCCATATTAGAAAAACACCTAAAGACAAAAATAAAACAACTCAAAACCTTTTTTCAACCTAATAATCAAAATACCGTTTACCTTCTTTAGCCTCCTTCTCAGCCTTTAGCTTCTTAGACACTCCAGCGACAACTTTGGCTCGGCTCGATTTCCTTGTAAATGGATCATCTTCTCGATTTGTGTCAAATTTAAGTTTAGTTGGGTCCAAAAAGTTGTTTCTCATTTTCTCACGGTTCTTCTGGTTAATCCATGTTACACCCGACAATCGGCCGTACCTTTTACGTTCGTCTTCGTTAGCTTGACGGTCGAGTTCATCAATTTCTCCTTGAATCTCACGCAACTTCTCCACATCGTTCACGGCTTCCGCGTCGTGCTGAAAAAAAAGTATAAAATAGGCCATATTTTTATATTATTAAAATTTTATTTATTTGTTTATTGAACTAAATTTAGAAAGTAAACGTTATAAAAAAACAAGTAAAAACTCCATAAACCTCAATAAACGCTTATCTATTCAGCAATCGCAAATATATCCCACAATACCCTGAGGAAGATCCTGACCTAAAAATTCGCTAGTAAACAAAGGCGAGAACCTCATATCGGTAATCCTGATTATCAGATTTTCCTCCTTACAAGCTGCTTTATTTATTTGTTACGGATGCTTATTTTGCGGTATGAGTAAAATCTGTTAAAAAAATTTTTAAATTTTTGATGGTGCACCATGGTGTCATTTAAAATTTTTTATATACATTATTTTTAAGCTAAACCTAATATTTAGCGTGTTTGATGAGAATAAACATTTACTTTCATGTTATTTCTTATTTTTTGATCCTGGTCAGCCCAATCATTCCCATGTTATAATATGAAAACGTTTGCAGGCTTTACCGAAATCTATTGTGACAATTGAATGGAGGCTCCTGGAAGTGCGGAAAGCCCAAAAATGTCAGATCAGTCTTCGTATCGCGTCAAATTGGATAGGTTTTTTCGGTAAGTTAAAACGGGTCAGTTTGAATACTTACTTTTTTATTGTAAACAGCAAACACTATTCTTTATTTTTTGATAAACTGTAAACAATACTCTTTATAAGTAAACCAAAAGAGTGCAGTACACATAATAATGTCTACTGTGACAAATTAAAGCCATCCTAAGGCAGTGGTTTTTACTTATGCAAGAGTGCAACGACACAGTAGACTGCTTTAATATACTGTTTGTAAGACCGAATTGTCTACTCTAATATCTAGCTTAACGTCTAATGCGCCCGTTTACTTTTGAATTGTTTATATGACCTTGATTTAACACATTCTTACAAAAGTAAAAGCCTTTTTTAAATCATGCAACCGTTAACATTTACTCTAAAGGAGGTTATGTTTACAGAGGCTATTTTGAAAATAAACGTTACCAGCTATAGCTTGTATAGTAAATGACTCACTGTCACGTTTATATTATAACTTTTGTTTCAATTGTTTAATCGTAAAATTTGACTTTTCAAATGCATATGGTTTCTAAAGACAACTTTGAGCATTATATTTTGTAAATATTGTTGTGTCTTTGTGACGACATTTTTTCTATTTTAGCGCTGCTTAATTGCCGGAAGTGCAAATATTTTTTAACCACTGCACGTTTCTACCTATTTTTGGTTTACCGCTTCACACCCTCACAATATAAAACGTAGACAGCTTTGCAGGTTTAGTTTGCAACTTTCATATCTCGAATTAATCTGATAAATTTTGGCTAAAAAACCGCTGTACTAAAATTTTAAGTTTTTACGATACTTTAAAAATAGCACAAACGATTTTTTTAAATATAAAAGCCAATTGTTCCTAAACTCCTTGCAGTATCTTATTTTTAGTCTAAAGTATTGTAAATAAAGTTACCACGATCTTCTGTTTTTTTCAAATTATGATTTTTTGTCTTTGCGCATTGCAACTTGAAACCCGGTATATCAAAAGAGCCTCTGTATTGTAAACAAACAAAACTTTTGAGGACTGTAGGAGATCTACGTTCGTTCCTAACCTTGTGTGCTTTATAAATTCTCATCGTTCCTTTTTTCATATGTGGTTTTGTTTATTTTCTGCTCATGCCCGTTGGAGTTGTATAAAAACGGAAATCACTTATAAAAAACAAGTGAACAGGGTGGAAGTAAGTTGGACAATGCCAAGATAAGGGATGTAGGTTCTCAAATCGCAAGTTGTTTCTTTACATCATTTTATTATGTAAACTTGACATTATTTTTGTAACTGATTGTTTTCACTGTATTTTCTCATAACATAATTTTATTATCCTTATATTTTTAGAACTGTTTTAACATTATCTTAATCACTTCCTACGTAAGGCACATATTGTCAAACTTGTTAAAATTTTTAAAAACAAACATCTTCACCCACCTAGGTTTCGTCACACAAAAAATACCGCCGCTGAGTTATAAACCGAATATGAGGGCGCAATAATTATCTCCCTCTTTCCGTTTTCATTCCAGACTTACAAATGATGATTATCGTTTCATTTTTGTACTCGGTAAAAAACGAATAAACCCACAAAATGCGTTTTAAGCCGGTTTCTGCTGACAAAAGCTCTGAAAATCCCAACCTATTTTTTCGGCTTGCTCAATATTATTCTCGTTGGCTGCTCTTGGGTTTTATTGCATTGTCATAGGCTATTAGATTTTGTGACAAAACGTTTTAGTAACAAAAAGTTTACATTTGTGACCAAAAAGTTGCCTGACAAAAAAATTTAGGGTTACATTATACCAATTTCAAAAACAAAGAATATTTAGCTTTTTCACTAAAGTACTGGTCATTTGTGGCTATTTACCATGAGAAACGGTGGGATAATTACTCATTTCAAAAACGGGTAAATTAATAAGCGGGCTTTTTGGCATAGAAAAATCGTTTATAACAGATTTTCATGTAAAAGTTTCTAGGTAAATAAAAAGCTATTTTTTCTCAAACCTTACAGTAAGCTATTATAAGTAAATTGACACGTGATTCCGCCAAATTCCTACTGTATTATTTACTAAATATAATTTAGCCATTAACATCGTCTTATAATCTTACCCCTCCCAAGATCAACGATATTTTAACCCTCCCAACGTCGACTTTTCGTTCGACCGTCCCAGTTTGTATTTGGCGTGTTTGAAATAGCTGGTCAAGATAGCGTCCGACGAACCTAAGCCGTATTTTACACTTAGGATGATAGCATCGTCCAGCCCGCCGCCCGAAGAGAACGTGGATTTAGACCGGTCTCGGCCGGGTAGCACAAAAAGCAACACCAGCCGACCTCCGTCACGACGCGACTCGCAGCCATCCACACCGCCCGAACGTGCGCCTAGCGAGAAAACCGTAGAGCTAATCGAGAGAAGGCCTGAAGCCTCGTAAGTTATGACAAGTGATAAAACATTATTTGCTACCCATTGAGTATGAAAATCATGAAAAAAGGGCCGTCTCATGCTTACACCATATTCAAAAGCTGATTTGTAAAACTTCAACCCCTATATACACTCACCTACAAGCCTTATACAAAAAGCCCTTATACATTTCACCGCGCAAAACACATTTTTCTTTTCTGTTTATTTACAATTCTACTGCATTTTTTCTTCAAATTTACAAATCAACTTTCGGTTAATTAAAGGCAGCAATTAATTGGGCATCTATACAACCCTGCGGGGTAGCTATGTTTACTTTTTTTGATCAAATACATGTTAAAACAGCGATTTAAACTGTTTGCGAGGCCGCAATAGGGTGTAAGGTAAGGCAGCCGGTTTAGCGGTTTCTTGCGCCCGATTATTTTCACTTTTACAGTTCGTTTTCAAACAACTTCACGGTTACAAAACCGTTTTATGTTTTCGTTGTCTTTTTATAATTTGTCAACATTCACTTGCCAAAAATTATTATTTTCCGTTTTTCTCCCAGTAAACCCCACCATAATTGCTATATAGATAAAATATAAGTTTTTCAACCCACAAATAGTCTCTAAGCTTATATTCTCTTCAGAATATACTGCTATACAACTCGAACTCTTTTTCTGATCGGAGCTTCTTAATGCGTACTTTTCGCAATGTTTTTTTTCGGGCTCTTATGGCCAGTACAAGAGGAAAACACTCATTGCGCTGACCGCCTGTATCTGGAAAAAAACATTGTTCAAGTTTACGAAGCGGTCAGAAGTGGATTGGAAGCGGTGAACCGTTTTATCTCTGTCTTGCAAAGTTACTTTTAAAGTTGACAGGCTACTGGAAGACGGCTAATAATTTTTATACTGGTTTAAAACCTCCTGTGCGCAAAAAATTATATACTATTTCAATATTTCCGAGTGATACCTAGTAATTGCACAGCTTGCTAACAGATTAAGACAGAGGAACGCTATAACTGATTCATTCTGTCCTAACTATTTTAACTTAATTTATTATTATTAACCATGAATCTTAAGAAAAGCCGTATATTCAGTCCAAACTCTAATTCTAACGAACCTTCTGTACCAAAATCTACCGTAACACCGGTTCAACCAAAGAACAAAAAGTCTTCGGTTCAAAATCCGGCTTTTTCTTTTTCTGAAACAGAATCGCCTTTGCAAAACCCTGACTATCTTTTCGATTACAGCAGTGTACAACCCGTAACAGCCGAAGGCAAAGGAGATAAGCCCAAATCTGGAAACCAGAAGGCCACCGTTTTGCCAAAGCCAAGTAGCAAAGTTTCACCCTTAGCTACAATGCAGAAAAAGCTCAACTTCATTCCAAAGAACCAAAAGGGTTCGTTGAATACGCAATTTTTCGCCACCGTGCCTGGAGTACTCAAAATTGCTGAAGTAGTAAGCCTAATTTCAAACTTTTGTGAATTTTTCAGACTCGCAAAATACTATATCTTTTAAATTTCAGGTTCTTGGTTTTGTTGCGTTCGTGTTGGCAATTTGCGCTGACCGAAACTCAACTAGCTCTGCTTGGACTGAACATATTACCTTTGAGTCTACCATTATTGCCGGCGTATTCCTTCTCGGATATATAGTATTTCCCCACTTAACCATTGATGATGAAAAGAATAACAATGGTCTTGTTGTCATGGTATGTTGAAACGCTTATAAAATGTTGCAACAAAAACATTTATTTATACCACAAACTTAACACCGAAATTTAGGAGTTAGTGTTCTATGCCGTCAACACTGTCGCCTACTTTATTTCGGTCTGGTTGATGGTCCATCTTTCAGCTAGCTGGAGAGCTGATGGCCGTGGTGCCGCTATTATGGGAGCAGTAAGCACAAATAATTTACCGCACAAAGTTGCCCTTTTCAGTAAAATTTTGTACTGTATATATGCTTTATCATAAAGTCTACGTTTACACCCGCCTATTTTTTAGATCCTGAATGTCGCTCTGACTGTGCTTTTTGGAATCGAGACTTTTATCAAATTCAAGACATTCAAAGGTGAACAAGTTCTCCAGAAGCCATCTGATAAGAAACATTACCCAGCCAATGCTTCGTTGTCCCCTGATCCAGAAAGCGTCTAAATTTTAGCCAAAAAAACAAAAATTTCAATTTTTAAAGCGGACGCTTTTAAATATTGAACATTAAAAATGTAAAAGATAAAAATGCCGAAATTTAATAATTTTTCAAATTGAGATCTAACTCACTTCAAATACTTATATTTTGCCAAATGTCTTATCATTGAGTATGTTAAACGCTAGACTACCTTAATATTGTTTTAGTCATACCAGATTTAAGAAAAATGTCTTAATTTCACGGAAATTTTAAATTTGTCAAACTTTAAAGCTACACTTAAACCTTAAATTTTGTCAAAATTTTTAATTTCTAAACATTTTTCCCTATTAATTATGAATCATAATATCAGGTGTAAAAATAAACATATAACTCTAAAAAATATTGAAATTCCTAAATATTAAATTTAAAAAAATTAACTGTACCTTTGCTTTCATTAGCCTTGATTTTTCGACCGCAAAATTGGTTGGTGTGTTCAAGAAACGCTGCTTTTCTTTGACCATCTAAAAATATAATTAAACATTATAATAGTATACCTCGTTTTACATTACAATACTTTTTTACAGTAAAAAAACTTACAAAATTGATATCATTGTCGCTGAAGTTCCTCTTTGTAGCCTCTTCAATCTCCTTTTTCTTACTTTTGACTTCTTCAACACTTGGAAGTTGTTGATTCTAGAAAAAACCATAATTATATACCTAAATAAAGAATTTCCTGTCGTATCCAAATATGAAGTATACATCCGCAAACTTTTCTTAAAATTACCTTGTCTCGCATTTCTGTTATCCAATGTTTAAATTCGCTGTCCGAGAACTTTTGGTTTGATAAAAACTCCAGACGATACACCCGACTAGCGTTACCATGTTTCAGTTTCAGACCCTTATTAGTACGAGCTTTTTCCACGTTGTATACCTTGCTAGTTTCTACTACATCAACAATTTCACATATCTAAAAATTTTAAATCTTTTATTTTATTTTAGTTATATCTTCCCACTTTTTAAGTGTTACCTAAAAACGTTATAAAACTTACTCTATACACATCTTTGCCAGCGTGCTTGCCAATACCGACTTTGACGAAACATCCCGTTACCAACTTGTTAAAGAATGGTAGATGAACATATTGTGATATACGGTAACGTGACAATCTTGCCATCTCCAGTTCCTCTTTTGATTCAATCTACAACAAAATATATTATAAGCAAGTGTAAAAAAATTTTTTCTTAAATGCGCTATAACATACTTCTTTTAATTCACTTGGAGAAGCAGAACGACTTCTACTTGAAGAACGTGAAGATGACCTGCTAGAAGATGAGGAAGACGAACTAGATGAAATTGTCCTGTCTCCACCCATTTCCGTACCAAAAACTTCGTCAATATCAAGAATAGCACGACTTTTCCGTTCTTGTTCAACCACTTTCTCCTTCTTATCCTTTCTTTTAGCTATCAGCTTGTCCATGGCAGATTTCTTGATGTTCTTCGCTGCGACTTCAGATGGTTTGTGGAAGTCCATGTCGGCTTCATCATCTTCTTTTGTTGGCGATTTTATTTCTCCTTAAACACTGTCATGTACTTTAACACACAAAAAGCTTTTCATGCCTTTTTAACACAAATATACCTAAAATATAAAAAATATTTTAAAAAACGTACCATCAGACTCCGATCCACTTAAAGAGCTAACACTGCTAGCATCAGATTCGTTGTTCTTGCTTTTCCTCCCTTTAGAATGAGAGTGCCTGAGTTTCTTAGCAATTTCAGCACGTTGACGATCGATTTCCTGCTGTTCTACTTGTTCGAACACAATCATTTCTTTCGCCAACATGTTTGTAGGTTCGGACTTCTGCTTCTTAGCTGCAGATTTCTTTACTTTTTGTTTCTTCATGTCGGCATCGATGTTATCATCAGACGAAGAGCCTAAGATAACATTATTTTAGTATGTAACAAAAAAATACAATCAGTAAAAACCCTTAAAACCCGTTACGAAAATAGCCTAAATCAATAAATATTTTAAAAAATACTTACCACTTTCTACATATTTTGTTCTTTTCGTTCTGCTACGACTAGATGTTGGAGCATCGTCCTGAAAATTAACTTTTTTTAAATACGCCAAAAAATACCTAAAGTAGAATCAAAAATGTAAAGGAGATTCATATAAAATTAATAATAAATGCGCCAAACAAAAAACTTAATTTCAATACATAACAAAAGTATGTTGGAGTTAAAAATATGTTATCCATGAACTTACCCTGTCTGAATCAGAATCGCCACTCATTCCGTCTCAGGTTTCGAACTAAAATACGAAAAATAAGTGGAAAGATTGTCAAGCTTTGAAAAAGCTCGTCAATTTCACGTACTTCCAGACGAACGCTAACAAAACGAAAGAAAACAGAAAAATATTCAAAAGGCGTCATGTTATACGATGAAACGTTCTCAAAAAAATGCGGTTTTGAAAAACAAGGGTTAATGTAGGCTCTTGTTTGTGTTATTATACATCGTAAATTTCTATTTTATGAATAGAAAAAGTGTGTTAGTTTGAAAAATGCATTTTTTTAATTAAATGTGCTAGATTTATAAGGCAAAAAATTATTTTACATCGTAAACTTTATTTCTAAATTTAAAAAATAACGTTTGTAAAGTTAATATTGGTAAGATTGATGAATATGCGTTTTCTGAAGATTGAAGTAGTGGTACAGTAGAAAAATGTCAACAATTCGGTGTGTTAGCCAACACATTCCTGAAAAACTTAATTAGCAATTTTTTATCCAATTTTTAAAATTTTAACTTTACTACTTACTTAATTATCAATTTGGAACTATTGAATGCGGGCTTGTCAAATCGTTGACACTTTTCCAAGTAGTTTAAATTAAGAAAATAATATAGTTAAGGTGTATACTTAGGCTTAGTTAAGAAAGCAAGATTTTAATCTTTTTAGCATGGTGCAATTAATTTTTGTAAAATCTACTAAACATATCTTGTTGTAGATGAAGAAGAATCAACATGTAGTAGTATAAAATCATGAATTAAGCTATCACTAAGCTGGTCTTTTATTCCAGCTCATTCAAACTTTTTATTGTCATTCCAACTGTACAAATAAATAAAAAGTAAAGGCAGAGTGCACTGGAGCATTGGATTTTAGTAGAACAAGCAAACACAAGCTAATATTATATTAATTTTCAGCCACAGACACTGCAATTTTTTATAAGTATCCTAACCACCCAGATATACCAAAGAATTTACAAGCTTATGCATTATAAGCCTTTATTAAATAAAAAATTTTAAAATCAAAATTTACAAACAACTATGCACAAATTTTTTTATTGCCAGTAAATTTAATTTACATCCGCTTGAGCTGTAGTGGCCTCTTCGTCATGCGATACCGGTTTCTCATACACGTCGTAGATTCCACCGCCAACGTAAACTGGCCGATACGACGGTGACGAAACAGTCAATGCTTGGTATCGACGAAAACCATCCGCTATATTAGCTGGCTGAGAATTCGAGTAAGCGTTCTGTAGGACGATGGCGACGATTAGGGAGATGATAAACCTGATTCTAAAAAATGAACAGTATTTTTAAAATAAGAACCAATAATTTTAATTTTTTAAACTTTAAAACTGTTTTTAAAAAATGATTGAAAAGTAAGACCTCACCCAAACATTTTTTCCAAGCGTTGACAATCGTATTTGTATTTTATCAAAAAATATAAAGGGTATCAGCACTACAAACAAAAAGTGCTGTCGGGTAGATTTTGGTAGAAACCAAAAATTGTGGGGGCACCAAAAACTCTAATCGAGTCTATTATTGGTGATTTGGCTCTGCCAGAATGTTGGGAAAACAACGGCTGATTCTGAATGAATTGAAATTCCCGGCTTCGGGGTTGGTTTTATATTGAGCGAAAGGTTATTTTGCATTGAAACCAATCGAAATATCATGTAAATTACACAGTCGACTCGAAAATCATGTTAATACTTGAGGTCGGTCGGTTAATCCTTTTACGTGGGCTCCAACGTTATTTTAGGGTAAAGTTCAATTGAAAAACGTCTGTCAAAGTATGTATTTTTCACATATTATAAAATGACGTTTCCACTTTAAAATTAAAAAACTCTAAAATTTTGCTTAAAAACTGATTGTATCTAGAAACATCTACAGTTAAATATTCAAGAATATTTGATAAAACTTTAACCAAAGATATCCAAAATATTAATGTTTGATCTACTATTTTGATAAACTTATGTGTTATATGATCTGAAGTTACATGTTTGTATTTTATCGACATTTTTTTGCCCGACGATTATTGAAGAAGGGATAAATCAGGCAGACAGAAGCTGACACAATTTCAATCTAAATTTATTTTTTAAAACCATTGTAAACTTTTGTTTAACTTAAGTTTGTATTAACTTTTTCAAATAAACTTTATTCAAAACGTTTTTTTTTTCTTGACGTCTGTACTTTTAGTCTAATTCTGACGCAATTTCCGATCCAAATTATTTTTCTGAATACTTGATCAAATTTCACAAAAATGGTTTTTGAATTCGAATAGATTAGCCTATTAACAGTAAAAAATAAGTTGACTAAATTTTAATATTATAGGCTGTTCAGAGTACTCATTTTGACTTTCACGTGAACGAATTGCGGCGAATAGCGGACAAAGTAAAAAAAAACTTATAAGCCCTTTCAAGATCGCGCTAAAAATTTGCAAATTTTAATCCAAAAATCAAAAATATTTTAAAACCGTCAATCCCGGTCTGCCCTCTACGCTTTGCAGACCGCATAACAAAAAGGACCGCCAAAAAGTGCCTTTCAAACTTTCTACGGGTCGTGAAAAAAAATTTTTGATCGCCGAAAATGGCGATTAAAAATTTTTTGCAAGATCGAAGGATTTTCGACAAATTTGAAGAGCTCAAAATCTCAGAAAAAAACTTCAAAATAAATCTTCAAAAATCGAAATCTTTTAGTCCCACTCCGCTCCCTGACCTGCGCAGCCTGCAAACCAGAAACCGCCTTTTTTGAATTTCACTGCACAGTGCGAATAAATAAATTGCCTAACAATAAGATCGAAACAATTTTCGGCAAATTTTGGGATCTGAAAATCTCAAAAATCGGGCCATTTTTGGTTTTTTCTAACCTTTTCTGACCTCTTTCTCAATCGCAGTGCTCTCTTGTTTGTCGCAGACCCATCTCTCTCGTTTTCCATTGGGTAGTAAACACTTTTTGCGATTCCTCTTTTTCTGTGCTCTGTCTCTTCAAATCGCGTCTTCCCTCCTGTTCCACAGTGCAGCCGGTTGGCACAGACCTTGAAAATTCGCTTTTCCAATTTTCCTCCAAAATCGGCAAAATTGAACAGGTCTGAAAAACAGGTTTTGAGACCAAATTTGGGATCTCCAAATCGAATGGAATTCGAAAAGCGCGGGTTTCTAGTTTGCAGGTTGCGGAGTCCTGGTGGCATATTGGGATTAATAACTTTGGATTTTTGAAGAATTTTTTGTTTTGAGATTTGAGGTCCCCAAATTTGTCAAAAATCCTTCGATCTCGAAAAGGCGGTGTGTGGAGACGAGGAATTTGTTTCGCACGGTGCAGGGGTCGTTTGAAAGAGGCTTTTTCGCGGTTTTACTGGTTTTGCAAGCTGCGGAGGTCTGGTGGCAGTTTGTGGCCAATAACTTGGAATTTGTTTCGAAAAATATATTTTTGTGAGATTTTGAGCTCTCCAAATTTGTCGAAGATCCTTCGATCTTCGAAAAGGGCTTTTTCAGTGATGGAAATTTATTTCGCACAGTGCACTGAGAATTCAAAATTGACGTTTTGGCGGTTTTGTTGTTGCAGTCTGCATGAGGTAGTGGGCAGATTAGGGAGGAATTCTGCGATTGATAACATAAACTTTGTGAAAGATATTTCTTTGCGGGGTAATTTAGCCTGCAATGGTTGACAATAATTTCTGGATTTCTCGAGATGTTTGTGTACTATAACACATTTTACTTTTACGGGTTTTCCTAAAAGGTCTGAACGCTAATATTTTTCAAATTGTAGGTAACTAAATTATCCCCCCCCCCCAAACGACGTTTCTGGTTCTTATCACCGAATATTTAATCGGAATACTCGACACCTATACTTTTTTCAAACAAAGAAAAGTTTAAAATTTTTTGAAATCTGTTTTCAGCCATTACAAATATTCTTACTTTTCAAAATCTTTTTGGATGCTTGTAGATTCTCCTTCATTTTCTCCTGTTGCTTTTTCATAATGTCAAGTACGTCGCTTTGCATTAGTACTGATGGGTCTTGATCCGTCACGGCACTCAAACATTTTGTCACTTCAGTTTTGGTCATTTCATTTGCCGCTCTTTCAACTTTCAATTGAATTTTGTTGTTCGTACGAAATCCAAAAATCATCAGTCGCCTAAAATGAATTTTTTAGGTAATAAAAACGGGAAATTTAGGGAATTTTAACAAATCATTTCCCTTTATTCTATTGATTTATTTAAAAATCTTTACTATTATTCTAAACAAAATTTTAATCAGTAAGTGTACAAAAGGCCTCTTACTTGCATAGCTCCTTGTCAGTTACAGGCCATCCATCTACTTGAAGAACACGATCTCCTTCTTGTAAATGAAGCGCGGCTATGGATTCGGGATCAACTTTGCTTATGATAACACTATTATCAATGTCATTTTTGACAGTGAGACCAAGTTTTTGCCTAGAATTTTGATTCCATACCAAATTGATGTCATGATTATCGAATCCGGGCGTTGGATTCTGTTGATCCTTCAGGGTTTTTGTCAACTCTTTGTTGTAAAGGAGCTGTAAAATATATTTTTTAAATCTTCAGACTTTATAGTAAAATATACTTCTTCGGGGTTAAATATAAAATTTTTTACTTCTTTGTCGTAACCGTCTCCCCAAGGGGACAGAGGAAACGGGCCGATTCCATTTTTTCAATACCTTCTCATAACACTTACCGTAACCTTGACAGTATTACCAGCTTTTTCCTTGACTAGTTTGTTGAACTGATCGGGCGAAGAAATAAAGTCGTCTTCAATTTTCAAAATCCGATCTCCCAGTTTTACTTTTCCCATCGCTACCGAATCTTTGGTTACATCTTTTACGCTGAGCTTCTCGTCTACCGTGAATCCCAGATCGCCGTCCTTGTTGTAGAGCATAATTTTAATCTCTTTAGTTTGAGCACGAACCATTTTGAACCAACTTACAAAAAACAAGCCGTTTTTGTGGAAAGGTTTTCAAAATAAAGTTTTTGAAAATTATTTATGTTTAAAATTCAATCTTTTTGTTTTTAAAAAATTTCTTTCCATTCCGTTTTGTAAAGAAGTTGTTTTTGTAATACAAAGCAACTTCAAGCCATTTTCATGACACAATATACAACATTACGTTAGTTTATTGCTAGTTTGAAAGAATTACCATACAAAATGACAGTGGGAACAAGATATAGCTACAGATATGTCTACTACAAGATGGAAGCTAAGAGACTAAATATAGTTGCTAAGAAAAGGAAGAGTAAGAAAATGAGAAAATCACAATAATAAGTAAGCAACAGTAGGTAAGATAGCAATAAGAATACTGTAAGAACGTGAAGCGCTGTTCATTTCATCAGTTCGGAATTGGATTGGTGCTGCTGTGGTTGGGACAACTCGAGGTCTTGGCGGAGTGGCGGTCACTTCGGTGAATTTTTTGTACTGGTTGAAGAATTCTGGTACGTTCTCCTAAACGATAAAAATCAAACATACTTCTTTATAATCAACATCTTTCCAATTTTTCAAATTGCTTATAAATCAACTTTTTTTAATTTAAATTGAGTTATAAAAGGCATACCTGAACAACCTTAACCAAATCATTTTGAGAGAAGGTTTGAGTATTTCCCTTGTCGTCGACTACTTGACACTGAAGATGCATTTGTTGCTTTCCATAGCTAAATGGATAATCGACTTTGTCGTCCGATGTCATTCGATTGAAAGCTTCATGAACTAAATCAATCTGATTTGTTGTCAAGCTGCCAAGCTAAAAAGTTAGTCATAATTAACATAAAGTATCCAATTAACATTTTTGTTAACCTTCCTTGAAAAAAATTTTAAATTAAATTTTTATTTGTAAAACTCACATCCCAATTCTTCAAAGCCGAAAGCCCAGACACTGAATTCGGTTTGCCTCCAACCATGTCATTGATGTTGTTCAAGACATTTTGAGCTCGATCAAGTGGATTAGCAGTCACGGCCACTCGGGTAAGGTTCAATAAGTCCACAGCTGTACCTTCACGAACAAATTGGGATACATTGAAACTGTTTCCTGTATCTTTTGTAATTTTCTCTATAAAACACTTATCAATTAATAATCCATTACGATCAAAATATACCTAAAATAATATTAAAAAATCTTAAAACATACCTGCAATAGGCTCAAAAGCTGTCCTCAAGGTCTCATTGTTGATTTCATTACTTTCAAAGATTGTACCTGAAAAGGAAACATTATCAACAAGCGTCTTACTTAAAAATTGTTTTAAAATTAATCTTCAAATTCCGCTATAAGAACAAAAACTTACGAACTGCTGGCTTCAACGCGTCCAAAAATTCGGCTTCGCTCATTCTTGTCTTAGATTCTTGAATAATTCCTAAAAAATTTAAAAGCATTTTTTCTCTCAATGGTAAAGACACCTTAAAATACTAAAAACAAAAACTAAAATATTAACTCACTCATCAAAGGTTGAAACAACTTCTTAACATCGTCTGTTTTGAGCTCTGGCTGTGGCAATGTCACATCTTCCGGCTCTTCATTCAATTCGGTTTGACAAACAATTGCAGACAACGTCGAGATCAAAATAGCCGTTGCCAGACGCATAATTAAGCCTAAAACAATATATAACTTAAATTAACGCCATTTGCAATCGTACATCACATAATTAAGCTAAAATGCCAAGTTTAATAAAATCCATTTTCAATCAAAACTACACGAAGAAAACTGCTATAACAACATCCATTTATTTAAAAAACTTTTTTTTATGATAAAACAATATTATTTCTATTAAATTTATTTTAAAACCACAAATATGTTAACAAAAAACCAAGAGCAAAAAATATTTTTACAAAAAACAACATCCTCATGCCATCGGCAACTTTGCAATGATTTCATTTTCCAAAACAAAACAGTGTTTTGAGAACAACGAGCTGCGTCCACTGTCTCGCAGTCTGCAAACGGATTTCCTGTTTAGTGCTATTAAAATTTTTCCCGGCAATATAGTTAAACAAATTAAATCTATAGTTCATATTTATATTAGGTTTATTTACAATATATACAATATTAAGAAGTTATCAAACAAAAGTTGGAAAGTTATCAGATATTCAGGTAACATAATGTATATAATAAATAAAAAGTTTAAATAATAAAGTCAAGATCAACCATAGAACCCAAAAATTTTCCACAAAAAATTGCAAACCACATCGTATAATGATTTTCTAGGCATGACAATTGTATTTTCCGTTGGCTTGCGGCAAGTTTTCTTTAAAATATCTTCCATTCTTATTGGATCTGTGAGTTGATTTTGGAGGTAATCTTTGAAAATGAGTTTTGATTCAGAATTATCTGTTCTCAAACGATGAGTGAACTTGTTGTATACCTAAAATGCCAAAAATAAGCATGTTGTAAATTTCCCACTAAATATATATATTCAAATACATTTTGTTATCTTCATCTCCACCTTGCATTACATTAAAACTTACCGTAAGATCGGCAGGTCCAGTTTCCGCCAATAAATAATACCGTAGCAACGCGGGTATCCTCACATTTTTGTCGGCAAGCGTCGTATCGATTAAGCTCAAATCTCCTAAGCTTTCCATTTCATTCATTATGATTTGACATAGTTGCGCATCTGAATTATCGGCCAAATCGACTGGCCATAATTTTGACAGAACTTCAACCCGAACCCAAATATTTGATTGTAATAGTGATAAAGTCACCATTTGTTGACTTACTGTCGGTTTTACAAAGTAACATATGTTTTCAAGAGATGTGTTTATCGACCGGTATGGATAATATGAGATACACTCTAATTGTGATAAATTGCCTATGCGAATTTGGCCTACTGTAAACTTCAACCTAAAGAATTTTTAAATGAAAAAATACGATCAAAGGCAAAATTCCATACCTCAAAAAATCGCCCTTGGCAAAAGTGAACATTTTTTCAATCATAGCAATATTGCCACCAGTAATTTTCAAAATTACGTCAGCATAGTTTTCCGTCATTTTGGTAAGTCCATATAAAGTGGCTAAATTCAATACATCTTCACGTTTTGTATGTTCTAATGTCATATGATATGAATGTACATTGTCCATTTGATTTTTGAGATCTCGACAACTTGTCGTTAACAGTAAAGAACACTAAAAGAAATTTAAAAATATTGTAAGTTATTTTAATCTTAAAACTCTATTTACCCCACAATTATCACCATAATATCAGGAAAACTCACATTAAAGCTTTTAAAAACATCCACAACTTCACTCAGGTATACTCCATCTAACACAATCAAAACTTTTTTCGTTTCATTAATCAGCTGCCTCAATTTAACTATTAAGAACGATACTTCATTTTCAAATAGCTTCACAATGTCACCGTCCGGAATTCCGTTTGATAGGTAGAAAAAGGTGTTCATCAACACTTTAGACAAGTTTTTTGGATCTGTCGTATTGTCTGAGACATATAAAACGCGTTTAAAGTGATGTCCAACAATATCTGAACGATTCCATAGCAGATGCTGAACTAGCGAAGTCTTCCCTACACCTGATATACCAGTGAGAACAAGATGTGATGGCTCTAAAATAATTTTATAAGCAAAAAAAATATTCGATTATTAATGTTACCTAAAAATAAAACATAATAACGAAAAAAACTTACGATTCTGTGAATCGTCCAAAAATTGATCCACAACAAGTTCAAACTCATCTTCAAATTCTCGTCGAACATATTTCTTATGAACTCGAGGCACTTGGGCATGTTCCAACAGCTTCTTCAATCGGTCGTTCATTGTCAGTATCGTCCAAGTTTAATTCGAGCAAAGTACATCAATTCCCACTATACAAAAGCTTTGAGATCAAAAGACGTAAATAATAGGCAAAAACAGTTGAGAATTTCCAGAACCTTATAGGTTGAAACTAACAATATATAAACTTAGATGTTAGGGAAACAAATTTAAAATTATTGAAATAAGGTTAAGAGTTTATGTTTGTAACAATTAATCCTTTTTCAACAATATAAGGTAAAATAAGTCAAAAGAGGCAAAATATAGCTTTTTCGAAAACAAAATAAATGGCAGCCGCGCGCAGACGAAGTGCCACAAAAAATATCGGTTTCACGGGGAACTGCCACAAAAGACTATACATATTTATAAGTTAATATTATGATAGTCGAAGATGTTTAAAGTGAAATTTATTACATTATGTTTTAAGTAAAAAAATCTTATTTTTAAACTTTTTATTAAGCCGCTAAACATAATGATTTTAAAAGGGCCATAAAATTATACTGAACAAGCTATTAATGCAATAAATGTTCAAATGCAAACTATTAGTTCCTAAAATATAATAAATATTGATTAATTAGTAAATTATGCTGTTTATAAAGCCAATTTGTTGCCTTACTGTTCTGTTTTACTACGGTCGTGCGATCGTACGTTGGTATTTAAGTCGTTCTATGTGGTGACTGGTATTCAAATAACTTTCTATTTTTAAACTGTGTTTTTAAAATTAGAATTACTTTAAAGTACAGTGCTTTCAATAGTACGAATAAATACCATTTTTGCTTTTAAAGCACTAAAACTACTGTAAAATGTTTTTACGTTTCTGTGTAGTAATAACAGTGCTAATTAGTATCACCAATGGCACTAAAATGGATAATAAAGCCAGATTCATGGAAAATATGATAACAGTCAGGTATAAGCCATGCGACGACTTCTTCAAATATGCCGGAGGTAACAAAACCAAAACAGACATTGAAGACACTGAAAAAGCTCTTATTCTACAAATGTTTAACGATGACAGTTTGTTTAAAAAAGTAAGAAATTTTAATTTAAATTCTTTTTTTAATAACCTTTTTTTTAATTAAGAATGTAATTTAAGCCTAAGAAATGCCCTTTAAACCTAATTTTAGTCAAAAACTTTAAAAGCCGTTCGAAAAATCTTCAAAGATTGCATAGATGGTAAGATAAAACAGAACGAGTTTACCATGATGGAAATGGCACAATTCGCATTTGACCACATCGGCGATATGAAATTTCCAATTACATCATCACACGAAGTTGTTGAAGACGAAACTATATATATAGAGGCTCTTGAACGAGTTTACAACACTTTGTTTTTAAGAGGATCATTTTTGTTCGATGAAACTGAACGGCTGATATCTAGTGGTTACTTTTCTTTTACCATACCTACATTGAATTTTGCTTTTGATAGGAAGACAATGTGGTAAACCAAAATATTATTTTATTATAGAGAAAAAAGCATAGATAGTGGTAAAATTTTCTACTATGTTAACAAAAAATATTTTGTAGGGAGACATACTGCACTATAGCGGACTGTGATCAAACTGTAGCACCGCCAGAAAACCGGTACAAATTTAAATACGACAACCCATACACAGAAAAAGAAAATCAACATTTTGTCGATAAAGTCTTTGGCGAAAAAATTGACATTAAAGATATGAAATTCAGGATGCCTACATATTCAGATAAAGACGAGTTTGTTGTAAGTTTTTTATTGCTGTAACAAAAATGTTAAAGTTTGATTGATCCGTTATTAATATTTTGTAGTTTAAAAAAAAACTATTGTTTACCGCTTTAGAAAGAAGGTCGGGCAGCCCTCCTTAACGAACTTCTCGGGTCCATCTTATTTGATGAAGGTTATGTCTTCAACAATTGTGCTGTATATATGTCAGACAATTTCCCGATCGCCCTTAACAAACTGGCCATTGACACTTTGAAAAAAGACAGAGAAAATTACAAAAAGTTCAAAAAACAATTCTTCACTTATGCCGATTTAATTATGCACGAAGCAAACGTTACTATTAGTACTAGTACTGAAATTCTGGATGAACATAAGGAAGATTTAATAGCTAACTTAGAGAAAAACAAATTTGCATTTTTTGAACAAAGTTTGTATAAAGATGACATTTTTGACGAAGTGAATGGAAAATTGGAACTGACACATCCAAGACACTCAAGGTTATATAACAACTTGAGAGTCTTACTGAAGTACGACGCTGAAAAAGAACACCATACTCATCGACTTATTCCTAGCATGACTCAGGTAAGGATTGAATTACGTTTCAAATTTAATTTGTCGTTTATACAAGTAGATTCTTTGGCTTTACACAAACTAAAAAATAACTTTTAGAACCAAGCTAGTCATGCAAATCTAGTCCAGACAAACTTCTTCCATTGGGGACCATTTTTATATCCAATGTACGACCCATCGTTTCCTCATATACTAGGTTTTTCATCTATCGGTTTTGTCATGGCACACGAAATGGCTCATACATACGGTAAAACTTTTAAAAACAGATTTTGTCATGAAAAGCATTTTTCAGCATTTGCATCTAGGGTTTATCCTGAATTTGAAGAAAACAGACAATGTTTGCTCTCATTCTACAGTAACCAGTGCAGTGAAGATAAAAAGGTATGCATAGACCCGGAACTGACATATGTCGAAAACGTCGCTGATCAACTAGGTAACAATTTTTTAAGTAATAATAATTTATATTTAATATTAAAATTGTTTTTGCATATTAAATTTTTTAAAAGTTTATTTATAAATAACATTTTTTAAAAGCTCAATGTGTTCTAAAAATTTTTAGGATTCATTTGGGCCTATTCAGCGTACAAACGAATGGAATCAGTTCAAGATGTTGGAAAGCGGCCAAGGGGCAAAAAGCTGAACAAATTGTCAAATGACAAAATGTTTTTCCTTAATTATGCGCAGATTATGCATTTCTATCAAAACTGGGAAGATTATGATGACAAAAAACCACATTCTCCAAGTTCTGTTAGAGCATGGGGACCTTTGGCTAATTTACCAGCTTTTACCAACGAATTCAAATGTCCCAAAGAATCAAAATACAACCCAAAAAAGAAATGTCCCATGTTTGTGGCCCAAACTATGGTCAACGGTGATCTTGGCAATGACAAATTTTTATATTACAAATGAAGTTGAAATAAATTTAGATGCAGTTTACAGATAACGCAAATTTGACAAAAATAGCTTTTTTGACACCAAAATGTAGTCAAGTTATAACTCTTATGTTATAATTTTTTTTGTAATTGTGAAGTGAAATTTTCTATGTGTTTTTAATTTTACTTACCGGTCGACTTTTTGGAAGATGAGCGCAGGTAATACCATATTTAACAGATTTTTAAACTTATATTTTTGTTAATAATATTGTTTTTTAACTACTTAAGTTTTTTATAATAAATTTTTAAAAAAGTTCCAGATCCTAAAGGAAGCAAAGAAGGCAAAAGCAGCAAAGATGGTGAAGGTGGTGCAGATGGTGAAGAAGAAAAACAAGAAGTTGTTGTTGTTGAAGTTGAGAAACCAAGTCCTCCGATAATTTCTACTGATTCTGAACGACGTCGCTTCATCATGAAAACGTCTGGACTGATTTTGGCTATGGTAATAAAGGTTTACTATGATATTTTTTATTTTTAAAATTAAAAAAAAATTTTGTTTTAAGTTATAGTAAAAAAATATTATTCCAAAAAACAATTAACTTTTTATAGTTAGTAATTGCCACATGTTTGTTGATGTTGCCATTTATATTCCAATCGCTGAGACTTTTTTTAATCAAACATTGGTACATTGCACTCATCGTTTCAATCTTCTACCTTTGTTTCACAATTACCGTGGCGTGTTTTTGCCATTCTTGTTTGATGCGAAGCCCTGTCAACTACTTTATATTGGTTGCGTATGTAAGTTTAAAATGTTAATTTTTGAGAAAGTGGTGATATGCATGTTAATTTTTTGATTTTAGGCATTTATAACGGGACTGTTTCTGATGTGTATATGTGCTACATATAGCATTTTTGCTATACTTGTTGCTATGGTTGCTACAGTTGCGTGTGTGCTGGCTACCCTGATTTTTGCAGCTACGTGTAACAAAGATTTGACTAGGTAAGTGTGTTTTTCGTCTTAATTTTTTAGTTCACAACGCGTTGCAACGATTAACTGTGTTTTCACAAATACCTAATGTTTTAGCATGTGGTTTGCCTGCTTCATAATTGGTATTGTGCTGCTTGTAACGTGCTTTGGTGCTGGTATCATTTGCATTTTTGTACCTCCGACTGTCGCGTTTTGGATCAGTATCATCATTTCCATGGCGTTTGTATTGTACTACATGTTCCATATGACCATTACGATTCAGTCGATTATTGGTGGCAAGAACCGAAAAATCGTCTTCAGTGAACAAGCGTACGCTGTAGCGGCTCTACTGATTTTCGTTGATATTATCGGCCTTTTCTTGAACTTACTGAATCTCGCGAACTTGATACGATAAAGGTTTTTGACTTATTGTGTCGGTGTGTTTAATTAAAAAAACTTACAACAGGCTTGGTTAAAGTATGCAGAGAGAGAAGAAAGAAAGGTGAAAGACAAAAAACTTTTGTAAAAAATAAAAAAAAATTTAAAAAAAACGTGGTTTTGATTCAAAAAAATAAGGAAAATTTATTTTTGAGTTTGCGAAATAAAATATTTTTTAAAAATTACAAAAAATGTTCATTTTGAATTTGCATTGGTCTGAAAAGAAGGTGGTGAATATGTCAACTGATGAAACAAGTCAGGCAATACCGTTGACAAATGATTCCTTTAGTGAACAGTTGCTTCATTTAGTTATGGTACGTTGGTGTTTTATCAAAACATGCATAAGCTATGCGTTGTTAGAACTTTTTGCCCTGTTGTTTTGTACTGAAGATTTTTGACTAATTTACCAAATTTTTACTTTGTTTTTAATTTTTATTTTTTAGCAGTTTTACTGCATGTTGTTCTACATACCATGTCCAACCTCAGAATGCATTGTGGACAACAAGTACTATTTTACCAAATGTCACATGTACTCGGTTATGGCTTTGCTCTTATTTGTAATTTTCGTGGCTCTGGCTACCGCAATTTGGTTAATTCAGCATGACGATGTAGGTTTTTAAGTGTTAAATGTTAGATTTATATGTGCTACATATGACTTTTTCTCAAGTTGTAAATATTTAGTTTTTATTCAAATTTTTGTTTTCAGATCTTCTTAGAGGTCACCAGGGACTTTTACAAGTAAGTTCTTGTTTATTTTTTTGTTTTGTGTTATATAACGTTAAAAATATATGCATAAATTTGATAACAATATTAATATAAGTTATTTTTCAGAATGATCTTGTCCAGAAAACCGTCTAAGCCATTGTATGAGTTGAAAGAAATCGAAAGCCCCGAGTTTGAAACTTTTCAAAAACCCAAAATGCAAACCTTGCGAAGAAGAAAAGTCAAACCAGATGGAGATTACTTTATGTAGATCTATGTTATTCAGCTTGATATTGTATTAGAGATCAGCAAATAAATATTGTATAAAAGTTTTTAAATACTGTAATTTATGTTGGTAATGATAATACGTTATATCTCACAGATTTACGTTGTTTATTACTCATTAGTCAGTCTACAAAAAGAAACGTTGAGGGTAATATAAAAACTTGTTTTTCGCAATGAAAACCCAATAAAACAACAATAACATAACTTCTTCATTAACAAAGCACAATATTGTCATTCTTACATAATTCTGATCTAATATCTTACTCAGACAATATATTATTCTATTCAAGCTAATGTACAGTCTGTGTTTCTAAAATGAAGTTTTTAACCTTATTTTTTCTACAAAACTTGATTATATCCTCGTATTGTAACCAAGTACCAGAATGGTTTCAAAAAGCATTACCAAATAGAGCAAACTTATTTCGGCCAACCTACGGTAAATCTCGTTATGGAAAAAGTAGTGCTGAAATTGTGGATGCCAGTAGAAGTGATCCGCACGATTTTGGACATGTGAGTGGTTATAATTCTTATTATAATGTAGGTTTTATAATGGCAGACAGAGCTGAGATTTAAAAAACTATGAGTATGATTAGTAAAATATAATAAAACTCAAGAAAAACAAAAGAATATATATGTATATAGTAAAAAACAAAAAGCTCGTTTCTTTACATAATATTTTTAGATCCACTCGTGGCCAGGTAAACCAGATTCATCTAAAAACACAAATCCACACTCTTCTGAAGTTTCACATTTTGAACCTAGTATTAATGAGCGACATGGGTGGGTTATACCAGGTAATAATCACCGCGGAAAAAATTTATACTACTTGGCTAAAAACCGTCAGGACAATACGAGTTATACTTCAAAAGGTAGTAGAGAAGAAAGACCACAATACTACAGTTCAAAAAGCAGTAAAGAAACTAGACCAAGTCAATACTCATCTACAGAATCGAAGGAAAATATAACTATGCGGTACTCTTCATACTCAAAAGAAGACTTGCCCAAAAAATATTCGTCTACGGAATCTAGAGAAACATATCCTATCTACAACAACACCAGAAACCGTAATCAGCATCGTAATAGCCATACTAATAAAAATTTTAACAGTAAACCTAATTTTAGTAGAAGCAGCTCTGTAGAACGTCACAGAAAGAAGGGTCATCGTAATTCTGATAGTTCAGAAGAACAACATCAGAAGAGTTCGGAAGAACCACGGTACCCATTAAGAGGCACTATAGACAACATAAAGTCTTATGAACGGTCTAGAGCACCAAAATGGCATCAAAACTCATTTTCCACTACAATACCAAGAAATATCGACTCTACTACATTACAACCTTATAGTAAAGGTAGGCATATTAGCGTACCCAATAGTAATAGTGCTTCAAGAGAAGTCGATAATGAGTTCTCAAAAGAAATAAATGACAAAACGTTTCAAAAACCTCATAATCAACCATCAATTCATTTACATCAATCTAATAAACAACATAATCCAGATTTGTCAAAAGGAGAAAGTTACAGCAGTAGAGAACGCAACCATGAGTTAAAGAACAGCAGTCCGTCAGACAATCAAAATAGTACTCCGGCTGTATCAACAATACCGTATCATATAACACCATTGCCACGAGCTTTTTACAGTAGTCCAAGACCATCAGAGTCGAAATACATTAGTCCAAAAGCTCTGGATTTAGCTTTCAGTACACCAAGTTTGCTTGAACTAGGCTACTCTACTCCAAAAACGCCGTACATCTCTTACAGTACTCCTCCAACACTACCTACTATTTACAAAACTGAAGTTATAACTCCGTACGACATTACTACAGTGCACCCACCGTCACACAAAAACTTGGAATTTTCAAAGTCAGAAGAAACCAACGATGAAAATAGGCGAAATTCTAACAAAGCGAATTTTCTAACATCTAGAGAAACAAAACTACAACCTCCAGACAGCTTACAATATCCTGCTTGGCCATTTAGTAGTTTTGAAAAAGAAAATATTGGCAAATTTTCCGCCGAAAAGTCTGCAAAAAACAAAAATTTTAATAAAAGTTTACGGAAATCGACCGAAAATTTACCAAAACAAGCTACTACGCCATATACTACTGGCAGTTATAAAATTGATAAGAGTGGTAACAATGATGGTTCTATACGGCCAACTATGCCAGCACCTCCACCATTGATAATTCAACTTACGACACCAATCTACCCTGATGAAATTAACCGAGCTGCTAGTAAAACCAAAAGTGGATATGCTAGTTGAAACGTTGGCATTTTATTCAAACAAATAGTTTTAGATATTTTAAGTTTGAATGTTTTTAAATGTTTTATAAGTCATATGTGGTTTGTATTTTATATTTTGATAAAAATAAAAATTTTGAAAAAAAACTCAAAATTCAATTTTGTTTTGATTGATCCTTGTGCTGATCAAAGTGCGGTTGTGATGGTTCGTTCATTGAAGGAAGATTCTTCAAATTCTGGCAAAGGAAAATCTACAGCTAACACTTGTCCAGCTGCTTCAAAGGCACCACATTGGAGAATTGAGTGCGTTATTATTGTAGGAGATGATTTAATTTTTTTAAGTTTATTTTTTAAGGTGTGTGTCATCACAAAATGGGACAGTTTAATGTATTTTAGGAAGAAAAACTTTGTTCACAAAGATGCAAATCCAGGCGAGTTCAAGGTTTACATTCGCTCTCAATTTTGTGAGTCACCACTTGAGGTAAGTAATGTTCTATACACTACAGCCGGCTTTTATTTTTTAAAAATTTTTATTTTTTCACAAATTATTTTTTTTAGTTTTAAAATTATTTTAATTTTTATTTTAGTTCCGCTATTGCAAGGCAAAATACACGTCGAAGTCGGATTGTCGTGACGAACAAATCGACCTGTTCCTGAAAGAGCTCGAAGCGACCGGTCTTGTCGATGCGAAAGGAATGGCCAATATTAACAACGCAATTGACACCATTTTTTCAATGAAGGGCGATTTCAGCTCGTTGAAGTCCATGTTTGGCGCTGACTACAATATTCATCGAAAGCACAGCTCGATTACAGTACGCACTGCCATTCCCGAGTACATCAACGTGGACAAGCTGCAGGGAGCCCATCAAATTTTGTTGTATCCAAATGACTGGTCCAAGTGTTAGATAAACTTGTGCTGACTTGGCTTTGAATTTACTTTGAGTTAACTTTGAAGGAAGTTTGAATTAAATTTAAATTTTTCACATTTTTAATATTAGACGATATTATATTATAATACACATGTTGTTGATTTTTTACTCTTTCTCTTCTCAATACCTTTCAATGTGTTTTTGTGTGAATACATAATAATGACGCGTTTTACGAACTTGATCAAAGAGGATTAAAAGAGAAATCTGGAACAGCTACAAGAAAAAAAGGGAGATTTGTTCGAGAGGTTATTAAGATTTTTGCGATTCTTGAAACTAATTATGTTCAATTTGTAATGAAAATATATATTTCGTAAAAAATGTTTTTGTTTTATTGTTTGTAAATAAAGTTTTTGTCATTTTAAGTTGTGTAAAGAAGGTTATTAATATTTTACGTTTTCTAATTTTTTTTTGAATTTCGTACGCTTTAAAGAAAGTTTTTGCAATTTTAAACTTTTTTTGTAAACCAAAAACAGTTTCGAAACTAGCTTTGACAGTTTGTTCATGTTTTTCCTCTATAAAATACGCCAAATCTAGTTGATGACCCGGCTGGAGATAAAACGCCTCAAGCGACAATCTTCTTCCATAAAGCGGGGAGCGGAAATCTAGAGATGAACTGGCTTTTCGTCTTCTGTATTTTTGTATTTTCTTTCTGTTTCCCGTTATCCGGTTTTTTTCGACCGACAAAAATTGGGCAGAGTCATTGTTTTAGTGGCGGAAGCATGGAATGATGACAAATTAGTCCATGTTGTATTTGCGCAACAGTTTAAGTGGCTTTTCGTTTTCATTCGTACATTCTACGTGATGATAGGATAGTGTTTGAGTTATGTTTGGGGCGGTCTGGCACGGTGTAAAATAATAGTTGTATTGATGTGTTGCTTAATTCACAATTGTCTTACGTTTTAACTTAAATTACATTAAATTTGCTTTATTTTTCAATTTATTTTAGTTTATAACATATAAATGTAATTTTTTTACGTTTTTTTATTCTTTTTTTTTTAAATTTTTAAGATTCTAATTTTAAAAAACATTTTTTAGGAAAATGCATATAATTGCTCAAATTTTGGTATGTCTGACGTTTTTACTGTCATGTTCGGCTGATTTAGAGCAGGCCGTACGTGTTGTCAGATTCCGTGTTGATTACCCAAATGCGGATTTATCACAGTTGAACAAAGTAAACAATTGGAACACCATCTTGAGGAAAAGTGTTCTGGCTTCGTTGAAGTTTGTCAACAAACATTGGGAAGTTTGTGGAGATTCGGAGCGAATGGACAAGCTACTCGGGTAATTTGAAAAAAGATATTTCAAATTTTAAACCAAAGTTTTTTTAAATTATATTTTTAAATTTACTTTAAAACTAGACTAATTTTGTCATTGAAGGAATCAAAACGACTGCGGCAAGCTACAAGTAACTGGAGAAATTGTAGAAGACAAACATTATCGAATTAATGCCACTTTTATTGCTAATAAGTAAGTTAATATAGTCATAAACTTTTTTTGTATAACATGTCGCCCGAACCTGTAAAACTTTAAAAAACACAACTACTACTCTAGTCAATATAAACAACAAAAAATTTTAATCTTAATATAATCTTCTTGTAAAAAATTCAGAGACCCAATAAAAAACACAAAAGTAGAAGCCACTTCTACGGTATACGGTGTGATTCAAATCGGCCTGCGCGGTGGTATATTCCAATACACAAATGCTATGAAATTATTGGGAAAGCCATCGCCAGTATTGGAGTTTGAAGACGCACACTTCTGTTATCCCGAATATCAACTGGTCAACGAAAGTCAATGCAGATTACGGCCGGAAAATGGTAGACGAAGAGTCAGCCGAAATGTGGCCAAAAGAGATGATTTTAAAAATGATAGCTTAGAATAGAAGTGATTGTTAGACGTTAACATTGGCCAAAAATGTTTTTTTTAAATGTAGTTTTTGATATAAAAGATCAAGGCTTTTAAAAAATTTGTTGAAATTTTTACAATAAACAAAAAATTCGTATCGTAGTTTTAAAAAATATAAAAAACTTGTACGGTAGACACAAGTACTGATTAAATTATGGCTTTCCCAACAATATACCTGGAACAATCGAGACACTAAACTTGGCAGATGTCTTTAACAAAACAGCCAATCAGCGCACGCAAAGGCGGACCGAGTTTCCAGCTGTGGCCGCGGGGAAACGGTGGCCAGCGCTAAATTTGGACACAAAATTGTCCTTCTCTTTGGCCACAAAATTGCGGGTCTTAAAAAGGCACGGGGAATCGGATTGTCGCGAGTGGGCTAGACTTAACCTTGTTAGGCCTAATTTGCGGAGCCTAAACCACGCCTTCATTCTTTGCATGGCCTAAGGCGCGGGCATTGAATCGAAGTAAATGTAATTTTGTTTTCTTCGCGTTTATTTTGTTTTCTCGAGCTATTTAAGTTAGGCCGCGATAAAGATGAAGGAAAAGTGAGAGAGTGTTAGAGAAAAAACGAGCTAGAGAGTACGAGGATCTGGGAGGGTGGGCCCGAGAAACTGATTGAGTTATCGTTGTGAGAAGAATCCTGAAGAAGCGAAGAGGATAATAGAATCATGATTTCGAATCTAATTTGTATAATTGTAAATTATTGTAATGCGGTTTAGTAATTGAGCGTGATAATCGAATTCGTTTATTAGGATTTCACGCCATTTTAATTTTTCAATTGTGGAAATATAGAAACAAAGATTTATGCTGAGAAAAGAAACAGAATTATAGGATGATTCTTGCAACGTATGTGACATGTAAATGTGTCAAAAATTAAACGGTAAAGCGCACTTTAATTACATATAGCTTCTTATAATTGAAAAAAAAAGATTTAACCATGCCCTCCTTTAGGTTTAACCCAGTTGTTTGGCACAGAAAATAGTGTCATTTCTTTAGTAATTTTGAACTACCTTTTTATTCGTAAAGTTTGCAAAATTTAAAATTTTGGCAAAAAAGCATAGAGAAACTTGTAGAACAGACGGATTTTTTCATAGTGATAAAAACCAAAGTTTACAGTATAAAACTAACCATACTTTTGTATATTTTCCCCAAATATCAAATAATTCTTTATTTTAAACGTTTAAAAAGTGCGGCGCAAAATACACCTGGATGTTAAAGCGCTTAAGGCGCAGCTGCCTAGGATTGGTCGATTCTTGAGTCGGGGATTTCAAAACGAAAACAGAAAGTGTGCTGTGTTAATCACATTTGTCTGTCTTACGTTTTACATTACTGTAAAGTACCAGGGTAGGTCTGAAAGCTTACGTTTTACGTTTTCATTATTATAGTACAGTATGCCAATTAAATTATTTTTTATCTTGCAAAATAAAAAAAGTTTTAGGACGTTTAGTCTTAACCGCAAAATTTACTTTCGTTCATAATTTTTTGCCGTTACAGTATGATATAGTTAACTGTCTACTTTCCTATATTCCCGACATTTTTAATCCTTAAAGCGTACGGTAGGCTCTCCATACGGTAGGCCATAAAGAAGTGGCGCCCACGTTTTTTCTTTTTTTATTGAAAGGCTCCTCGAATCCCTAACAAGCCTACGGCATTTCCCCAGCGGCCCTAAAATGCCGGCCGCCGACCAAATGAAGCCGTCTTTTACGAAGTTTGCTCGAATCTACTTTCCCATCAAAGTTTTTGCACCGTACATATATTTGATTTTCTACCAAACCATATTATCATAACCGAGTGGAAACTTTATTAACTTCTTTTCTCTTTTCCTTCTGATTTAATTAGGGGATATTGAATTGGCGCGTCTCGTATTAATGGCATGAGGGGGGGGGGCTAAATAATAAGAATGGGAGGGAGGGGTAAATAATGCAAAGTGGTAGATAAGATTAGACTTAAAATTTAGTTATTGTAATGAATACATTGTTAACTAGAACAATGATAAACATCTATTACGGTGGATAAATTAGAAGAGAAGCAAGTGAAAGTAACAAAAAATGTGTAATTTTTAAAATTTTTAAATATTTTTAAACTTTATTTTAAATTTGCGTTATTTTAGATTAATTTATATAGCTTAATAAATTTTTTATTTTAATATTAAAATATTTTACCAAAATTTTTTCAAAAATTTTTAAAGTTACCGTAATCCTAGTGGAAAGGAAGTGTCCTATTCCTTCAGAGCCCTACTACTTTACTTACCTAAAATTATTTTACCATAGCATATTATACTAAAGATTCCAAAAACCCATATCCACAAAAAATGTGGCAATTCCGTAGCGTGGTCGGCCTTATAAAGCCGTGGGTTCGGCCCAGAAATTAGATAAAAATGGAATAAAATCATGGCCAACTGATTCAATTGGCTAGATGTGATTCGTTTTTCCTTCTTTTCGCAAATGAAATCCCACCATAACCGTGTTTCATAAATAAAATCAATCAAGCAAAACGCACAAATTAGGTTATGGCAATCGTATTAGTTCAGTGCGTTAGTGGTGGAGTGATAAGAAAGTAAAAAAACTTAAAATGGTACGAAATGCGAGAAATAGTACTACTTTAGAAATAATGGTACTGAATGCCTAGTATAGGATGAGAGGAATGAGTAGTCCTATTTACATATTTTTTACATTTGGATAGTACCAATTGTAAAAATAAAACAAATGTTAAAATTACTACCACATAAACCACTACGTTATATTTTTACGCGGCTCATAATAAAAATACAAGTTAACATTATATTATTGTAGCCAAGATGGCCGGTGAAGAAAACACAATAACCGAAAGTGTGCCAGAGGTTCAAGAACAAAATGGCCTAACTGAAAACCTAAATGATCTAGTATCGACCAGTCAAGCAGCTGTGCTACAAGCAGTTTTACAGGATTCTGCGGTCAGCGAAAGCCTTCCAGCTCAAGTAAGTATAAGGATACTGTAATTATTATAAAAGTTTAAAAGACTCGTCGTAACAATAATTGTATGAATAAGCAAACTTTTTTAGTTTCAATTCCAACACGCTTCATTAAGCGATTTCTCATACGCCTACCCGAGTTTAGCCGATACTGCGGCTTTAAGTCTTCGGCCAATTGTAGACGGTACTCATGGGCTAAATGCTCTCTCTGGTAAGTGTCTGAGTACTTTTAAAAAATTTAAAATTATACTATTTATATTTTGATGTATTAGGCTTACGCTCACGTCTAGATTTAATCTTAAACTTAAATTTAGACTAAAGTTTGGGCTTAGGCATGTAAAAATTAAAATTTGATTTAATTCGTGTCCAGTGCATTCCTGGTTAACCCTTTTTCCAGAATGTATATCGGACTCTGGGTTTAAGAAAATTAAATCCGAAAGTAGTTCAAGCTCTCGAACTTCTTCCAATTCAGTGTTCCCGTCATCGTTGAGTCATCAGAATGCGCCGGCACGTCGTCGACATCGCACCACCTTTACGCAGGAGCAGTTGGCCGAGTTGGACCGGGCTTTTCAAACCTCCCACTATCCCGACATTTATGCTCGAGAAGAGTTGGCTAAAATGACCAAGTTGAACGAGGCTAGAATTCAGGTAAGTACACTAATATTTAATATTATAGTTGCGTTAGTACTGGCTTTTTGTAAAAGATGAAAGTAAAACTATGTGCTCAAAACACATATGACAAAACTATTATGACTATTAAACTATAGAAGTTACAATAATTTTATGATACATTAAGCTAACTTTTTATTTATTATGCCAAGACGCTGTATACAATAATCTGCACTTGTTTTGACATTCTGCATTCTTAATCCCATTGTCATAAAAGTCGAAAATGCCAACTGCCATGTTTTTGCACTTGGTTTTACCTCATTATGCGAGTCCACACTTAATTGCCAATTCAATTGACTCGTAATAATTAGGCGTACAAAAAGTTTCGGGATGAGTCGAATGTTGGCAAAATGAGAGTGGAATATTAAACAGAATGAATTTCATACTAACCCTTAACAAAAAATGGCACTATTTTAATAAAACTTTTTAAAATTTTACCCTACCCTACTCTACTTTACCTAACTCTACCATATTTTACAAATACAGTAACAAAGTTTCTATCGTAACTGACGTTACAAATATACCGCGCTTAAACATGAAATAAATCGTGCACTTATGCTTAATTAACAATCACTTGACTATGATACATTTCTTTGTAGCTTATAATAATAAAAATTTGAGTGGTAATTGAGATGCGCATAGGGAAAAAGCATAAGATGTCAAGATGAACGTAAAAGAAAATGAAAAATGACACCGCTACTTTTCAATGCTTCATACTGTGACTTTGGCTATGTTTCTTTAACGTTACCGTAATCCTACGGTAGCCTATAAAAAAGATCATAACTATGTATTCCAGCAAGTATTTTAGTCATTTTTTACTGATAATATAGTATTATATTAGAGGAATGCGCTTGTTAGAGACAGGGTTAATAAACTTAAATAGTAAGCATAGCTGTGCCATGACTAAACGTATGGCTATGCTAGGACTAACTCTGTGACCAGCTTTTGAACTTTTCTTGACCTTGCCAAACTTTTTGCGTAATTGACACCTTCGAAACTTAATCCAGTCTCAATTTTGCGCCAAATCCTAATCCCTATAATTGATTTCATGCTGAGTGGCCAAAAGTCGAAAACAAGTCGGGATGAGTGCATTTGTTCGGCAATTACGATGCAATCGAACATGACAATTAAAAGGCATTTAGTTGATACAGAACGATAATTAACTTTATAAAAGTTTTAAAATACTAATATCTAAAAAATAAAAAAAGAATATTTTGAAAACACTAATCAAAAATTTTTTATTAGGTATGGTTCCAAAATCGCCGCGCCAAGCATCGTAAGCAAGAAAAACAGCTCCAGAAGTTATCTTTAAACAACTTCAACAGTAGTAATAATGTGGCAGCAGCAGCAGCGGCCGCGGCTGCTCAATCAGGACAAATGATGCGGCCGATGTACCCAACAGCAACTGGTACTGGTACCAATTCTCGCACCGGAATTGAATCTTGTTGGTACCAACCGTATCAAGTGCCAAGACAAATCAACTATCCCAACACGACCATTCCGTATGGAATGTCACAAAACTTTGGCAGTGTCATGACTGGGTAGGTACTGGTTTTAATTTTGGATGACATGTTATACGAGGAATACAATTTGTAAAAAATTTATTTATTTTGTTTTGTAAACAAAGTTTTTGTCATTTTGTATAGAGGTTACTTATGTCATTATATAGCTTAGCCATAATTTAATATAAAGTTCATCTTCAGATCCCAACTATCAGGATTTGGTGACGCAGCCGATGATTTGTATGCCAAGTTCAGGATGTCGAATACAAATGGCAACGGGCTGAGTTCGTACCCACAAGAACCAAACACGTAACATGTATAACTATGTTAGTATGTAAAAATTTGCTCATTTCTTCAAAGGATCTCTGTTCAAAACTTTAATCTCATTTTTTAATATTTAAAAAATTATGTAAAATGAATTTTATTTTTTAAATAAACCCGTTGAATTTATATTATTTGAAAATTAACAATGGGGAGCATGTGCAACATCTTTTAAAAAACTCTTATAGAGAGAGTGAAGGGAGTGATTTTTACATTTTTTCATATTATAGAAAACGAAAGTTTTTACAAGTGCATTCTTAAAGCACTTCCGCAACAGCTTTCTAAATCTTAATAAAATAAGGTCAAGTTTAAAGTTTTTTGCGGGTGTTGTTGTATATAAACAAAAACCCTCTTGATCAAGCGCTTTTAATGTGTCACAACATCGTTTAAAATTTTTTGTTGGCTTACCTACAAACGTTTTTAAATTCAATATTATTTTAATTACAACGTTATGGAACTGTACGACAAATATATGGGAAAGTATTATCGCACCGTGCGAACGTTGCCAACTAAACGTGTGGTCAAAAATAATAAAACTTTGAAAGAACATAGTTTTATTCCTACGAAATTGCTTATGTTGAATATGAATTGGCTGGACTTTAAAGGTAAGAAAAAATTTTAAATTTTTGCCATATTTTATTGCACCCTTGTTTGCTATATTTTATCGCACCCCAGCCCTACCCTGTCCCTGCTATAGCCCAATCCTAACTCTACGCTACTCCTCAACTAATGTTAAATATTTTAGAATTCAATATAGTAGAAGCAATATTGTATGTTACTGTAATAATCATGACGACATCGCTTTTTTCAATTGTCTTAGTATTACCAGACGCCTTGGACAAATTACATACAACGCGTACTGTAATTTCTGAAGTGTCATCACAATTTCGAATTGAATCAAATGAACTGTGGCAAGAATTATTGGAATTTAACAATGGAAGAAAAAAAAGAAGTTTGACTTTGGAAGAAATAAAAATTTTAGCAGCTAAGTCAACTTTAAATCGACGGGTTTTTAAAAATGATAAAAATGATCACGGTACCAAACAATGGCATAAGATCCCGAACAGAAGTGGAAGTACTAAAAATAAAGTTGTGAGTCAAAACAGTTTTAAAAGTACGAAAAATCGTCTTTCAAAGGAGGTCAGTACTCAAGGTAGCAGAACTATTACTGCTTTCAACAAAGATGGTGATAAATTAAGCGTAGGACAACTAAGTGATGCTAGACAAGCAAAGAAAAGCTTAGAAAATAACAAAGTAAAAACACTGCAGAAAAATAATACCAACTTTAGAAAGACATTTCAAAATGCCATTTCTGTCAAGAAGGGTACAAATGACGCTATCTTTGACAAAAAACCTTTAAATAATACCAGTTTACCCAAAAATGCTGTAAGAAGAAAACAAATCAACAAAAATCATGTTCATAGCCATAAGAACCAAATACACAATTTTGGCCCACAAATAATCGACTCTAAACATCTTCACATCCTTAATATGCCATCTTCAGTTAAAGACAACACCCCCAAAAAGCAATACCTACATCATCAATCCGATAATGAAGTTTCTTACAAAGCTAGACATCCTAGAAACTACAAACTGCTAAATACTGGTTCAGCTTATCCTAAAAGTGCTAGACCAAGACAAAATGGAGTTTTAAACATCAATGATGAATACTCTGACATAATAGACGCTTTTTCAAACAGTGATGACAATGCTGATGCCAAAACTCAAAATGTCATAAATGATGACATTTTTGAGACTTCTGATTTTACTTTAGCCTCAAAAGATGAATATACAGAACCAAAAATGAACTTGGCTACTGATGATTCTGGCTTCAATAATTTTTCTACTAAATTTTCAAATAATGACAACTCATCAATAAATAGCAAAAGTACACCAAATGAGCCCAGAAATTACGGTAATGATACGAATTTTATCAAACCTTTTGAAAACACTTCAAAAAATAAAAACGTTTTTAAAAACTCAAATAAAAATGACCTACAAAGAACTACAGTACCTTATAATGTTGTCGACATATTAAACCAACATGAAGAAGAAGAGGAGTTACCTAAATATCAATTCGATACTGGACTAGAACCATTACCTACACCGGAAAATAAAAATGGTTTGTTTTATCTACCCTGCTACACTTTTCCTATATTAATTTATAGTCCATGATGTTATAATAACTCATTTTTAGATTCATCGACGGAAAAAATAGTAACACTAGAAAGTGTACCTGTACCATTAGGTTATATACCGTTCCCATTCCAAAAATTCAACTTTTTGGGCAATGAAGATCTATCCGACAGTGACAAACCTACATCGACTACTGAAAAATCAGACTTATTAGAAGACAACGCTTCTGTCGACAGTTTTAATGAAGACATTTTTGATGAAAAGCAAGCTGCTACTGCGTTGGAAGTAAGTTAATATTACCGTCTATCGGTCGCAGTCAACAAAGACCGATTTCACAGTGCAAAAGGTTTTTTGTAAATTTAAACGATTTCAGCATTTAATCCGAGTAAACACTATAGAAGCCCATAACAAACACATATTTCCGGACAAAGTCGACCAATACTTACATCCAGGTGGACCATCGACTGTAGCACCAGAACCACTAGAGTCATCAATTATAGAAAATGCATCATTTGGAATGGAAATGACAGTCGAAGAATGTCAAGGACCTTTAGGAGACCCGGGAGATCTGGGAGAAGATGGTTATGATGGTATAAATGGACCTGATGGTGCTCCTGGTGCAGATATGTCATTAGAGTATATTGAGGATGAAGATGGCTGTCAGGTGTGCCCAACAGGCCCGCCGGGCTTTGTTGGAAAAGAAGGAGACATGGGTAAACAGGTAAACTATATAAGTTATATTTTTTATCTGAAAATAAATTAAATATTGATTTCTTTTTTAGGGAATACCCGGTTTTCCAGGCCCTCCAGGATTCGTTGGTCTGGACGGAAATTCATCTGATTGTACAGGACCAATCGGACCAGCGGGTGATCCAGGTTTGCCTGGTAATAACGGGCCAGTTGGTTCGCCTGGTGATGATGTTATGTCGGGAATTGGAGAACCAGGCCCAGAAGGAGAAGAAGGCTTTATTGGACCAAGAGGTACTGTAGGGCGACCTGGCAAACCTACAGTATTCTTGCCTGGACTACCTGGAAAGCAGGGACTACAAGGACCACCCGGTCGGAACGGTTCGCCTGGTCAGGGTGGTGTTGTCGGAGTGGCCGGTGAACCTGGGAATGATGCTAGGTAGGAAGTTACTCTGTTTCCAGTTGGAACTATGATTTTTTAAAGCTAAACTTTATCTTACATATTCAAAATAATATATATTATAAATGTTTTCAGCTACTGCCCATGTCCAAGACATCCTGGTTTGAACCCGAATTCCGCCAAGAAACCCTACAAATACTCATTGACACCTTTGAGTCAGGGAAATCCCTTCGGCATTGTTTCTTCCGAACCTTTGATACCGAAAAAGAAAGTCCCTTGGATTAAAGACAAAGTCAAAAAGTTTAAATCTGCTTTGAATCCCAAGGCTTTTTAAAAAATGTTGATAAATTGAAATTAAGCTCTGCTTCCATGTAAATAAAAATAATTAGGAGCATTACAAGCCCTTGTATACATCTACAGATATACATATAAGAACAATATCCAGTTGTTACAAATAAGCCACAAAATGACAACTATTACAGTTTATTCAAAAATAAACGCGTATAAACCTGACAAAAATTTGAACTTCCTAGTAGTACCATGGATCAAAGTCCGGGCCACGGTTTTCACGAAGATGCGCGTACTTACGGCTTTGTCCCTTCATCATAGAAGATTTATACAAAATGGCCTGATCATAGCAATGACCTAAAAACCAAAATATTCAAACTGTTTTTTAACGTTAAAACTTAACGGTCAAGCTTTAATCCCCTTAAAAGATGTCAGTAATAGTTCTAATGCCGTATAAAGTTGACTAGCATCTAAACATCGTTAAAAACTAATAAAAATACTTACCAACATAATAGGCAAACGGCACAAGAGCAAGCTTGGCTTTGTTATTCTTCACGAAGGTTTTAACAGCGTAGCTGATGGTAAAAGTTCCCATCTACAATAAAAAAACTATCAACTAAAGAACGAAAAAGACAAAAAATATTAATGTTAAGCATATTTTATTAAATTATCCCTTTAATGCCCAAAATTACCTTAGTTTTTGAGAGTTTTCACGTCCTGCGAAGACAAAAGTTGGTTAACAAACGTTGCTTTTTCGCCTCGTTTCCACTGATAAGTGTGAAACCAATCTAAAAAGATTAGTCCAAAGCAAATCACAGGTGTAGCGACGAAAGTAGCACGTTTTTTCCACACGTACGACGACGATAGCCGAGGATCCACCATAAAAAAGTTTTGACGACAAACGAGAAAAAGCTAGAAATCGTAAAACTTGACACAGTAAAAAAAGAAGAAGACTTGACACGGCGGTTTTTTTCGGATTTGAAAGATACGTAAAATAAAAGTGTTGACAAAACTTACCTTCTTGGACGACATTACTAAAGTAAAATAAGTTTAATTTGACATATATTTTAATGAAATTCGTTTGTAATATATATTGTTTTGGATCGAACATAGCTTACGAACAGTAAATAATACTAATAAGTAGTGCAGTTTACCGAATTCTTTTTATCATCTGGAAACTTCTTTTAAAAACGATGATTAAAGATTGTTTTCATTACAAATTGTTGATCAAAAATCGACCCTAATTTCAACACAGTTATAACGATTTATAGTTATACTGATCAATTTTTGTAAGCTCATTGTGAGCTTTGTGACGCTCAGGGGCGTCGCTACGGTTTTTCTCTGAGATGGGGGGGGGGCAAAAATTTTGTTTAGTCCACGGGTCTTCGATCCGCTCTGGTGAAGACATTGCATTTTAAAAAGTAATTTTACGGTATCCTTTTCCCATAATCAATAACTTTTTTGGCAATTATATAAAAGTTAGGATTTTTTGTTTGTTTCATTAAAGTGCTGTTTATTTTCTATTCTATTTTATTATCCAATGTCATTTTTTGTTTATAATTTTGCTTCTACTAAAATATGTGTTGTCAAAACATCACGTGTTATTAATTATAACAGCATTTTACAATAAGAGTCACGTTTCAGCACCATTTTGTGTTTAGTCAACTGAACGCCAATATTAAGATGGAAAACAACTTTTCACAAGTACATTACACTTACTTTTATCATAAACTTCGGTTTTAATAAAGAAAAGTTAGTTATTCTTGCAAGATCCTTGCGGGCCTTTCAATGACACTCTTTTTTACGTAAACTTTTATATTGTAATGTAAGTTTAAACTTTTATATGGTATTTGGAGTTTATGCTTTAACTATTGTACTGTATTTTAAATCTTATGCTAGTTATTATGATAACTGTAAATGGGCAGTTGAAAGCCTCGAGTTGTGCCTAAACATGCCTAATTTAGCTAAACTATAATATAAAGAAGCTCGATGTTGTGCTAAAATAATGTTTTTATGACATCTTGAATGATGTTTGTTAACATCTTACAAAAACACATCTGAGTCTCTAAAGAGTGATTAAACAGTTCTGAATCGCTGCAAAAGTGACAAATATTCGCCGACGTCAATGTGAAATTGATCAAATATCTCCAAGATACTATTCACGTGTGTTTGAGGCGTCGAGCGAAAAGGGTGGAGATCATTCGATTAAACGGTGACGAAAGTTTTGGTCAGTTAAATTCATCAAGATGTTCTTACAGTGCAAACTATTCGATTATAAAGGGGGTAGGAATTCAGCATTGGGCTTTAGGTATGGCGGGGAAAACTTTCAGGATGAATAAAACTAGAAAAAAAACAATTGAAGAAGGTTTATATATTTGATATCGATGTTCTTTTTTGATTTAAGGTAGATTTGTTATGTTTGGGCAGGGTAAGGTAGGTAGATTAGGGTAGAATAGCGAAAGGCACGTTAATAATTGACAGTAAGGTACGATATACGAAAACTTCCAAGTTGTGCATCATATTGCAATACTTTAATTCGCTTTCCAATTTGTTTGCAGTGCCGTATATAAATTTTACATTATGTTATGTAACGTACTGCAGACATTACTATAACTTACTTTATCACGTTTCAAATTTAAAAAAAACCCATAACTCACTTATATGTTTGTCGCTTTAGTTCCGTCTTCCGAAGTAACGTTACAAAATAATATTGTTAAACATTTTTCGATTATTTTCAATGATCATTAAAAATTTTTGTTAAACTAAGCGCAGTATATAAACATCGTGGGTTTGTTTTTCACATTTGTTTTTGGAAATTTTTGGGGAGATTCTTTTTCATTTTACAGTAATTATGTGGTAGTGTTCTTCTGCTGCCATCTTTAAATTTGTGCGATAACGATGATTTTAAGAAAGTACCAATTAGCTTACAATGTTAAATTAATTCAAAACGTTTAGCCTTTTCTGATTTGTACTCTTTATAAGACATGTTGTCGTGAAGACATGCTCTACATACGGTAAATTAACGTGGCGTGTACTTCAAAACAACTAATTTTATAACTTTATCAAACTTGTTTTAGAAATTCTGTCTAAAATAATGTCAATCAGACTATTTGCACTAGTCCTATGCGTTTCAACACACATAGTAAATTCAAAAGTGCATAATATCAAAGGATGCATAGTTAAAGTAAGTTATATGATCGTTCTTCGAATCAAATTGGGTAAAATTGTATTTTTGATAACTATAGGTATTGTATGATACGAGGAATATATGAATGATTTTAGGACAATGTAATAGTGGAATGCGATGGCACATACACACCAATAACTGAAGAACATGAATTTATTCTAGATCAATATATGGATAGATTAGCAGCGTATTATAGGCAATTAGTAAGCAATTTTTTCCTTTTTTAAGCCTTAAAAATCCTCTTGAACAATTTTTTTAAACTTGTGGCATTTTATGGCATACACAAGTTTAAATTTGTCAATTTCAGTATCCAACCGACGGTTCAAAAGCCAAATTTGCGTACCAATTGGAGTACCCCGAATATCCAAGACTTTGCAAATGGTGCGACATCCCGAATTTTTAAATATTCTTCATAAGTACTGTCGTAAACTTTAGCAAAATAACCTCAAAAGATCTTCATTTCGTGCCATTTTGACACAAAAGTGCCTTACAGCTTTAATTTTACCAGTTTCAATAAAGAATTTTAAACATAAAAAATCCTTGTGTGAACCGACCAAGATTACAGGTAGAACTTTTAAAATAAAAGAACAACCACAACAGAGCAAAAAAAATGACAAACAATAAAAAAAAACAAATACAAAGGATCAAAGTTTATTTTTACAAACAGTCGAGTATCATTCGGCCTTGATGAGCAGAATCACTTCGCCAGCTTGAGCGCCGGCCTTGAATGGAGCTTGTGCGTCATCTTCCTCGGCTGGTACCTCAGCCCACTGAACCACGAGTTTGTCTTCCTTTGGGGGACCATTCAAACGGATCACCTCGATGCTGGTCTTTTCTTTTGGCGGAATAAAACCGTAGACCGGCTTTACACGGTAATGTTCATTGTTCGAACTCTTGACCTAAAAAATTTTAGTTTAGCAATATGTTAAATCAAATTACGAATAACAGTACGATGTACGCTTTCCTAGGCCATTATGTCAACAAAAGTCGTATATCCCTAAATTGCACAAAACATACCAAAAACGCATAAAAAACGGTACCTAACCCAAAAACAGTACTAAAACAAAATTACCTTGAAAGCCAAGCGAGTATCAGTGACATTGCTGAGCTCGTGAGACGCTTTGCCGCCAGAAGCAGGGAAATTGCCAGTTGGGGGTTCGATGTTCAAAGCCATTTCGCTTTTCGACCGTTCCGCACTGTTCTCAACCCAAAGAATTGAGTGGAAATGCCAAAATGCGTTGAAATTGGACGTCTTTCGAGTTTATGCAAATTTTCGAACTCTGAAACTTGAGAGATTTTTTTTTCAAATTTCGAAAACCGAAAAACCTACGTGAAGAAAAAAATAAAACAGTTTTGGCTAGTCAAGCCTTAAAAGCGTCTGTGACCTCTGCCTACCTCTTGAACTAATTTTAGAGTTGGCACCAAAACAATAAGAAAACAGAAGTATACCTCAATAACCACAAACAAAGAAAATAACCTACCATCATGAGCCGTTCCTATAACACCACAAGATAATGCTTTCTGCCAATGTTATCGTATTCTCTGAGTTTTCATATCCTGCGATGTCGAAAGTTGCTTGACAAACCTTAATTTCTGACCGTGTTTTCACCAACAATTCTAAAAACTCTCCAAAAAAATCATCCCATAGAAAATCCCAGGTGTAGCAATAAAACTAATACCCTTTTCCACACAAACGACGACGATATCCGAGTTTTCACCATTTTGTGCGCAGAAGCCGAAAGCTTTTGTGAAGTAAAGTATAAAAAGAAAAAACTTGACACAAAATGGGACGAAGAAAATCTTGACACAAGAAGAAATCATCGACGAAAAAATATTTTTTCACCAAATTTGCATAAAAAACTAACGAAATGAAGAAAGAAAGTCACGTTTTTCGACCGAATTTGAATAAAAAACAAGAAATTCAATTTTCCAAAAATTTGAATAAGTCAGTATGAGTGCAGGTTTTTGGGTATAAAAGCCCGGCCGATCCTCATCATCCTCAATTACCGGTTTTTCTCGGTTCTCTCGTCGAAATGGCTTCCGTCGCTCCAGGAGATATCACCACCCAACCAGGCACCAAGGTCGTCTTCAACGCTCCATACGATGACAAGCACACCTACCACATCAAGGTATGTTCATGGATAAGGCTTTGGAGTTTTTGTCTATGTCACCGCCTTTCTTCGGATTTTGAAAATTTTAAACTTTTCTAGTTTTTAGATGATTTTTGCCAACTTTTAATATTATTTCAATGTTTTCTTCAGGTTATCAACGCCGGTGGTCGTCGTATCGGATGGGCCTTCAAGACCACCAACATGAAGCGTCTCGGTGTCGATCCCCCATGCGGTGTTTTGGACCCCAAGGAAGCCGTCTTGGTCGCCGTCTCTTGTGATGCCTTCCAATACGGTCAGGAGGACACTAACAACGACCGTATCACCATCGAATGGACCAACACCCCCGATGGAGCTGCCAAGCAATTCCGTCGCGAATGGTTCCAGGGCGATGGAATGGTCCGCAGAAAGAACTTGCCTATCGAGTACAACCCTTAAATTTGTCGTTTAGTTACATAAAGCTACCTTTTTAAACTTCGGATTTGGTTTTTTTGTTTTTTGAGATTTAGGCTTGTGATTTTAAAATTGTTGGATTTTTAGGCTTATTTTTAGATTCTTGGTTCATATTGTTGGTTTTGTTCGTTTTTGACTTTCAGTTTTTTTTATTTCGAGCTTATTTGTGAGTTCGTAGGCGTATCTTTTGAATTACTATTTTTGTAAGTTTACACCTGTCTTTGGTATTCTGTTTTGTTTTAAACTTAGGCTTAGTTTTATCATTTTCTACTTGTTTTGTTTGTGTTTTTTAATTTTAGTCTTATTTTTGAGCTTGACTGCAGGTTTGGCCGTTTTTTGACATTTTGTCATCGTCAAATGAGTTTGCAATTTTAATTGTATTAAAAACTAGCAAAAAGTTTATCAGGAATTCTTTACTCCAACGTTATGCTAAGCATAATCACAAACTGTTTGCTACTACTTTATCGGCATTTTTGCGAATTTGAAAAAAACGTCTTTTTGTCTGTCCATTTTCCTATGGGAATTGTCCTGAAAGATAAATGAACTTTGTTTTAATATAACTGTAGCGTTTACTACTTTATTAAGCTTTTTAAGAGGTTTTTAATCTAAGATATATCAATCATGTTGTTCACATTGTTTTAGACATTTTGCGCAGTAAAACTACGGTTAAAAGTTTAAATTTTTTTAGTATTGTCATTATGGTATGACTTTTTGGCAATACGCATGAAACATAATTTACTTTTTAATGGGGTTTTTGTCATTTTTTTCAGATTTTTGAAGTTACTCATGGACAAAAATAAAAATATGGAAACTTATGTCTTTTTTATACCTTGTAAGCAAAGTTCCTGCATTTTTTTTTCTTTTCTTATATTTTATAAAATATGTTGCTCGTTACGTTAACTTGTGTTCATGTCAGTTTTGTCATCAGAATTAGAAAACGAGAGACAGGAAATAACAGAAAAATGGGGGTCAAAACATGTATTAGTAGGACAACATGAACTGCTGTCTTTTTGCTACTAGACATTTTTAATTTATTTCGCTTTTTAGATAAAATGTCATTTGCAATGATGCACTTACATTGGTTATACTATATTTATGTATGATTAAATCCAGTACTGGGTGGGCGATTTTGGTTGAGAGAGGCTAAACTGCCTTCTGGGGATAGAGTTTTTCTACGTTTTATTGAAACTATGTTTTAAAAATCATATTGAAGTATTGTTTTAGATCAAAATTTTGTTCCGAATAGTAGAAGAGTACAGAGACGAGCTCTACTACGTTTTTGGCGTGGTCTGCTTGGGTTCGTGGTTTGCGTTCAACATGTGGGTGCTACGAGACTACTTCTTCCCATGTTGGTTTCCACCGATTTATACTGCTGATGGATTTTTGAAGGTACAGTATAGGTTTTTCGTTTGTTTTCTGAAAACAAAGTTGTTGCCATTTTATGTTCTGTAAAGAAAGTTTTTTCTATTTTCTTGTTTTTAATACAGGCTTTGCGATTTTATTTGCTGTAACAAGTTATTGCCATTTTAGGAAGAGTTGGAACAAAGAAAACAAGAAATATTAATGAAAAATGGCTACCAAACAGCTTTGGTGTTGCCCACAAAACTCATGATAGTACCACCAACTTCGAGGGCTAGTCGATTGTCACGCTCTCAACCGGATGTTTTTACAATCAATATTGAAAGCGACAGCGATGCCGTTTCATTCCGGTAGTTTTAAAGCTTTTTTTGAAATTTCATCGATTTTTTTTGTACATTTAAAAAACCAAAATTAAGTTTTGAAACGATTTCATATCAACATGAGACAGAAATAAATTATTACATATTGAGCTAATAAACATATATTGCAACCTTTAGAATTTTGTTTATATTTTTAGGATTTCAATTCTTTATTTAAAATAACAAGTACAAAGAAAGATAAATTTTTATTCGTATTACCGATCTTAATTATTATAAGAAATCACAATTGGCTCCGAGTATAATGTACAGCAAATAAATATGACGGGTATGAAATCGAAAAATAGCACATCATTTGTTCAATACATGTCAGAACAGTAATAATTTGGTTATAAATCATCAAAGATTAATGTAAAAAAGAGTAACGTGTATTGTATCATACTGAAACCACAGATACCACGTAAAATTTGAACAATAATCTACAATAACATGCCAAAAAGACTACAATTCAAGGATATGGGGCGTCAAAATCGACGATAATCAACTTTGTGTCTTCTGCCTGGTTTCTCGACCCAACCGCACAAACCAAGCAGGTTGAAGTTGCCTCAACTCTCCAAACACATCCTCCCAACGGTTGCAGTTGTACTAAATTACATATGAAAATGCCAGTTTTGATGTTCCATAGCTTGACAATACCATCATCGCTGCTGCTGACGATCAAATCATCTCTTATAAACTGTAGTCCTGTCACCGCTGCTGTATGTGAATTCTGACCGGTCAATATGTGCACACAAGTACCATCCTCAACATTCCAAACCCTTATACTGTGATCCGCGTTCCCTGATATTAGATATCCATTTCTGAGCTGCATCGCCGATGTAAGGCTGTTGTGTCCAACCAGAGTATGTATACATGTGCCATCATTAACATTCCACACTCTGATAGTCTGGTCAAGAGACCCTGAGAATAGCAGGCCTTTCTCTTTGTCCAATAGTAATGAATATACTCGATTTTGATGTCCAATGAGTATTTGAGTGCGTTCACATGTTTCGGCGTTGAAAATAGCAATTTTGTGGTCATAAGACCCCGTGATTATGTGTTTTCCATCGTATTCTACACATCGTATGGCTGCATAATGTGCTACAAGAACACTGATGAACTCTCCAGTATCGAGGTTCCATAGACGTGCTGTACAGTCACGAGAGCCGGTTACTAACCTAAAATTTACATGAATGGTAAAACAATTGAATTATAATAAAAGAATAAACAACCGTTATAAAAATGTGTAAAAACCTACCGATTTCCCTTCATAGCCATACATCTGACAGTACTTGTATGCCCTTGAAGACAATGAATTTGTTCTCCAGTTTCTGTGTTCCAAACTCTAGCAGTTCGATCAGTTGAACCGGAAATGACCTTTTTCCCGTCATCTGTCAAAATCATTGACCATACTCCACCACCATGGCCTTGTAATACGTGCATACACTAAAAAATATAAATAATAATGTTAAGGACATCAGAATAGATAATTTTTGTCTATATTTTTATAAAAGTATCTTGCTTCTTAACTTTTTGAAACTTTTACCTTTGCTCTTGAAATCGACCAAATTCTAACAGTCGTGTCATCGGATGACGTCGCAATTAAGTCGCCTTTCACCTGCATTCCTGTAATAACATGATCATCATGACCCGCAAGATGACATTGAGCTGTGGGCTTGTTTTGCATCCAATTTCGATAAATTCGATTGTTTCTGAAAACCACAACAACATTATTAAGTTAAAACTTTCACTTCGCCAAAAACGACGTAAACATTGAGCTGTCTTTCATTAAATGCTACCTAAAAACAAAACAAAAATTTTAAAATTATACCTCAAATATACAGCTTTCCAGTAAGCCCGTTTGAAGCATTCATTCTCCGTATTTGGTTCAGAATCCCGATTTGATACAACTCTGCCAGTTTCCCAGAAATTTAGCCGTCCATTTTGTGGATTCAACAAGTTGTCTTCAGCTATTTCCCATGAACTTCTGTGTGCCAAACTGAACAATTAAAACTACTTTGCAAAAAATGTAAAACATGTTTAACAGGTGTTAAAAATTCTACCACTTTTCAATACTTTAATTTCAACTCACTTTGGTGGTGTATTTGGAGGAATAATATTGTTTTCAATGCATTTTTCTCTCCATAAAACATTATCTTCACACAAAACTCTCCATCGTCTACAAATCATAGATGCTTTGTACAAATCTTCAGCCGTTAGATAGTTTAATATCAAATGAGATATCTAAAGAAAAGTTAGTTCTTAAGCATATATTTATATATACAAAAAATTAGTTTTACTATAGTATAATAAAAGAATTACTAAAAAAAATAAAGTATAATCCTTACTTACTTCTTTAGGTAACAAACTAATAATGTCTTTTTGTAACAACGGTTCAACCACTTTATGTATATGTCGGAGATGAGCTGGCCTGCATGAATTTACAAGTTCTGTTAATGCTAAAAGCTGACTTTCCTTTGACATTGCTTCAAATCCTCGTAACCATTTTTCCGTATCTACTGAAGTCGATTTTTGTTCGATAGATGAAGATTCGGCATTTAAGCCTGTACCAGACGGTCCACATTGGCTATCTAGTTCGTTATTTGCTGTATTCAACTCTAAGTCAGCTTCTGAATCCATCTCTGATGCTGATCTCTTCAGTTTTTTCTGAAAACAATCACTCTAGAAATTTTAGAGACAAATTCACCAGAACCTTTGCATAAATTTTCAATTTTGAGTGACAGTACGAACGATCCTTTCTAAATTAGAGCTCACGATAAGATAAAATCAGACATTTTTGATAAGAAAGTGAGAACAATCTAGCTAAACTTTCGTTCTTCGCGTTTTACCCGCTTTTAGACAACCTTCTCTAAAGACCATGTGATTCGATACTTTTTACGATATAGTACGATATCATAGATTACCTTAGAAGTCAAGATAGCTACATTCCTTTACAATTCACATCTACTCTTCAAAACCTAAATATAAAAAATGAAAAAAAACAACTCACAATAATAGTTTTCGCTGGTTTCTCTGCTCGCGTGGTCACAGTTCGTCTTCCGTTTTTCTTGCGATTCATTCCGCTTTTTTAGAGGAATGTTGAAAAAGAATGTATTATTTACAATATCATTTGCTGTAAAGTCAAGTTTGAAATTATAGAACGTGAATTAAAAAATACTTTATCATATCGCAAAATTAATCGAGCATTTTCACATAAGATATCGCATAAAAATCGAAAATATTAATAAAAACTAACAGGAAAAACATTATAAAAAACAAAGCAATATTTCCTTTAAAATTTACATTTTAATATATCTGTTTATAGCTTTATACCCTATTTATATTTAAACAAAGAGATTATGGCTAAATGTCAGATAAAAAATTATTGAACAGAGCACAAAGCCAAAAGCGTTTTCGTGGTAGGACCAATTCTTCTTCACGGAAAGAAAATCTTACAAAAACGTTTATGAACGCAGCAAGTTGAAACAGATTTATCAGTAAAATATATTTATTATAATGTAATAAATTATTTTCTTTTATTTTTAATTTATTGGCCCATAGACCAAATATGTTGATTTTTTACTGGTTTGACCTTCTTTTTCAAGTTTTTTACGAATTCGAATGATTTCTGCATCAGCAATCACTTGAAAATTTTCTGGAGGTTCATGAGATGATAGGAATTGATGTACGTCTATCAGTTCAATCTAAAAATTTAATTTTATTATCAATAGTTACTCAAATTTCTTACTTCTGCTTCCTGATTTGGTGTTTCATAAACGGCCACATATTTGCCTTCCAACTTTAATTCGCAATGCATACTATTGGTTTGATATGATTTTGACACAAATGGAGTTGGGGAGGCGATAATTTCGAATTGTCGATGAAATTCTTCTTCAACTTCTTTCTGAATGGCATGCACAATTCGGTGTAAATTACAATGCACAAAGTTAGGGTCATTTCTGACAAGATTGTACGCTCTGACAATAGCATTTTCTAAGGTTGCGTTACAACATGATTTAGTGACTTCATTTATGATACACTTGTCTTCGTCCGTTTTGTGCTTAGCAATACTAACTGGAATTGTCACAAAAAAGGTTTCGTTTCGGGGGAAGGCTTCGACTCCTTGGAGGGAATTGGGATGGCGCTGAAAGACAAAAATTATGGTTATTATTTTTATTGACTATTAATGGATTTTTTAAACTATGAAATTCTTTGTTAAATATGTCATCATAAAAGTTTTACCCTGTAAATTTCATCGCTGTCTTCGAAACTGTTAAGCTCGTGACTAACAAAAATTTGTTTCGAATTTTTTCGATCTTTTTTATCATCCAACTTTTCTCTCCAATTAACAATGCCAGCCAATCTGGCACGTTTTGTTTTTAATCTGAAATACATTATGAGCTAAAAAATTTTAATTTAAAAAATGTGTAAATTTAAAATTTTATGCAAGAATAATATGTCAGCATGTTATTCAATTATTTAAATAAAAACGTTTTGGCCTGGCCTTACTCTTGTTCTTTCCTTCGTTTAAGAAAATATTGTTTCAGATCAGGTATATGGCTGGCTTGGCTAACCGGATGATCTCCTCTTCTAGTCTAAAATTATTTTATAATTTTTTAAAGGCTATAGCTGGTAAAAAATAAATTGTTTTTATATAAATTTTAAGAGTTTCCTGAAAATATTTTTTTTGATAATCGTTACACTTTTCAAGGTCAAAGTAATTTTCAGCATAATGGTAGACCAATTTGACTAAATTCTTAAATTTCGTTTCGGGCATTTTGAAATAAATTGGTCAAAAAATTTATAGAATGTACTTATTTTGATTCAAATGATAGAGTCTTTGCTTACCACAGCAAATTCATTGTTTCGGATTGTAGGATTCGCTACTATGTCAGTCGTCTCTTTGTCAAGGAATGGTAATTGAGCGACACAAGTTGCTATTATGGTTAGAAATGGCACAGTGAAGTCAAAAACGCATATTTGTATTTTCATCTGTAAATATTTATATATGTATTTATACAATGTACACATTAATATGGGGGGAGGGGGATGCAGAGGACACACAGTAAAAAATGAAAAAAATCTTGTTAATTAAAACTTAAGTAAAAACTTTTTAAATCTTGTCAAGATCTCTTTCTCATCCCTAATATCCTTTAAATACCTCTTACAACATATATATCAGTTTTTTGGAGGCACAACAACATTAACGTACATTAAGACTTTCTCTTCCGCAAAACCTCCGCCCATTTACTTTGTGTTTATTGAAGTTGAGTGAAAAACCGGTATACGAGCATCTTATAAATATTGTGCCGGTAAAAACGACCGTTTATAGCACCTCATTTATTGCCACTTAGCTTCCGTAAAGATTATCTTTGGTTTATTTTCGTGTTTACTCTGTAAACTGGTATGAAATTACAGTAAGGCGGTGAAGAAAGTGAAAAATAAAGATGGAAATATAATTTTTTTTATGTATATGTGCATGTATTATATGTTTATTATGTACATGTAAATTTATATTATAAATATTAAAAATTGTTAATTTTGAACACAGTGTGAATTGAAGCCAAGTTGTCCGGTTGGGTAAAATAACATAAAAAGAAGCGGTCCTGTGGATTGATATGTTGATTTCAGAGTTATTAATATTTTGCCATGCTCGTTGACATAAACTTCGTATCGTGGCAATTCACCGTCAATACCTTGTTCAAAAAGAACATCTACTTCATTTACACGCGGCGGGTTGAAACCAGTATTTTGCCTGCACCGTGCGGACCGATTTGAAAAAAATTACGGACCGGACCTGACAAATAGCCTGACCGGAACTGACAAAAAATGTCGGGCGCGGTCCGCGAAAATAAATTTAATACATTTGGGCGCGACGTGCGTTTCAAAAAATGCTTTTTGAAAGTAGGGGTGAGAAAAGGGCCGGGCCCACTTTTAAGGCCCGGCCCAGGCCCGGGGCCCAACGTTTAGGCCCGGCTCGTTTTCAATTTTCTCTCAGGCCGGCCCGGCCCGGTCAGAAAAATTTCTAGGCCCGGCCCGGCCCGTTTTAAAAAATTTTAAAACTTAAAAAATAAACGGAAATTTGGCTTTGCATTGTTCTTTTAGATGATTTATGTATCATGGTAAAATCAAAAAACACCAACGGGGATTAAAATGAAAAATTTTTTAAAATTTAAAATTTTTTTTTCGGGCCCGGGCCCAATTTTCAAGCCCGGCCCGCGGGCCGGGCCTAACCTTTGGGCCTGGCCCGTTTCAGTTTTAGCACAAGGCTGGGCCTAGACGGCCCGTTTCTCACCCTATTTGAAAGGCTGATCCACGCTTTACCCGCAAAAGTTTTTGCCTGCCGAAAAAAGTCTAACAGTCGAAAACCGTGTGGCGCTCATAATCTGACCTTCGAGTCTCCTTTGGGTTTATGTAAGCCTTCAAGGTTAAAATAAATTATTCTAATGCTTCGCTCTACCGACTTATTTTTTGTCGTGTTGGGATTTGTCGTCTACACACTCATCGACATACAAAGTAAACAACGGGATATTTTGAAAAAGTGAGTTTTTTTATAAAAATGAGTATTTTTTTGAATTTAGGATACAAAATCAACCGGAAAATACACAAGAAAATGTCAAAAACGCGCCAGTTGCTTGGGTACGTGGGAAAAAGGTACGTTCTAGTGGGACAAAAAATGCAAAAAATGAGGTATAAAATGGTAACAACTAGTTATAGAGTTATAATCACTAAATTAGTTTGACATTAATTTTAAATGTGTAAATATATTTTTAGAGTTCAACGGATTACCTAAAGCACATAAAGACTGTATTTAAACGAGTGGGCTACGATGTCGTAGAAGGTGAAGCTGAGCCACAAAAGTGGGATGTCTTTTGGTCTCACGAATATCCATTTACAACATACAAAGATGTTATACAGAAGGTACAGCCAACGCAATTGGTCAACCATATACCTGGTAGTTCGTATTACACCTTTAAAGTAAGGATTTTTGAAATAATCAACACTGCCGTACCTTACCATTCTACCTTACTCTATGCTACATTATTTTGCCAAAAGCAATCTTATTTTTTGCGCAAAATTTTTTTTTCGTATTTTACAGACAATTATTTTAGGTATTCCTCGCAACAGCAGGATTGTCCAAAGGAATTCCGAAGTCATTTGCTTTACCTCAACAAAGCCATGATTTCAAAGAATATGCCAAAAAGAATCCAAAGGTACAGTGGGTTCAGAAGAGTAACGCTCATCGAGAAATTCGAATTTTAAAGACTGACCAAGTAGAATTGAGTCGTGCTGATAGTTTTGTACAGGAATATGTCAGTAATCCATTATTGATTGACGGAAAGTAAGTTTTTTTTTCAAAACTTAAAAATTATTGCAAATTTTTTGTCAACAGTGAAAAAATATTAATAATTTTTGAAAAATAGCAAAATCTTTGCTGAGAAGAGTGAAATTCACTTTTTAGGAAATTTGATCTTGGTATCTACACCGTTGTGACATCTTTATCACCACTACGAGTTTACATTTACGAAAATGAAATTTTACTTCGATTCTGTCCAAAAGAATACCATCCATTTGATGCCAATGACTTGGATAAATACGTCGTTGCTGATGATTACACACCTATTTGGGAGGTATGTTTTTAAAACAAGATTCTTTTATTTACTTCAATATCTTTCTATAAAATTTCTATTGTTGTCTTGGATTTTATTTTGTTGTTTTACACAGTTTTATATTGTTTTTTAAAGTAAACAAGTTAATTTACATTCCAGATGCCTTCATTCAACAATACCTACAATACTCAAACGTTGTCGTTCAAAAACTCGTTGGCGGTTTATCTGGAATCTCAAGGAAAATCGATAAATACAATTATGGATCAAATACGATCGACGATTCGTGAAGTTTTTGAACGACTAAATCAAAAAATGACATCAAATTTGCATTCGTTCGAAAACTCAGAAGTATTTTTCGAACTAAGCAGATTTGACTTTTTGATTGACGAAGATTTAAATGTGTATTTGATGGAAGCTAACATGTCACCAAATTTGAGTTCTCAGCATTTTAAGCCTAACGCTTTATTGTACGAGCAGTTATTGATCAACATGTTTTCATTACTGGGCATCAGCAATACTTATAAGCTCGCCAAGGAAGTAAAGTAGGTTTTTCTAATGTAATTATAAATCAGATGGAAAAAATGTCAAGCTTATTATGAAGCAAATTTTAGGTCAGACATTTCACTGCGTCAAATTGAAGTCCCAGACAGATCCTTATTTATAAATTTACCAAGTTGTAACCAAAAGTGTAAAGATTGCCCGGAAACTGTGGAAATGTGCCAGCTATGTGCCAATTGTATGCCAAATTCGCTAAAACTACACTTGGAAAATGCATATTACGAACACTTAAATCGACGTGAAATGAAAAGAGTTGCCCCGAGCGTAGAAGACGCTTTTTCAAAACTGACGAAGTTCGACAGGTTACAACAAATTTGGTTTAAGAATAAGTGTTTGGAGGACAAAATTTACTGTTGAAAGAATAAAGGTACTGATCTTAATAATGTGTTTCTTTGATACCAGTATAGGTAAAATCAGACGGGATAGGACGGGGTACGATTTGTTTTATTATGTTTAGGCTTATTCCGACTTTAGCTTAGGCTTATCTTTGTCCAAGATTTTTGCTTAAGCGCGGTAGATTTAATAATGACGTTTTACAATTATATCAATTTTTTCGTTTGTATACTTATATATCATGGCCAGATAAAACTAAGCAACTCTTTAGCACGCAGGGTATGTAGGATATGCTAGTAAAGTATAATACGGCATTGTAATCCATAAAAAAATTTATAATAGCTTATTGTAAAAATAGTGATGTTATAAAAGACAAAATACAATATTTTACTGTAGCACCATTAATCGCTACCATAGTCAGGGAAGGGATGATAAAGCAAAGGCGTTGGAGCTTCTCCAACTTGTCGTTCCTCTCCAAAAACTCCACTAATCAATGTTTCCAGTAGGTTCTTTTTGTCAGCTTCACGGGTTGTAGTAGGAATAGGTGTCGTTGTCAAAAGTAACTTTTCTTTTACGCAAATTGTTGCACCCGCCTAAAAAATTGCAAAATTTTAAATTTAAATGTATGACCCTTTGACATTAACTGCAAGTAAAGATACAAAACTGAAATTTCAAGTTATTATCAAAGTTTTATAACTAAAGATATTAAACTTACTTCCAAACTCTCGCAATCGATTTCTTCATTGATTCTGCTAAAATCCTCGTCTCTTATATTATACTTGTTTTTAATACTTGAACACGTCTCCTCTGGTTGTACAATATGTTCTGTCAAACACTTTACACTTTCATTTATAGGTATAAGGCAAAAAAGTAAAGTTATCATGTAAAACCCCATTTTTTGAAGTCAAATAGGTAATGTTATTGAAAGGTAAAAAAGCCGGAATGGGTAGAAAATTTAAACGAATACATTGAAAAAGCACTATGACACCATGTCAACCTTATTTATTTCGATGCGTTATAAATTGGTAAGGGTTGCGTAGTAATAACTTTTGAAAATATTTTGAATTTTTTTGAATTTATAGAATGTTTTTTTAAATAGTCGCCTATTTTTAGCCATTTTTTAATTATAACTTTCACAGTAGTCCTATCGTGTGTCACTTTTTAAAAATTTATAAAAAAGCTGTACTACTGACAGTAGTCTACTATACAAAAGACAGTTACTAAGATTAGAGTTGAAAAAAGGTTGTTTACATTTCAATTGCGTAGACGTTATTTTTTCACAGTAAACTTTTAAATGTCAAACAACGTTACTCTGACCTCGAATTGATCCATCTTGTTAGTCACAAAATAAACATTCATATTGTCATGTCTATACATGGTGCATAGATCAAAAAATTTACAGTATTATCGCAAAATTAGTAAAATAAAGTTAAGATACTGAAAAAATATTTACTTTAAATTAAGGATGGGGCTTTACTATTTAAATTTCTATAGATACTAAAAATTTTATACTAAGAAATTGACAATCAAGTTCGTCATGTTTATTAACAATCGTATAGTGGGAACTACATAATCAATATGTATAACAGCAATATAGTTAAAAACCAAGAAAAAAATATCAATTAACATAAAAATCTAAAAAAATTTAAAAAATCATTGCTTAACAATGTAAAACTTGACTAGAGATGAGAAGATTTAATAGTAATACAACGTGTATTCATTTATAGCACAAAAAGTACCCGTGCTTTCGACGTGTTTAGGTTTTAAGAAAGATCATAAGAGCTTAAAATGTTAAATTTGAAAGAAAAAATTAAAAACTATTTAAATGTTATTATTATATAATAGAATATTAGAGGACAAAACATTATATTGCCTTAAAGTGTTTTTTAAAAGTATCTTTAGACTGGCCATAAAAAACCGAATTTTAAATTTTACATCTTTCGTATCCTCTCTGGCGTAGAAACCGGCGTTGAGGTTACAGAATTCGTCGTACTAGAGATCGTACTCACAGAGCATTTCTGTTCAGGATCCGGTACCTTTAAAGGTACCATTCTTTTGTAGAACACAAACCATGATGCAAAAACTGCACCAATGACAGCAATTTCCATTAACCACACAGGCTTAGGACCATTCGAACTGTACAAAGCCGATGCACCAACAGGACCAACCATACGACCAACGGCACTGGACACTTGAAGCCAGCCTTGTTCGGAACCTTGGCGTCTGGGGCCAAGAATTTTTGAAAATAAGGTGTTCAAAGTGATCTGCATTAGGGGAAGGTTAGGCCGATAATAATGGCATAGGTTGTGAAGAAGACCCAGATATTGACTTGGTCAAGACTTTCGCACCACGAAAACCGATCGACATTGCAACCAATCGCTTTGTCTGTTCCGTTGTAGACTAAAATATAAAAATAAGGTCTTATATAAAAATTGAATATAAAACTGAATTTACAATTTAAAATTTTTAAAAAATTGATAGGCTAAAAATATTTTTATTACAAACTACAAATGTAACTTCAAATTTACTTGGTGTAATAGAAGGCAAAAACGGCCAAGCAAAGGTTATAATGTGAAATAGTGCCATTCCTCCCAATGCAATTACAGTACCACTTCGCAATGGAATCCATCTTTCCAACTTCAAAAAAATGTAAGCAGCGTATGTTGCCATGGTCATCACTCCAACAATACCTTGTACCATACTCATATACTTGACAGCCGTCTCTTCGTTCAAGTTGAACATCATCATAGCAAATGGTGATCCCAAAGTCTCCAAATTCGTCCGAACGAACATGTCGGTAAACCTTGTAGCATAACATATCCAAACAGCTATGACATCGTATGGTGGAACAAAGGTTTTACTCTCATTTCCCTCTTCTAAATCGGATTCTGCATCTGACTTGTCTTCTTCAACACCGGCATAGTCTTCTTGGAAAAAGAACTTAACCATGATGAGGCCAGTAATGTTGATAAGACAAGCAACGTAAGCTGGAGCAGTGTATAAGGAAAAGCTGAACATGTCGAAAAAGCGAATGCCGGGATGTTCTAGTGGGGTAAAAACGAGTTGGAACACTGAAAAAGTATTAATAGTATGACATGTTTAAAAAATTTACTTTTTTAAATACTTATTGAAACACTGAAATATAAAAATATCATAACTAAAAACTAAAAAAAACTAAAACTAGTACTTACGAGGTCCGCTAGTCAATCCCAAAGCCTGCCCACATGTGACCCATGCAATCGCTTTAGTCCGATCTTCAGCCGTAGAAGCGGTACTAGCATAACTTCGCAAAATTGCCACATTACCACTACCCATACCAGTAATAAATCTTACAAACAATAACATAAATCTTTTTGGGAAACTGACAATTTCCATGATAATATAGCAAATGTTTCCACTTAACATCAAAAACAGTCCGAAACACAATGGTGGTGCTACTCGCTTAATTTTATTACTCCACCAACCGAAGAACGGCGATATTATGATTTGGCCTAAACTGTACAGAGCTACAGTATACCCGTAGAACTCTTCTGTCATGTCATCATCTAGCTGAAAATGTACAAATAAACAATTTAAAAAAATTTTTTTTTCAAAAAAGTAAAAAAACTTATAAACATTGAAAAAATAGCAAGAAAAATTAAAATTAGCTTACAAATCTCATATATGGATATAGCGCTGAAAAGTACAGTGCGAATTGTACTGATCCTACAAACGATAGTAATGCTGCAATGTAAATACTAAGCCAATGTGTAGTTTTTTCCTTCGGTGCATCTTTAATAATGCGTTTTAAATCGGATGCAATTATTTTTTCGTTCATTGCTGAAAAGTGATTTTATTAAACAAAAAGGCATACCTTGCGACAATACGAAAAATACGGCGATAAACCACAAAAGTTATAAAATGGAAAGAAAGTTTTTGCGATAAACCGAAAAAAAACACGAGTGATAGGAAACGGCATATTATCTACGATAAGACGTTTACAGCGAGTGTTTTTTAAAGATTGTGAAAAGAGGAACATGATTGATTACATTATTTCGTTGCCGACATATATTTGTTTACCATGTTGCGAAATAGAGCATGTATTCGTATTCAAAAAGAATCGTATTCATATTTGGAATAGATAGTGATAAGTATAACAAAGTCTAATAACATATATTGACTATTGTTGTGTGAAAAAATCGTTATATATTTACGTACGTATTTGCAACTGTAGCAATTTTTTGTATATATGAAGCATAGTAAATTTTTGAAAATTAAGCTTGCTATGATAAAACGCTCATTATAGTCAACCAGCAGACTAAACCATCTATTATTCTACAGACTGCCAAATCAAGTCTAATCAAAAAATTTCGAAAATGTCAATGGAAAGAATTTTGTTGACATTTTCTATGCTAACATGCACTTTGTCGTACACTTCGTATGGGCACACCGTGCAAAAACTCTAGAACTTGTTTTTAGACGTAAACAAAAGAATGCAAAAAACAATTTTATAGACAAATATGTATTAAACATTCTGGTCGTCAATATGAGAATGAAAACAAGCTGTTTTAAGAAACAACATACCTTTAAAACCCCAAAACTGTGGGTACAGTGAAATTACACAAAAACTTCTTCGATCTTTTGCTCCATCTTGTGAAGAACAACGGATTATCAGAATTATTTTTACACAATTTGAACTTCACTACAGTTCACAAAACTTGAAATGACACCCACAAGATATTCACGATTTTTTAGTAATAATCAAAGAACATGTTAATACTCCGAAAAAAATCCCATATACTCCTATATCGCTTGATTAGTCCTGCTTATTCCCCCCCCCCCCCCCCCCTCGATTTCTGGAAAAACTTAGGTAAATCAACCGCAATTAACTTTAATTATTTAAAACTAATAATATAATTAAGGTTTTCAAAATTATCAAGTCCCGAGCCTATCACCCGTTTTTCCCCGCCCCAGCGTTCTTTAGTTTGGTGTAAACAGTCAAAAAACGAACCTTTAATACTATCTTAAAAATGACCCGCCCTTTTCTTGAAGAACAGCCTAAAATCGTATATTGACGTCAAAACTACAGTACACTTCGCAGAATAGTTAAACAAACGAACTTTGACATAACAAAATTTTTAGTTCAGAAAACATATACTAAAAATCATTTACCATTGATTTAGTTAATTGACTTTTTAAAAATTTAGGTATTTTTAACTTGTAAACCTTAACTAGTAAGTATTAATTGTAATGGGACCTATAATAATATTGTTAATCTTGTAAAGCTTGCAAAATCTAGCAATACTCAAAGCCTACAGTAGTCCGAACCTGAACCCTACTTTATGCTTTATTCTGCTGATGCTTTATCAATCCTTTACTAACGCGTATTTATATATGTTATGCAGATTAAAATAATTAAAGTTTAAACTTTTAAACTCTCTGAATCATCACAATAACTATCAAACAACGTGTATTAATCTCATGCACTCCTACTCAGTAACCACTTACGAAACTGCTCCCCTCATAAAGCTTGTGTAACAACCACAAACTTTACGTTGACTGAAGGTTGAGAAAAAAGTCTGATGTACCTTGAAGCAGCAAAATACATTTACTGCAAGAATTTTGAAACATATCATAGTTTGTATATCGCAGAACAGAACTCGTGATAATTAAATTGACGTCAAATATTGATTCTTTTTAATTTATGTAGTGTTACGATATAACTATTTTTTTTTAAATGTTTTTTGTAAAAACTTTAGTTTTACTGTATAACTGCATAAGGTACTGTATACCAAATACGTAACAAAGCTTTTATTCAATTCTTATTCCTAAAGGTTACCAAAAACCACATTATGTAAACAGAAAAAGATCAGTTTAAAGTTATGAGTAATGTATTTAAAAATCTTTTTAAATAGATTAAATAAAAACGTAAAAATATACTCAAACTTAGGCTACAGCTTTACACAACAACTTATTTTTTAATTTTTTTTGCTAACAGATAGCTCTAAATTTTTAAGTTTTTTTTTAAATAATTATCTCTCGTTCTTTTATTGATAGCCATAACAGAAAAGCCTTTCTTGCGACATTTTTATTTGTTTACTTACAAAAATAAAAGTATTATAGATTGTGAAAGCGAATTAGTACTCAAAAACATAATATTGGTTGCTTTGTAATGTTATTCTTAGATTCTTACAAAATGCAGTTTAAACTTTCTCAGCGGTACGTTTATTGTTAGATGATTGATGAAATATTGTGGGAACCGAAAAAAGTAAAGATGACTTTTAGTGAGCGATTAAAAAATAAAATTGACATGGGTTTTCATGTGAACTTAAAAATTTATATAAAATACTGTTAAACTAAAAAAATAATAAAAAAGTACTGTTTTAATTAATACAGTATCATTTTATTCTGCAAAACAAAAATAGCACCATACAAGTTGATCTTCGCTCTAAAGTATGCAAAATTCTCGAAATTACGTGAGAAACAGCAAAGAATATTCCGTCTAATCCTATCATAATACTTATCAAAACTGATAAAGCTCAAAATTTTCAACAGTCTTTGCTAATTAATATCAGAAATAACATTATCAACACAATACAAAGTATGAAAATGTGAAACTTTTGACACAGACTGTTTTGTCATCTATTTTTGGGGTTATCATCAAAAAAGTTGATATATAGAAATATTTTTTTTAATTTTTTAAAATTTTTTGAAGAATTATTTTCAAGCCAAAAGTATAATATTTTTTGTCATCAATTTTGTTTTAAAATCTATACTGTAGCTTGAAAGTTTATTTTAAAGGTTTCATAATAAATCATCAGATTTTAAGACCAAATTTTCTAAAATTTTGCATTTTCTAAGCCTATTACTTTATTATCAAACTATTTGCACTTTAAGTTTTGATAATTTTAATCTATCGTTCCTTTATTGCCTTTTTAAATAATCTTTAAATGTCATAAAAAGGGGTTTCCTTATGATTTTCTGCGTTCATTTCTCGACCAAAGTCTAGTTCAAAACAATTGACAAAAGTAAACATATGTGACGCAAACTATTCAAAACTGCAAAACGGTTTTAAAATGACTTGAAAGTTGACAAGACCGTGTTACATACACATATTATGTACACGACAGTTATGAAATATCAATAGTGGACTTTAATAAAAATTTTTCAAAGTGTTTTAATTACTTTTAGCTTTGCATCTGAACTTCACATCAAAGATTCATCTTTTCAAAAGTATCCTTATCATTTGCTTTCATAACAGTAAAACTTCTAAAACAATAAAAGTTGTTTTTGTTGTTATATATAATCGAAATACATTATAAAAGTTGTTTTGCTACAACCTTCTTCTTCTATAACACATAAAGATGAAGTTTGTAAACTCTTAAACAGCAAAAAAAATGTTTTTTACATCGTTTGACAAATCAATGGCATATTTGTAATACCTTTTATATTATGATAAGTTTGACGATGATAAATGAAAATGTTGATCTTATTAAGTTATACCGTCTTTACATTAACAAACATTAGTATTTAAAAATAAAAGAATAACACAAAAGACGACATTTAGCACTAAAAACCTAAATTATTTAAATTATTTACTATAAATTTATCTTCTAGTTGTAAAGTAAATCAGCAAATGTTTTAATGATAACCAAAATATTAGCTTTTCGAGTTGAAAACTTGATTTTAAACTTTTTGCAAAAAACTCATGAACTGTAAATTTAAACTTATATGAAAAATTGTAACAAAATTTTAGTTACACGTACGAAATTTATATTTTTACCACAATAAAAAATAAACTATTATTACTGCGCCTTCGAAGTTTAAAAGATCGGAAAAGTGCTGTTGTAAAGTCTACGGATAAATTAATATTCTTAAAACAACTATTCAAAATAATAAAAGTTAGTTAAAAAAATTTAAGATTATACTATTTAAATAGAAAAGTTTTTCCGCAATAAACTACAGTCCTTTAAACTTTTGGCAGCTAAAAAGTGCAAACAATAAGTTTGTAACACCAATTTCGTACACCAAAAGTTGTTTGTTTCGTATTTTGTCAAAAAACAGTTGTTATCAAGTTTGATGTTTTATCGATGAAATATCATACCTTTATCAAATCATGTGTACCAATGATGGTACCATCACATGATGTTCAAACAAATTTCGCAAAAAAGTTTGATGGAAAATTAACAAGTTTAAAAAACTGATAACTGCAGTTTTCTTTATTTGCATATGCCCGGAAGGAGGTAAACCGTTGTCTCGATCAAAGACAAAACTTGATAAGAATGTGCGTCAACGGCCTTTCAAACACAAATTTTCTAATTAATACCGAATTTAGAAACGTTAATAAAGGTCAGTATAAAAATCTAGCTTACGCTTGAATCACGTCTGGAGGAATTAAAATTATATTAGGCCCATGGCAAACTGTTTTTAAGCTTAGCTTAAGCATAGATTAGCCTTAGCTTATCTTAGGCTTAGGCATAAGCTCACGCTTACGCTTAGGCTTAAGCATAGGCTTATTCTTAGAATGACGGTTCATGCAAGCGCGTTAGGATTTATATACTAAAAATATGGCACGTAAAAATTGATCCCCCGAAGAAAAATTTAATCAAAGCCCTTACGTAAGCCGGCAGATAAAAAGTGAAATTAGGCTTTACTTTAAGCTTAGGCTTAGGTTTAAGCTTAGGCTTAGGCTTAGAATGACTGTTCATGTAAGCGCGTTAGGGTTTATATACTAAAAATATGGCAGATAAAAAATAATATCCCGCAGAGAAATTTAATCAAAGCCCTTACGTAATCCGGCAGATAAAAAGTGAAATTAGGCTTTACTTTAAGCTTAGGCTTAGGTTTAAGCTTAGGCTTAAGCTTAGGCTTAAGCTTAGGCTTAGGCTTAGGCTTAGGCTTAGGCTTAGGCTTAGGCTTAGGCTTAGGCTTAGGCTTAGGCTTAGGCTTATGCTTAGGCTTAAGCATAGGCTTAGGCTTAGGCTTATTCCTAGAATGACGGTTCGTGCAAGTGCGTTAGGGTTTATATACTAAAAATATGGCAGGTAAAAAATATCGCGCAGAAAAATGTAGCCAGATCCCAACACTCGCAGTAATTTGTTGGGTCGTTTTACTTCGAGGCTAATATGATGTAAATACGACATATTACATAAGAAACAGTTGCGTAATTCAGTTTCTTACAATTTCTCTAAAGCTATTTAGTTATATCATCAATATCAGATAACGCTGCAGATATTTTGATCAAGCTTATCAAATTATAAGCTTGATCAAAATATTTTAATATTCCTTTTGTTATATATATATGGGTTTGTAGTGATAATACATTTAGAGTAGTAGTGTGCTTATTTTAAGATTTCGTGATTTAAAATTAGTTAGCAGGTTTCAGTTTAGTGGGCCTATGCATAGTAATATTATGACTATAGTTTGATCCGCTTAGAATTAATACACTTTTCAACAATAGCAAAATTTTTGAATATTTGAATGTTTAAAAATCAAATTTAACAAGATTCAAAGTATCCTAATTATAGTGTTAACTTACACTAACAAATTCTCTGTTAATTTAATTCACTAATTTTTTAATTTGCAAATCTTTTATCAATTTTTTGAGTTGCGTCATTTTACTTTTCAATTTGTTTGAAATTGAATTTTGATCAATTTTTTGTTTTTGGTATACTAAAGCTCATGACAAATTGATAACATCTTTATACAAACATTTATTTGACATGCAATACTGTTTTTGAAATATAAATTGCATATATATTAAAAATGGCGATTTAAGTTTTACCAAAAAAAAATTAAATAAAAAAAGTTTTTTGTTATCACAAAAAAATTTTTTAAATTAAGATGATTATCCTCTGTGCCTTGAATTCTTTTCGTTCTTCTTATTTCTGAAAGAGACGTTGAAGTCCAGTACAAATGCACTGTTCTTGTCATCAATGTAGCCTAGCCTTGAGTGTTGACATATTTGTAACAAGTTTGAATAGGAAGCTTTTTTTGCTGGTAGGTACTGTAACACGGTTCCTTTTAAATCTATTAGTTTCACAGTGTGATTCGTAGCTTCACACATAATTAAATTTGACGACACGAATCTTACATCACATATATTTGGAATGCTGTAGCTGTGTACAAATCGTAATTGTGAATCAGTTTTTAAGTCGAATAACTATAAATACATTAAGTAAAATAGCATAAAGTTATATACGGTGAATAAGGGCAGGTGCAGGAAGAGTGCGGTTTAAGTGGGGGCGGGGGGGGAGGGGGAGGAGAATAGGCAAAACAAAATTAAAACTTACTTTTAATTGATTTTGTGAATCACATATTGCGATAAGACCATCATATACATCAATTTGCTTAACTTCTACAGAATTACCATTTTTATATATATCATCAGCGTCTATCTTAATTTGTTTATAAGGTTTTTTCAAATTCAAAGATTTGTTAACATCCAAACAATACACATCAATAGTACCACTAAATATGTACAACCATCTATCGTTTAAAAACACTGTAGAAAATAATGAAGCCAAGTTTATTGCTTGACACGGTAGCCCAAGTATTGTGTGTATAATATTCAACTTTACTTCTTGATGATATATTAATAATGGCAATGTTGTTGAAAACATAATTTTGTTAATTAAGGCTGGCTCACATTTCGATTGATACACTAGTTTTTGAGTGTTTAAATTGTATAAAGTGATACGATTACGGCCAAACGCTACACTGTAAAGTAAAGTTTTCAAACTATTATTGGTAGTCTTTCAATTTCTACCTTAATTTTTAAGGTCGCTGAAGTAATTTGCAAAACTCACAAATCGTTGTGAATAGCCGGTTGGCAGTGAACAAAATCTTCAGCGGTCAATATCTCAATAGTCATACACTGACACCAATCATTGTCGATTCCACAAACTTTGATAAAATCTTCCAAAGCAAAAAGCAATCTCTGTCCAGTATGATCAAATTGAATGTATGGTTGTAAATCAGAAGAAAAGTTGTGGAATTCTGACAATTCTGCTACTAACTGCAAAGAACGATAATAAAGTAGTTAGTGGTAAGAATACGTCTGTGTAAGATAAAATTGTTACAGTGTGGCAGAGTAAAGAAGACTAGCACAGCGTACATGAGTGTAAGATAGAGTAAGTTAGTCTAAAATGGTGCAAATCTTACCCTATTTTTGCTTATTGATGCAATATGTAAGCTGTTTTCGTTTGTAAAAATAGCCGTCAAGTCATCGTGCATTCTGAACCATATTACCGTCATATCGTCAACTTTTATGTCCAAAAAACGTGAGTTTAAAGTTCTCCAGTTATCTTCAATTTTATCAAAACTAAAAAACAAAAAGTAAACAGAGAGCTGTGAATATCATATTTTTAATAAAATATCAAACAATTATTGTATTAAAAGTAAAAATTACCGTACGGCTAGTCTTTGCCACAAGTACTGATTGTCCTTTTTGTCATAATCATTTTCAACTTCTTTTGGTAAATGTTTTTCAAACTCTGTAGCATTCTCGTCGAAAACATTTCCACAGCTGTGAAACATTCTTTGCCATTGTGAACACACCGTAGACGCATTTACTATGTCACGCGGCGATAGAAACGATGTTATGGTCAATTTTATCTAAATTGTGTATGTCGTAGGCTTACTTTGATAGACTAAAATTTACTAAATCAATTGACTTTGGTTTAGTCGATTTAAACTTAATAAGCTTAACCTTAGTAGGCTTAAAGTAAGAGTCCAAACTACGTCTACGCTGTCGAAAAAAACTCACCTCGAGCGGCAATCTCAAAAACACGTCACTTTTGTTGTCCTTGAGAGCTGGTTTTGGTCGATGGATCAGCACCGATCCATCAACGCAGGTCAGCATGTCAAAAAACAGCTTTCATTCGAACCCAACCTAACGAATGTCATTTTCCGGACGTTTTAGCAAGCGTTCCGTTTCTTTCATCCAGCTGTTTCGAAATTCGACGCCAAACCGACAAAATGACCTTGTTCTTGCACGGATTTCGTCGCGGGTATTTTCTGAACGCCGCATTTACGAGAATCGAGTTTTAAAAGCGGTTTTTCAAAAATTTCAAATGATTTTTGCAATTTTATGTTTTTTTGGTATTTTTACTTTGTTAGCATGGTTAATATATTTAAGCGATTTATTGTAAAACCGTCAAATATTTTGTGACCAAGTTTATTAATGATAATAAATTATTTTCAATGTATATACAACATCAATAACTGATTTTAATGCCATTTGAAACAAGATAATCGTCGAGGATAACATGTCATCTGTAAAAAGATTGTTACTTTTTAATTTAAAAAACAAATCGAGCAAAAATAATTTCATATATTTCGACTTGAAATTACAATTTACAGTATAACCTAAAATTTCAACATTTATTATACACCAAAAATGGCTAAAAAACTTTACCCAAGGCCAACAACATCGGTAATCTTCAGATTTGTTCAAATCGCTACAATCTGAGTCTTTTATACAAAGTTGAGCAGACACATTGTACATTACACATAAGGTTAACAAAAGCAAGATTAAGCTTATTTTTGACATCTGAAAATAATTCAAAAATTTAAAAATTCGATACAAAAATTAAACCGCACGTTTACTGCTTTAAACATCATAATCTAGCCCTTCCCTAGCCAAATTGCTGTTATAAATTTACCGTCGTCTTATCTTTGCCAAATCGTAGCCTTACTCTATTCCTACCCTGGCCATACCGTAGCCTTTCCTAGGCCTACCCTATCAATATCCTACTTCAGTTCCGTTCGGACGTACTTTTTCAAAGACTACTACAAAAACAACATTGTAAAGTCTAATAAATCTAGTGGTCACTCACTAAAACTATTGGAAATTACTCACAGAGTTTTGACAAACAAAGAGCGATCGTGCAAAAATAGCCATGGAAATCACTTGCGCGTTCCCGATTATTTAGAAAAAAGAAGTGTTTTCACTCAAACTAAGCTGATTTACAGCTTTGTAAGTATACAGAAGTACGTTTTAGTTCTAAAGCATGAAAAAATGTGTTTTTACAAAGTCAAACTAAAAAATTTCTTGTACGTATAATAAATATGTAAAAAAGCGAAGTCATGGTATAAGTTGTCATAAGAAATAAAACATTTTCCGCATGATTTTTATAAAAATAGTGATCATATAGTATTAAAGCATCCCAAAACATATCACTAACATAAAAACTGCTTTATTGCTGTTTTCGATTGATCTCGATTAACCATACTTTAAAAAATTGAAAAAACGTAATATCTTTAAATATGCAGCACAAAAATAATGATACTGATTAGTGACTATGCATATTATGACATTAAACTTACTTCTATGAAGACGAATGCTTTGTTCATACAAAAGATAAAAAAGTATTGTGTTACTACTAGTAATCTACTGCAACAGAAAAGGTTATTCCGATTGAATTACCGCAAAATGACCTCTTTAACTGACCTTCAAGAGCCCGAATTCTAACACGGCTTTTGAAGAATGTGGAACAGAACAGCACCAAGGTTTAACTCTTCTAATTCTACAATTTGCTCTTGTTACAGAAATTTATAGTAACGTCACCAGACAAACAATTATTTACACGTTAAAAATTTTTTATATTAGTTTTTAAAAATTTGTGTAAAAATAAATTATACATTTAAAGATTTCTAGCCGTCTGGGAATACATTTTTGGACTATTTGATAGACATTTCAACATTTTAAACCATTTATTAATTGAGTTTTTATTTGCTTTCTATAATTTGTTATTTTTCGAGTTTTTTAAAAGTTCTTTAAAGTGTCAAATTGCCAAGAAACAATTGTTCCGATCACAGGTTAAAATAAAAAAACTGCCATTTGTTTGCAAAACATTTTTCCAAAGTCCACTTTATAAAATACATGTACTGAAAATGACAATAAGCGAAGTTTTGATCCGCGGAACCGCAGCATTTGTAATGGTAGTGTCATTTTCATTGATTTTAATTATTGTCGGTCATATGGTATACACATTGGTGACTCACCAGCTGGAAAGTACTGTAAGTTTAATTACTAAAAATTTAAAAAAATTTATCGAACATTATGCATATTTACCGGATGTATTATTTTATATCAATAAGTCACAGGTTAAAATAAAAACAAAAAAATTTGTTTTTCAAACAAATAGTGCTTCATTATCACATGTTTCTCGTAAATTTCGATGTTAAAAACTCCAGATTTTTGCGATAAATTTTTTGCACTTTTGTAATGTTGCACTTTATCGATTATTTTTCGCATTGATAAGTAACCTTGTTTCACAAAAGGTATTATAAAATATAGAAGATCGAATATGTAGGAAAAGTAGTTGTGTTTCTGGTATTATGTTGTTTTGAGGCCTTGTTTTTTAGGCTGTAGGAAAAATTAAACCTTTTTCGTTATTTTATGCTTTGTAAAAAAATTTCTTACCGTTTTACGTTTTATAAACAAACATTTCATTGGAAAGTTTTTTTAAAATTTTTCACTTTTAGAAGAAGAGACAGTAAGAAGTATTGCCACACAACTGACCGGTAAGCACACTTCGTATTTTACTTTTGTCACTCCCCCCCCTAATTCTGTGCTAATCTACTTTTTCATATCTAAAAATACTTCCAGAAAGCTTTTTATGGTTTTAGCTCCAATATGCCTTCCCTAGCACTACCTCAAAACCCATCCTCAGACCTACAACAACCATCATCATCATCAGAAAGTCCATCAGTTTCGTACGAATTCAGAAGGTTTGCGCGTAAAATACTTCGTCGCGCAATGAAAATAATCGGAAAAAAAGAATCGCTCCAACGAAATCCGATTGAATTTTTTCGACCAAATATTGAAGCAAATGGCGAATTAAAAGGTATAAATTGGTAATAGAGCAGTATTGCATGAAATTGGCTTTAAAGATAAAAAATCATTAAAAAGATTAAAAGCCAAAATTAGATCCTTAATTTGCAGCACATCTTGATGAAACCCGCCGTGATCGATGTTTATGTAGCGGACTTGATGAAGCTATAAAACTACCGTACTACTGGGGTTACATCGATAAACACGAAGCGAGCCAGGTATTGGAAGACCTAGGTCATGGCTCGTTTTTACTCCGTCAATCAGGCCATGTGGATTTTAAATTTACCGTATCCTTTCGATGTGCTGATTCTACGGTACACGCCAGGATAACGAAATATAAAGGACAATATTGTTTCAAATTGGCTGATTCACGACAATTTTATTCTACATCATTGGCTGAATTCTTGGAACATTTCAACAAATTGGAACGATTTTTGTTTGACGAACCCTATTTGAGCAAGCCTGTAAATAGAAAAAGGGTTTTTACCTTAAAGGTAAGTAACAAATACTACAATTGAAACAAGCCAAAAGCATATTTGTAATCACAAAAGTGTTTTTTTTTCATTTTTTCAAATTTTTTCAAGTTTTTCAGAGAACCAAAATATGATTACTTTTGGTAATTAAACGTATAAATTTTTTACTTTTGCCACTTTAGGTCAATTTTGGGGTTTAATTTTGGTTTTTCAGGAAATGTGTACTGCAGTAATAGCTTCTAAAATTACCCTAAATACGTTAGAAAAACTGTCATTGCCTTCGCATAATATCACTGAAATTACTCAAATACTGGAAAGATAAAGCATTCTATTAAACATTTTATATACATATGTTCATTTAATATTCTCTTTTAAACTTTCTACGACTATATCTGTCGAATGTTCTATGTAAATTATTAATCTATAATTTTATTGAGTTTATTGTATATACAAACTTTTCACATTTTATGCAAATACCCTTTAATGTTATTATTTAATACATTTTTTCGAGTAAACTAATATTATACAAAAAGTACTGTAAACTTCCTTTTTTTTTGAATTTTGTTTGAATATGTGACGGGAAAAAACTACATAGTTCAGAATTTTTTTCTAGCAGTGATTTTTTCTAGCGTCGTGCCACATTTTGTAAAGTCGCATCATCAATCGGAAGTCTGACCGTGTTCATCGTGAATGGCAGATTACTGAACATGGATCGCGACAAAACTGTTTCAGCTGATCCGCTATTACAACGTTCAGTTGAACACACACACAACAAACTTGACCTCTGAAAAAAAAATTTTTTTAACAATAGATTAAAAATACATCAAAATTCTTTGGTTTGTTACCTAAACAACCAAAAAAAAATTTTTTCTCTAACAATAAGAACAAATTTATTTTTCAATAGAAAAGACCAAAAATGTAATAATTATAACAATTCAAACCTGTTCAGTAGGCGGTGCTGGTGGACCAGCTTCTCTTCGTACTCGTTTAGCACGAGTCAGAAGTGCTGTTTCATCTGGTCGAATACTGGGCGGACCAAATAATTTCCTCTTCTCATCCCTCAATAATTTAGTCGGGGGTTCTGGAAAAGTGGTATTTTCGCTTTGCAGTTCCACTTCTTCTGGAACGTTACTTTCATTTTCTACTAATGGTAGTACATGTTCTAGATCTTCTGGTACTGCAGATGGCGGAAATATTTCTTCGGATAATAAGTCTTTGTTTATATTTTTAGGAAATTCCAAGTCACGGCCCTGAAAAAATTTTAAATTAATGACGTTTGAAGTAAGGTGTTTTCCAAGTCGCCACCTTTTAATTTTAATTTAGTTAAAAACAATGATGCGAAGGTTGGATGGGCAATAGCGAATTCAACTTACAGTCTCGATATTTTGGCACAAAGCACTGCCAGGGAAAAACAACAAGTACTGGTATATCGGAGTACCAGGAGAAGTGCAAAACTTTCTTATGTGTAATTTGTTATCTGATTTTGACACGTAAGTTACCATAGAACAACTTTCGACTCCTTCTTCACATTTTTCAACTGTTTCAAAACAGTCATCTGCATCATTGTCACCAACATTAGCATTACAAGTGACGCATTCAAAAGAATGTGCGCGTAATACACATATGGTGAAGAAGATACAAACTGTTATGTGTTGCATCTGAAAATACATTATTATATATCAATGCTTATATAACCGAAAAATGTATAAAAAACTAAATCAAAGCGCGTCAAAAAATTTTTAAAAAATTTGATGTCTAAAAATCCATGTTTATACGAAAACCGTTGCTTAAAGTAATATCCAGAAAAACTTTCCAGAAAGTGAAAACGAAAAGTTTACAAACCCTTTTGAAGTGTATCATCAACGAAAAGAGAGAAAGGTAAAATCTCATTGACATTTAATTGGTGTTCATCCCAGAAGTCATATATCCAATTTAGCCTAAATTGACGGCGAAAGACGAAAAAAAAGGTAAGGGGATGTTTTTTAAGATTAACGGAACTATTCGAGGAAGATCAATTGCAAAAAAAACTATGACTACAACAACAAAGTGTCATTACTGTCTTTGTATTACAAATGATGATTATACTTTTTGTAATATAATAAATAATTTTTTATACGTATAATAAATAGAATTTTTAAGCCTAACCTTCGCTTTAAAATTAAGTTGGGTCTAATAATTATATCTTAAGCCTATAAAAATAATATTTTTATGTTTAAGCCCTTTGCAGAAACAGACACCACTGTAAACTGTACATTATTGCAAAATGTATTTGAATAGTCATATATCTCGCCTATTCATAACGCTTTTCAAGGTTAAAAGTAAGAATTTTAACCTTTTTAGTCCAACTCAATGTCTTCAAAAAGAAAAATTGATAGATTGTGACACATTTCAAAATGTTTATTCAACAAAAATAGCGCAAATTTTTTAATTCTTTTCAAATTTTGTAGATAAACACGTCTTGAAAACATAGTTAGCAATGTGTAATAAACAATTTTCACAGTTTGAAAAAGCTTTTATTCAATTTTTGCCGTTTCAAAATTATGAAAAACAAAATAAATAGATATGCATAAACTAATAAGAATATAACTGCATTTAAGTCAATTTTATTATTTAAAATAAGTCTAATCTATTACTAAAATAAGCCTAAAACTAGACAACCCGTTGAATATAACCGGAATGTAAGAAATAAAAGCACAAAATCCTAAACCTGATAAAACTTTTTGGACTAGGATACCCTTTAGAGTTAAGACCGAATTTCCTGAGCATCAGTCCCGGTTAACAACTGGTAAGCTTGTACATCGGTGAGTTCGGCACAATCGTTGACTCTTCGTTTCGGTGACATTTGCCCTTTATCTTTTTCCTCTTCTTTCTTCAATTCCTTTTCATCTGTTTCGGCCAATGGAGGTAGAGAATTGTCTCGTTTACTTGTTTGGGTTGGAAGGTCTGTCACTGACATGCATCGTCGAGGTGAATCTTCATGCTTTGGAGAATCTGCTGTTGGTTGTTCTGGAGTGTATTGTCCTAGTTCGGCTAGCACGTCGGAAACGGTAAAACCTTTTGGAGGTACTCGTGTGGCTTGGGTTAAAATGTCTAAAATCACATTGTAAATCACAAAGATATAATAAATTAACTTTTACTTCATAATATAACAATTAAAACAACATATATAACAAATGCAAAACCATACCAGAAAAGTCAATAAGGCCAATTTTAGGTGAACTTGGTGCACTTTTGCTCTTTGCGCTTAAAACTCGACGACGATATAGTTCAGATTCAGCTTGATGTTGAAGACGTCTGAACTGTTCGACATGATAAACACTTTTACTATTCAAAAATACACCATTTACAACTTTGATGAACAAGAGCGACAACCAGACAAATCCTGAAAAGTCCATTTTCGTGTTTATTTAAAAAGTTTATGGTGCGACCCATAGACATCTGTAAAAATTTTTTGCCCACTAGGAGCTTTCGCAAACACGCTGTACCTGCAGGTACACCAGTGCATTTTTTCGAAAAATTTTCCGCCGCCCTGGTAATAACTAAATTCTTTTCAAAAAATAAAACTAAAATATTACCGAAAACCATTACGTAGACATTGGTGTGGAAGTCTATCGACTGTGAAATAACTCTGATCAACATTATAGCGATAGGAACAGGTATAAATCCCATTCTTCTTGATACGACATCAGAAAAGTCAGTAAAAGTAGCTTCTTCGTGAGCTCTGACAACATCAAATGACAACGTTATTGTAAAGTCTAAAACGATAAAATTCGTTTTCTTTAAAAGTAAAAAGATTTTAAAAAAAAATGTTTTTTTTATAATAATTCAATTCCTCTGCCTCCTTGGTTTACATTTAAAAAAAGCTTGCCTTGATAAACTTCAGCGCTGATTTCGTTAAACTTTGTAATAAAAGCATGTTTTAGCCAATCCACAATCAATTCAGCAATACAGACCATTATCAAATCTGGGATCATTTCACTCAAATGTTCTAATTTCCAATTTACAGCTGTCATATTACGCAAAACTACCACAATCAACAGTATCACAGTGTGAAATCGTTCTCGACAGTCACTAAAAATAAATTTTACTCCCATATATGTATATTTTCCACAATAAACATTATAATATTATTAAAAAAATCAAAAGATACCTAATAAGTTAAGTACAAAATTGCAAACAATACTTACCTGCATGACATTTGAAATAAATTCGGTTTAGCAAACTTTTTAAACACGGCTCCTTTCAGCTCAACAAAATTATTCGACATCATAATAGTCAACAAACTCTGATTGTGTGAATTAAAAGCTACATTCAATGTTGTTGCTTGTAAAAGCACAAGTAGTGCATGTAGCAAAGCATACAATACTGTAGCACACCATTGTAAGAACGTTGACGCCATTTTTCGCTTTCCTCCACGTTCAGAAGCCGTCCAAAACAAAGCTTCAAGAATGTCTTGTCCAAAACTACTAAATAACTTGTCCGCCACTTCTAACATGTTATAAAAAATATAAAGCTTGATCACACCTTGACCTCTAACAATATGATATAACATAGAAGTGTCCACAAATTGCATGATATATGATGCCGCTATTATTATCGAAATCTTCAAAAAATCACACGTTTCGGCCGCTGTCCAAACTCTAGATCCAGCTACTTTACCAATTACCGCCAGCTAAAAAAATATGTAATCAAAAACGTTACTTTAAGAAGCTTAAGTTTAAAGAAACTTATTAGACATTTTTTCATCGTTGGCTCATAATATAACTTACAATAAGTCGGATAGGAAGAAAAGTAAAAACGTGACAAAATGCATCCAGACAATGCAAAAAACCAAAAAATAAAAACTTTTCCAACTCGTACGGAATCCTGAAGAATGCATACACCTTCCTTCGCTTCTCCGTGTACCTATCTTGATGCGTTTCCAATGAATATCCCCTAAAAATAAATAAAATTACAGAATTCAGATTACCTTGTCAATTCCATCCAAACAAACTCCCAGATTCCCAATTGCCGTGTTAGTTGTTCATCTTTGTTAACAGCATTTAGTAGTTCTCTGTCATCTGAAGCATCATTAAGATTTTGTATAATCGAGCTTTCGTCAAGTATAACAATAGGCTCGTCATTTATCTTGACCTTATCCAATGTAATAGATGAACGTCGTGGATGTAAACGCTCTTGTTCATTCTTATCACAGGTATTTTGAGATTTTTGGTTTAAATCCAAAGACAAATTTACCGTCTTTCTTCGTCTCAATGTGGACTTCGGAGATTCAGACATAAAAAACCTAAAATCTTAAAAACAAATTAGTGTAATTATAACAAAACCCTTTCAAAAATAAAATCCACATTATTTTTGCGAAAAAACAATAAATAATACGTATTGCCAAACATTTTGGCTATTAAAATTTGTCGTGCCAGGACTAAATTGGTTTCCAAGTTTTGAAAAACTGTGAGTCCTACAACGAAACAACGTTGCCGCGAATGGCGAGCGTCAATCTCGACGTACACGCTTGTATTTTGAAATTGACGTGGCGGACGGACTACGTCGTGTCTGAGGTATGGCTATTTTCCGATTGTCCGGTGGTGATTATTCTTATTTTTGCGCTGTTTTTTGAATAATTTTTTGATATATAACATAGTATAGTACCTTTCGTGCTCTTATACGTCTTACTTCGTTTTTACGACTTCTTAGTGTGATTTTATTGTTTTTCAGCACTATAACTATATTCAAATTAACCTTGAATAATGTCTGGATTTGGTGGAGGTATGTTTATGTTTATTTTGTTTGATTTTATTAATGTTTAGGCGGGTTTGGGTCTACTGATGACGGAAGTGGATTTGGTGGAGGCAATGGCTTTAACGGGGGACGAGGCGGTTTTGGTGGAGGAGGTCGTGGAGGCGGATTTGGCGGTAACTCTGGAGGTGGGTTTCTGTCTTTTATACTTATTATATTTTATACTATTGTGTAAAAAGCTAACCTTTAATTTATTTATAATGGTTATTGTTTAAAGTGTGTTATTTTAACCATGTTAAGTTTTAGGCGGCTTTGGCGGAGACTCAGGAGGCTTCGGAGAAAAAACTGAAGGCGGCTTTGGTGGAAAGTCTGATGGAGGATTCGGCGGACGCGGTGGAGGTCGAGGCGGCGGCCGTGGATTCAGCGACAGAGAAGCTGGAGGTCGTGGAGGCGGATTCGGTGGTAACTCTGGAGGTGGATTTTCCGGCAACTCTGGAGGTGGATTCGGTGGCGATTCTGGAGGCTTTGGAGACAAAACTGAAGGCGGCTTTGGTGGAAAGCCTGAAGGAGGATTTGGCGGACGCGGTGGAGGTCGAGGCGGCGGCCGCGGAGGTTTCGGTGACAGAGAAGGTGGAGGCGGATTTGGTGGTAACTCTGGAGGTGGATTCGGTGGCGGTTCTGGAGGCTTCGGAGAAAAAACTGAAGGCGGCTTTGGTGGAAAGTCTGAAGGGGGATTTGGCGGACGCGGTGGTGGTCGAGGCGGTGGCCGTGGATTTGGAGACAGAGAAGGTGGTGGTGGATTTGGTGGTAACTCTGGAGGTAAGGTTTTGTGTTAAAAAATGAACTTTTACTTTGTTTTTTTTAATTTTTTGTTTAAATTATGCCATTTTAACAATTGTTGGTTTTTTATTTTAGGCGGCTTTGGTGGAGACTCAGGAGGCTTTGGAGAAAAAACTGAAGGTGGCTTTGGCGGAAAGTCTGAAGGAGGATTTGGCGGAAACGGTGGAGGTCGAGGCGGTGGCCGCGGAGGTTTTGGTGACAGAGAAGGTGGAGGACGTGGAGGCGGATTCGGTGGTAACTCTGGTTGGTGTTTATCTATAGTTTTAAAATTTTGTGTGAAAGAATTTATCTTTTTTTTTTAGTTTTGGGTATATTATTTCACAAAACTGTTGTTTTTATTGTAGGTGGTTTTGGAGGGGACACAGGAGGCTTTGGAGACACAACTGAAGACGGATTTGGTGGTGGTGGTCGTGGAGGCCAAAGTAGTCGTGGCGGATTTGGTGGGAATGACGGTGGATTTGGAGACAAGTCTGAAGGAGGCTTTGGCGGACGCGATGGAGGTCGAGGCGGCGGCCGTGGAGGCTTTGGCGGCGGCGGCGACGGATTTGGAAAATCTGAAGGTACGTTAATTTAGGTTTTGCAAATTAATTTTAATGTAACTTTGTTATTGTGGGTTGGATCGTCTTTTTAAATATATTTGATTGTTTTATATATTTAACTATTTTTTAACGTTATTTTTTAGGTGGCTTTGGAGATGGCGGAGGTTTTGGAAAAGCTTCTGGTGGTTTTGCTCGTGGTGGTGGACGGAGTCGCGACCGTGATGGTGAAGAAGGTGGTTTTGGAGGTGAGAAGTAATTATAATTGATTATATGATTATTTAGGTGGTGGTGGCTTTGGAGATCGTCATAAGAATGATGGAGAGGACGGAGAAGGAGGTCACAGGGAGAGTAGGTTTTATTTTTTTTGATAAAATAAGTTGTTTTTTAAACCCTGGTAGTTAAAACATTGATTTGATTATTTTTATGTTGTATACCTTTGGTTTAGAGAAAGATGATGAACGTGAAATCTACATCCCCAAGGCCCGAGAAGTTGATGAAATTTTCAAGGAAGATGAACTTGTTACTGAATTCTATGAGAAAGTTGTCACTACCGACGAGGAAATACAAATTGAAAACTGGAAAGGAGAGCCTATCAAAGTGGACAACTGGAGTGACATCCCCGTTAATGAACAAATTTTAAACAACATTAAACATGCTGGATATGTGAAGCCAAGAAAGATTCAAGCCTTTGCTATTCCAATCATAGCCGCAGGCAGCGACATTAAAGCTCAAGCAGAAACTGGCAGTGGAAAATCGGCCGCATTCTTGATACCTGTTATTGATGCCATTATTAGAGGGAAGAAAGCAGAGCCTGATGCTAGAATGGGCCATCAACCGGTCGCTATTATTGTGGAACCTACCAGAGAGTTGGCTATACAATTGTACGAACAAGGAAGGAAGTTGGCTAATGGTAAGTTAATATTTATAAAATAATTGAATATTTTTTGATTTTTATTTATAATTATTTTGAGAATTTTTGAAAATTTTGCGTCAGTTTTTTATTTTTTAGAAACATGTGTCAAAGTCTCCAAGTGTTATGGTCAATATCATTTCAAAGAAAACGCCCTTGAGATTATGGAGGGATCTGATATTGTTGTTGGCAGTCCGGGAAGATTGCTTCATTTCCTCGAAGAAGGTGTTATCGACCCCGCTTACTTAAAATTCTTTATTTTGGATGAAGCTGACAGGATTATGGACGATCAATTTGGAGAATTAGTTCAAAGAATTTTCGATATTCCAAACTTCCCTGACGTAAGATTTTTTACGGGCTTTTTAATTTTCTATTTAAAAAATCATAATGTTGTTTTTTAAACATTTTTTAGAAACAGAACCGCCAGACAGTCTTATTCAGTGCTACATTTCCCAGTGATGTTGAAGAATTTGCTAGCAAAGTGTTAAAGCCTGACTTTGTTGTTGTTCAAAACAAATCCAAGGTCTCCGCTAATGCCAGAGTACGTCAGTCGTTCTTACCGGTCGAAAAGTCTTTGAAAAAGCAAAAACTATTAGAGGTTGTCAAGGAATCGCACGAAGCTGCTAAGGAATTGAGTACGTTTTGCCGTTAACGAAGTTTTTTATGTAGTGATGTGGCATTACTTTTTAAAAAATAAGAATTTTTATTTATCGTGTAATTGATAAAATTTAAATTTTTTAGAAGCTGATGCTCCCCTTCCAAGAACACTTGTATTTGTTGAAAAAAAGAGGGATGCTGATTTGTTGGCTGCTTTCTTCTGTATGAGTGGATTGAAGGCGACAACAGTTAATGGAGACCGGCCTCAGAAGCTGCGAGAGGAAGCACTACAACAATTCAAAGGTGATGAAACAAGAATTATGGTCGCGACAGATGTAATGGCTCGAGGTTTGGATATCAAGGACTTAGATGTAGTACGTTATTGTTGGTTTTTTGTCATATGTCATTTTTGTTAATAAGTATTTGCGTTAGAAATATTTTCATTTATTCATTACTTTTTTAATAATTTGACAATTTTTATATATTGTAGGTTATCAACATGGATCTTCCCAGTGATGTTTGTACCTACGTGCACAGAATCGGCCGTACCGGACGAATCACGCAAGGAAAGGCAATCAGTTTTTTCGATGCCAAAGACAAACGAGACTTGGAGTTGGCCCAGGAACTGAAGGATGTAAGTTTCACAATGTGGGTGCAATTTTTGTGTTCTTTTGGCTTTTTTTTATGTTGTATTCTTTCGTAGCTGCTAACAAGAGACAACAACGATGTGCCCGACTTCATCGAAAATGCGAAGGATCCTAATGAAGACCCCTTCAACGCTGGAGGATTTGACGGATTTGCATCTGCCAATGGTGGAGGTGATGGGTTCGGTAGTGGCAATGACTGGTAAATCATGAAACAGCTTACTAATAATTTTACATTATATGTTTCATCGTCTTATATTGTTTTTTCAATGAATAAATATTATATTGAGGTAATTATTGTGTGGGCACGGGTGGTTATAACCGCTTCTATAATTTAGCTCCTAAAATAAGACAGCTAAATGTAATTCAGTCGCCATTAGTGAATAATGCTTTTAATTTCCTTTTTTTGTTGGGTAACATACTATTCTAACACTATTTAAGAAAAAATTAAGTATACTATTTTACCGACCACTAGGAAATTATACCAGTTATAATGATTAATTCAAAATATACCGCTAGTATTGTTTACACTAGTGCTACCTCTATTAATTTTAAAAAGTAAAGCGCAAATGAGGTGGATATGCCAATTTGTCCAAGCTGGGTGTGCAGGCAAAGTTGATCATCGGCGGTGGACCGCACATTAAGATGGCGGTGTCCTCGCCTGGCGGTGGTAAAACTTTGGAGATCATCTCGTCGTTAATGAAGCCTTGAGAGTAATTCCAACCTTCTGGTGGTCTGTCTACAGTATACCAAACCTTGAAGCGGTCCGGGTTCTGTTTTGACAAAGATTCCAGGTGGTCCCTTAAAACAAAAATTTTATAATTAAAAAAGCTAAAAATATTTTTATATATTATTTTAGAATATTATTTTTTGTTAAATTACCTTAACAAAATGTCATCTTCAGTCTGATTGGCAAACAACAGCGACACTTTAGTCGGATCATCTTCGTGCTTCAGAATGTCAGTTATTATTTGCAACATTGGTGTTAAACCTGTGCCTCCGGCAATCATTCCAACGTTTTTCACTTTTCTCAAAACCGGATGGGCTTTCTTTTCTGGGCGGACCAAAAACTTGCCTTTTCCTTCATACACAATCAAGCCGTTTGGCCCTCGGAAGTCAATGGTATCACCTAAAAATATTATATGTAAAAAAAATATTGTTGAGTTTAAAAATGACCTAATTTTTACCACGTTTTTAGACCTTTTCGTATTTACGACAACATACTAATGTAAAGCTTACCAATATTCAAACTTTCCAAATGTTGTGACATTTTTCCGCCCTCGGGAAACTTAGGGTGTTGATTCCTGAAGTAAACTTTTATGACAAACTCCACAAATCCAAGGTCGTCATCGCTCGATGTTGGAGTATAAGGTCTTACCACCAATTTTCCATCAACTCGAGCACTCATATAAATGTGTTGGCCAATTGGCAAACCAAGAACGTGTTTTTCTGATGGCAAAGCAAATCGAAAAACTCTAGTATCATGACTGACATTGCGTTTTTCGATCAGTTTTAGTGCATATTTTGTTTCCGAATCTTCTAATGTTTTAGGTCCTTTCAGCCTCTAAAAGTGGTGTGAAGTAGTTAAATATTTCATTTTATTTATTGCCTCTTTACGAAGTTAATAAAAAGTTTGTAAAAGTTCCTTTTAAATGAATTTGATCTATTTATCGACCTAAACTTTAAGTTGCCTAAACCGGTAAAAATAATCAAAATATAAAAATACCTTCTTGTTTTTGCATTCGAATGGACATTTGACAATTCCTTTCTTTTTCAAGGCATATAGAATTCCAAGGACAGCCAAAGAAATGGCTCCAACTGATGCCAAAACATATGGAGCGTTAGATTCGCCCATTCTATCCTAAAATTACAAGGTTAACTGTCTTAGCTTGTCTATACAAACATATATTCAGCTTATTTTTCAACAATAATATACAAATAATATATAATAAAACATTTACAGAGGAATTGTCAAAGTACGACGACAGCTTGTCAAAGTTAAGCGAGGAAAAGTAAAATTAATGATGAATAAATAATAACAAAAAACTTAACACAATTTTAACTTTGTGTCAACTTTTCCTCTCCCCTAACTCTTGTTTTTTTAGCTTGTAAAAAGAGGATAAAAATGAAAAAGCACTATAAATTTACAATAATTTACTCTTTTAGAAATAAAAGCAAAGGTTTTTCTATAAGTAGACCAAAAAATTTTAATTTAACTTACTTTTGTCATTGTAGAAGCAAGAATTTAGACAAAGCTCTTGCTTGTTAAAATAAGTTTGTGTGTGGAAAAGTGGTTCGATTTTGGTAAAGAGTGGAAAGTATTAGAGAATACGTGAGAAATTAGACTACAGGAACGATGTTAGTTTTATAAAAAAAAGAAGAAAGAATTTTTATCAATAAACAGATTTATTGTAGGTTTAGGATGAAATGGTTGCAGTTTATCATAAAATAATAACTTGAAACTCTTTAAAATCTTACTTTTGACATACACATAACTAAATCTTAGATTTTTAGAAGCGCAAAAGCTTGACGAAAGCGGTGTCGTGTCGTCGTGATTAAAAGGGTTAACTTATCAAATTTTTTCAATTGCGTTAACCGTTGTGTGTTTTGTAGTTTGAGTTGAATTAAAATTTTGTCTCACACTACACGTAATTGCTGATTTACCATGCTTTTAAGTGCAATAAAGTGTTATTAGATAGTTTTGCGAAGAAAATTTTTGTTATATAACTAATTTAACTATTACAGTAAGTTCTGATTTAAGTTTAATTTTTATTAGTAAGAAATAGAACATAGTAAGTGGCATGCTTATTTCATATTATAAAAATTATTGCAGGATGAGTTAAAGTATTTTTTAAACAAAAAATTATTTTAGTTAAGACATTGCACTTGTAAACCTGTATTCGCAAGAGTAGTAGAATGTATAGTAAAAGTAAGTAAGTGCTTATCAAAACAATTATGAATTAGCAATGAGGAGTACAAAAAAATGTGAAAATATTATACATACGTTCCATAAACATAATTTTTACAATTTAAAGCGTGTAAAGTAGACAAAAACACGTAATAAAATACAGACAATATAATGTTTATAATATATGTATATATCACACTATGCCAGTCATGGTAACTACAGCTTTGCATGTACAATAGGTTCACTTTTAACAATACCTAATTCCTTGAACAATAGTGGTATACTTTCAACGCCAAAGTAATTCTGTACATCTTGATCCTGTCTTCGTAAAACCATATATGGCACTCCAAAACCGCCTTCTTTTACTTCGCGTGTTACAGTATCCCTTAATTTTGAGCGGTTCTCTTCAGACTCTGCTAGAGTTCGGATTTCATGATCAAAACCAAGTTCTTCAAGTAGTTCATCCACGTCAGCCGGCAAAAAGTTGGGCTTATGGTCGTGGAACATTCGACTCCAAAAAGCACGTACTGTGCGATCCAGTTCTTCTGGATAGTGCTCTTTTATGTAGGTGATGACACGAAGCGCCATAATTGAGGACATTGTCGGTGCTTTTTCTTCAAACCACTAAACAAAACAGATTAGATGGTTAATGAAATTGTTTGTAAACGTTTTTTTTGTTTGGAATGAAGTTTTTGCATTTTTTCGAAAAAACGCAGTTTAACCAAATTCAAACAAAAGTTTAAAAAGGGATAAAAAATTTAAACTTACATTAGGCATGACTACGTGTTCCACATCCCAATATTCTGACAGTCGAATTAAACTTTTTCGGAGATATTGAAATTTCAATGGTATTAACCCGGGTCCGACATTTTTAGTTAGCCGAAAAACAGCGGCCATTGATACTGGATGAAAGTTGATTTTTAGATTCATATTGGCTTCATGATCTCGAATGATCTGAAATTTCATAAATAACATTTAAAAATAAAAATAAAGTTGCAAAAATACGAGATTCATATTTTTTTTCAAAATTAAAGCATTAAAAATGAGAAATTGTTACTATTAGTCAAAGCTAGCCAAGCTTACTTGATATGCCAAAAACGCGTAAGGTGACACAATATCAAAGTAAAAGTCGAGCACTCCTTCAGTCATGATTCACAGTGACTTGACAACCGAAAAACCTTAATTAACAAAAGAAACAACGCTTTTAAAGCCTAGGTTAATCAAATTTGAAGGTAAATCTGCAAAAAACTCTTCGAAACCCATGAAAATTCGAAACATTGCGATCTTTTATAACTATTTCAAATTGTCAAAGTTTACTGTGACTACAGTTTTTAGGGTTTGCGTCCAATGCTGTTCTACCAAGTGTGAATTAAATAGTGTGAGTTTGCTGACGTAACCAAAGTTTTGTGGAGGGACAGGTTTGAAAGTTACTGTAAGGTTCGTTCAGACTTAACTTTTTGAACTGATGATTAAAGTTGTTTTAATCATTAACTTTTTAAACTGACAAATAACTCGCTATGTTGGCGAAATCATCGTTGAAATAAGCAAAAAACATAATAAAATCTGTTAATTTAACATACTATTTGCAAAAAAAAAAACAGTTCAAAACAGTTCAAAGCAAATATATTGCAATTTATTACTTATTTTAAATTATTATGTACAATCAAAACATTCAATAAGATAAATAGATAAAGGAGAGGATTGTAAATAAGACCCGAAAAATGTGTTTATCCCCTGCTCAATTATTACAATTTAGCCCAATTAGCTTTATGTTTAACTTGTGGAACGCCAAGTTCATGAAACAGTAGAGGAAAGCTTTCCACACCAAAAAACACTTCATTTTCTTTGCCAATTTGCTTTAACACTAAATACGGCACTCCAAACGCGTTATTCTGGCTGGCTTCGATTACATTATCCCTCAAGATTTTCCGATTTCCTTCACACTGTGCCAACTCCATAATTTCTGTGGGAATGCCAACCTCGTTCAAAACTTGCTCAACATCACTCACTTCATGATTTGTTTTATGTTCAGTAAACATACGACTGAAAAAAGTACGAGTTGTTTTGTCAAAGTCTTCCGGATAATATTGTTGAATATAGGAAATGACACGTAATGGCAACGCCGAGGAAATTGTTGGAGATGTCTCTTCGAACCACTAAATTTACAAATGTAAGGAATATTATTTATACCAAGTTGTGTTTAAAAATTCAGTTGTATTGGGTAATAATATTTAGTTTTTATTAGTCTTGCGGTAAAATTATTAAGTTTTGTTAGCCGTATAATTTTCCTGGTAAGCAATGACCAGTAAAATATTTTTTAAATTATACAGTACTCTCCCAATATAAGAAACCCAAAAGGACCGACATTTCGTGTCTACTTTAGGGCGTCTTTACGGCTTAGCTATAGGCGTAGCTTTAGGCTTAGCTTTAGACTTAACTTTAGGCTTAGCTCTAGGCTTAGCTTTAGGCTTAGCTTCAGGCTTAGCTCTAGGCTTAGCTTTAGGCTTAGCTCTAGGCTTAACTTTAGGCTTAGCTCTAGGCTTAGCTCTAGGATTAGCTTTAGGCTTAATTTGGGCTTAAGCAAAAAATGACTGTTTCTACAAATGTTCTTGGGTTTATATACTCATAAATTGCAGAAAATGGTCCCCCGCAGAAAAATGTAGCCAAATCCCAGCACTCGCAGTAATTTGTTGGGTCGTTTTACATCGAGGCAAATATTGTATAAATCAATAATATTATATAAGAAAAAGTTGCGTAATACAATTTTTTTCAATTTCTCTAAGGCTATCCAATTATATCAGCGATATTAGGCAACATCGCAAATATTTTTATTCTTTTACTGCTTATCTTTCAGTAATACAATTAGAAGCATGTTGGTAGCTTATGCTTACAATTAGTTTTCTCTAAGAATATCTAGCTATAACATTTATATTAAGTACTCTGCTGAAATTTTTAATTTACCATTGATACTATTGCTATCGCGTAGTCCAAAAACATTCCGAAATTTTAAAAACTTTTGATGATTTTTCACGTACTATTTTTAAAAATGATATCAAAAAATGAAGTTGACTTAAAAAACATACCTCAGGCAAAGTAACCCTTTCTACATTCCAATACTTGCAAATAATTGGTGCTTTGTCTTTCAAATAGTAGTACTTTCTTGGAATTAAAGCCGGACCCTTATTTTGAGTGACCTTGAATAAAGCAGCCATTGATACGGGACGGTAATTTACTTCTACGTTCATGTACTGTTCGTATTCGCGCATTATCTGAAATTAAAAAAATGTTCAAAAATAAAAATTCGTGTTTTGAGGTTTTTAAATTATAAATTGTAAGAATTAAATAATTTCACGTACCTGATATCCAATGCACGCATATGGGGAAATGATATCAAAGTAAAAGTCAACTACAGCTGCCATTTTTGATATTTTCAAATTATATTAACTAATAAAATATTAGTAGCTTTAAAAAACTACCTCAATATAATAAATTTTAACCTTAAATATAACACCTTAAGTAACAAGTTTCTTCCCTTTTAAAGCAACATTAAAAGACAAAAAACTGATCGCTGCGAACTGTCATTATTTTGTTACACTTTAAAATGTTATGATAATAAGTTGATATCATTGAAAACACAGAATTTAAACTTAGTTCATCAAGTCGTGTGTGGTCTTATTATTGTTGCCTTCCGTTATTATTAGAATAACGTTTGAATTCGCAAACACTGTAACTTGTTGTTACACATTCATTTGCCAACGTAAAGCGTTTACTATGTCCAGGGGACACTCCAAATTTACTTTTCAAGCGGTGGTTTTCAGCCGCTGATAAAAGATTAACCCAAAAGCGTTGTCCAACTCGTTTTATTGGTACAAAGCTCAAACTTGGGTTAATAAACCGAAAAACGCGATATAATGAAATATGATATAACAATAATAAAATACAATAAAATAAAAACTATAAAGCCCAATTTAAAAAATTAAAATTAACTAAATAACAAAAAAACTGAGAATAAACTGACGACTCGGCCGAATTCACAAAAAATGACTGAAGAACTGAAGGATAAACGGAATCGGCGTCTCCTGACACATTCCTTTGTCTGTTGTAAAGTGAACAGTCCTTTTGGCCGCGTCTTCCGCGGACACTCCGCCGGGCTTGATGGTCAACAGCCTCACGATCGCGCGGGCGTTAACCAGTATTCCTCGGTGGGGCGTTCTGATGTTGCTCTTGTTGGTTGGGTCGTCGGTGGTGGGACGTGAGCTGTTTCCTTGTGAACTTCGGGTTCAGTAGCCTTTACAGCCCATCGAAGAGCTTGGACGAGATTGGCGATTATGACTAGGTTAACCACCACCTGCCAGAAAATGGTCAGGCACGTCCATAACCACCACGGTATCAATGGGGTTTCCGTGATTTCCTTCAGCTTCAGTGGTTTAGCCGTTCTTTTAACAGGACCAAGGGACCTTCGTACTTCGTTGGCACGATGCATGTCGTCTAGGATCTGTCTCATTATCTGGTCGTGTTGATCGTATTCCCAGCTTCTAATGATTTCCTCTGACCCCAGAACATCTGTAGCTTGGCTCACCGGTCGTTGAAGGTTGTACCTTGAGAGTTCGCCAGTAAGGTAGTCTAAAACCTTAAATTCACCATCGATTCTGAGGATCACTTTCTCCGCACAACGGTCGTGGCCTTCAACGTGCTCTGTGACTTCCAGCGTTTGTGGGTCTAGTACCCAAGCACTATCGTTGGATAGTAGACTTGAGGTTACCGTGGGAAAACTCTGACATTCTGTTGTGGGTGTGAACTGTAAATCAGGTATTTCACTGCACACCTGGACTTCATAGAGTCCCTGGTCGATTTTCACGGTTTTTAACGCGGTGGTATTAAACTCCCTTTGTAGTCGTGGTACCGGATTTAAATCGTCCAAACTGGAGGCGAGGTTGTTCACCTTTTCGGCCAGATTACAGAGCTGTTCAATGATCTTCTTGGAACGCTCAAACTCCAGATGTTCGTAGAACTGTGAATGGACGGCTCGTTCTTCACCTAAACTTCTCTTCCCTTTTTTACTGTTTATCATTAGGGCATGGCCTTGATGTGTTATTATGGCTGATTGGCCTTTGATCTTGATTTTTCGGTCGGTGAAGGTCCATCGTCGTTGACCAAGGGTGTCCGTAAATGAGACTCCGTCGGTGAAGCCATGGGTACTTCCCGTATTGGTGCACTCCTCGGCTTGCTCCGGGATAGGGTCCCAGTTTACGACAACTCCGTCGGTCACCTTACAATGGCCTTGGTCATAGCGACAACCGTCCAGCGTAACATCTGCGCAGTAGGGTGTGTTATTACGGTGAGTGGCGTACAGATTTAGGTTATCAAGATAACAGTTCTTTGTTTCTACTGTCGTGGAGGAGAGAATGCTTGAGAACCGATTCGGAAAATTCTTATCAGCGATAACGTCATTTGTTCGCCAAACTGGGCCGATTCTTGACAATTTACCATACCGACACGTCTTGTCTTCGTGCATCTTTTTGCATTCCTTTGGATCAAGAGGAACTTCAGGTGAAACTTGGAATTCTTCCGAATGCATATGGCCAGTTGAATCCGTCCACAATTCTACCCTCGCGTGTTTTAAACGACATCGGTAGCCTTCTGTTTTAAATGTGGCTCGATTGCTTTCATAGATGACGGCTTGGGCTTCTCTGTGGACCGTTGGGTCGATTGTGTGACACGTTTTTAATAGCGGTGGTGGTGTCCACATAATCGTCTTCCCATTTCCCTCACAGACGTACGGTCGTTGGGCTGCGGTACACGTGATGGTTACGAAAACTGCGAGTAAGGCCGCCCATTGTTTCAATCGACTGGTAGCCCTTTGGTGAGCCACTCTCTTCCCGCGCTTTTTGACGGTTGGAGGGGTAGTTTGTTCGACCGCGGGGGCCGAGGCTCCTACTGTAGTCGACCGTGGATTGATTTCTTCGGCCGTTGTTTGCAGTTCCGGGCCATCACTGGATTCTGAGTGACCTGAGCTTGTGTCGTCAGCCGTATCTTTTCGTGGATCCGCGCGTAGCTCAAGCGGATACAACAAGGGTATTGGCCTTTGTAACTCTTTACCGTCTTGGAGTCGAACTGTAGCTACGCGATGGACGTCATCTCTGTCTGGGTCACATCTCACGATTTGTCCAATCTTCCAAACGGAGCGAGGTTGCAGTTCTTCAAAAATAAGAACGGTCTCATTCACTACTGGGGTCGTTTGTTGATTGGCGGCGTTCGTGGCATAGTGTTCGTTGGTGGCGATGGATTGTAAGTACTCCTTACGCCACAACTGCCAAAACCGATTGAGTAATTTTTCTTGATACCCTTTGAGTCGTTGAAGCCGTTGTTCAAGCCGGTCATGTGCTACCCATTCTTCCTCAACAGTGTCATCAAACGTTGGGCTAGTACCTTTAACTCCAGCTGGTAGCAAAAAATCGATTGGCCGAAGAATGGCCGCGTTGGCTTCTGGACTAAAAAGGGGTCGATGACTGACCACTGCTTCAGCACGAATCACCAGCGCTTCCAGTTGTCGGAATGGCAATTTGTTTCGCCCGACTATACGTTTTACCGACCGTTTGAGGGGTTGGATGAGCCGCTCCCAAAGCGCTCCTTTCCATGGCCCTCTTGGAGTGATGAAGGTCCATCTGATGGCGTCACTGCGACCTTGAAGTACCTTAGCCGCCAGTTTGAAGCTCTCCGCGTTGTCGCTTCGCACCCGGTCAGGTATACCTCTGCGAGCCTCAAACCTGTCGAAGGCCATCAGTACGTCTTCTGTTGTCATCGATTGAGTACATTCACAGTGGATGGCTCTTGTTGAAGCACAAGCGAATATCATCACGTACAATTCTCCAGATTCGGTATGAAACGGTCCAGCAAAATCTACACCCACTGATTCGAACGGGCGATTTGGGTTAACACGGTCAACCGGCAACGGGGCCCACGGTGGATTCGCATACGGTTTAGCATCAAAAACTCGACAGTTCGAACAGCGTTGGGCTGTGTGAGCGGCCACCGTATACTTTACGAAAAATTGAGTTCGTAATTCTGCGAATAGTGTGGCTGGTCCACAATGCAGTAAGCGTTGGTGTGTTTCGTCGGCCAATTGCTTTGTTATCTCATGATTGGATGGTAGCCACCAGCTGTAGGGGGCACCGCTCCATTCAGAGTTTAACAGCCTGTTGGGTACACACAGTAGTCCGTCACTGTCTTTCTGGATCCGGAATCGCTTCATTTGTTTGGTTGTAGGTGGACATTCTGTTTGAGCTGTTCTCACCCTTTCAAGAAGACCTTCATTTACCGTAACTAAGGCATTGGCTACTGGCACAGGTTCTTCTGGTTCTGGTTGGCTTTGTATCGGAACAACAAGATTACTCGGCCATTCTTGTGGCTTACTTAGCCATTCAGGACCGTTCCACCACAGCGAGTGTTGTTTGAACTCGTCCAGTGATTCAAATCCCCTGGTAGCACAATCAGCTGGGTTTTCAGTACCTTTGACATGTCTGAGCTCGATCCAGTCAAGTTGTTTCTGGATTTCTGTGATGCGATTTCGTACAAAGACTGGCTGACTACTTATTGCTTCCTTACTGATCTGTTGGAGTGCTATCATGGAGTCGGACCACAACACGGCTTTGTCAATCGTTCCAAACGCCTTCTTAACAGCCTTGGCCATTCGTGTGCCAATCAGAATTGACAGAAGCTCCATTCATGGCATCAGTATTGTTCCTTGGGTCGTTCTAGCCGATGGTAGGGCAAGGTGGTTCTTAGCCATGACTAAGCGTCCGTCAACATAGACTACGGATGCAAACGCTACAGCACTAGCATCTGTAAATACGTGCATGTATTGTGCGTTGTGATTGACTTGTCGAGGGATTCTGATCTCCCCTGCCCAACCTTTTTCCCACAGATTCTATTCGTTTCTGAATTCTTCTGAAAACTGGTCGTCCCATCCTTTATCGTCTTGCCAAACTTTTTGTAGCATCGTTTTTGGTCTTAATGTGAGTGGGACCAGAACGCCTAACGGATCGAACACCGAGGCGAGTCGGGAAGCCACCAATCTTTTGGTCAGCTTAGGATGTGTCTTCGTGGTGATCTCGTACTTCAACTCGTCTTTCCCAACGTCCCAGCTAGTTCCTAAGACTTGTGTGATCGTTGGAGATGGATCGGCTGACAGCTGAGCTTGGACGTGTGGATCATTTGAGCAGAACTGAGTCAGAGTGAATTTTGCCTCTGCCAGAATGCTTCGGATTCTTTCCGTCTCTTTTAGGGCTTCTTCAGCTGAGTCGTAGGTCAACACGAAATTGTCAACATAAACTGAAGCCATTAGATCCTTGGTCTCTTCCCGTTGTTGGAACAACAGCTTGATGGCCATCATTAGTAAACTGGGGCTGCATTTGACCCCAAAACACACTCTACGGAAACGCCAAACTTGAAGATTTTCTCTCGAGAACGGTTTATCCCATTGACGCTTAGTGAGGAATCGTACTGCGTCTGTCTTCCTTAGCCAATTCTAGCATAAGAAAGGCCTTGGTGATGTCACTCAAAACGACAACCTGCTTTGTTCGGAACCGTAAGAGTATATCCAGAAGCGGTGGAACGGCTAAAGGCCCCACGTGCATGCAATCGTTGAGGGACAACTTCCCAGCGGATCCATCATAGACGACTCTCAGTTTTGTCGTCTGTGAACTTTCCTTGAGGACTATCTGATGGGCCAAGTAATGCACGTTCTTTCCGGCTTCGTCGTTCGCCCACTCTATAATCTGATCTTTCTGTTGTTGATCGATTATTTCACGGTATCCAGCCATCAATTCTTCATTTTTCTCCAACCTTTTCATCAGGACTTCGGTTCTACGGTAGCACTGTTCGAAGTTGGTCGACAATTCAGTCTCCTTTCCGTTCCAGAGCCAATGTACGAGAAACCGTCCTTCTGATGTCCGAATCGTCTTGTCCTGGAATTCACGCCAAAGGACTTCATTTTGAGTAGCCGAGTCTACCGACTCAGTTATGCCCAGACTCTCCAACGACCAAGACTTTTCGACCTCAGTCGAAGTAGTCAAGACCGTGCCTGTAGGCCGTCGTTGGGGAATAACTAGTGGTCCAATAGTTGATTGTACTAGTTCATCCCCTTGCCTATCTCGTACCGGCTGGATTATCGTCCAAAACGTCCGGGCCTCCAATAGGGCTTGTGGTTCAACAATACATTCTTGTATTTCCTTTCCCGTCCAATATCTCATTTTTATTCTTCCGGTTATCTTTGGTACGACATAAACTGGTACTTTGATGTTGCCTTCGTTTGTTGTTATGACGACTGTGGTTTGTTTGACTTCGCTGTTATAGCGGTCACCCAGAACCTGTGTCGCCAATAGTACCTTTTTCTCTGTCTTAACTCCTATTTCCTTGGCTAGTTGTTCGGTGATGAAACTACAATCAGCATCACTATCCAGAAGAGTGGCTATGGAGATCACCTCCCCTGTAGATGTTCGGTATGGAACTTCTGCCGCTGTTAGGAAACAACCTTCATTAGCCATGGTAGCAAAAACGGTCCCTTCTGTTGTTGGCTCCGGGTTTTCCACCTCATGCTGACTCAGCTTTTCGTCCAGCTCGATTTCGAGTTGTTCTAGGGCCAGACTTTCATCATTCACCTCATCCTCCTCTTCCACTTCTGTGTGGGTAAGATGGACATTAACGGGCAACTGTTTACATATAATTCGATGTGGGGCTGCTCCACACTCCGGACATTTAGCCTGACAGTCACGTGACTGATGGTCTGAACTTAGGCACCGGAAACATCGTCCTGACTTCTGTAGCGCTTCCTTTCGGGCCGTTAACGTAGTTGTCTTCAGACATTTTAATGACGAGTGATCCGTTCTGTTGCAGAACAAACATGGATATCTTTTCACAAAGGTATTTGGTCTTTGTTGAGAAGATGTTCCGGTTCGTCTGTTTTGTTCCTCAACTCGTTCGCTGGTCGATGTCGTGAAAACGGCTCGTTTTGACTGGTTGAGATTTGGCAGAGTCATCATTCTTTCAACGGCTTCGAGGGCCTTTATCAGCAAGTCCATATTCCACACTTCTGATGTTGAAGTTAAGGCCCACTTAACTCTTCCCAACTCAACCAATATCTCGACTGGCAATTTGTCAACCAGTTCTTGTATGCATAATGGTGAATCCCATTCCAAACCATTTTGTTGCATTTGCCTTCTTGTGATCTTTATGTCCAAGATGTACTGTCGTAATCCTCCAGTACCGACTTTCACGTTCTTAGCCTTCTGGAGCAGCTTGTGTTGGATGATGTCTGGTCTATCGTATGCCTGATCTAAGGCATCCAACATATCTTCAAAGTCGTTGAGCGCTATGCCCTTCAAGATCCTTGCCGGTTCACCTTCCACCATCGACAGTAAATACTGTGCTTTTTCGACCGCTGACAGATCCGGAGTATCAAAACCAGCCAAGAACCAGGTCATCCACAACGTGTATTCTAAGAAATCTCCTGAGAATACTATTGGTTCTAGCTTTCTCCGTCCAACATTCGACCGTGTACCACTTGAAACGTTCCGGTTTTGCCTGGCGTTTCTGGCTCTTCCTTGACTTCTGTTTCCTTCTTCTTCTTCTCCTGGGTCGTCTTCTTCCTCATCATCGTTCTCCAAGTCAGGATTATGCGCGTCGTAGACAGCTTGCATCCGAGGGGTGACAATTGGATGAGTCTTTTGAGGTTGTCTACGCAGTCTCTGTGAGGTCTTTGGGATGACGGGTGTATTCGCCAGGAGATGCTCTCTATCGAACCTCGTTTTGTGCTCAGTAACGCCTTCTAACATCACCTTTAGGTCTTGAAGTGAAACATCGAGCGTCTTTCTTTTTTCATTAATTAAATTATCTGCCACGAAATCATTATAATCCTTTTCGGCGTCATCATTGCCCGATCGCAATGATCTCCATTCATTTCCGAGCGTGACGCTCTGTTCTATCTTGCCGGTGATGTTGGTGACGGCCCTTTTTAGGGCATTCGATTGGCTGACGGCTTCGCTTAGGTTGGTCGGTTCGAAGGTCGAGTTGGTCAACTTCTCGGCGGTTTCTGTACCTGAGTTTAGAAGGCTTAGAATGGTTTCCTTTATGTGCCTTATCCGAGTCGCGGGATCTCGAGTGCTGTGGACCATTTTCGGTTGACTTTCTCCCAGACCTTTTATGCGGGCCTTCGCACCACAGTAAAGGTGGGTCTGCTTCCGTTACCTTAAATCGACCTAGGAATTCTGGCCTCGGACTTAGTCTTGTAGTAGCGGCCGCCTTTAACTTCCTTAGTGTTCTCCTTCGGCGAAAATTGCGGGATCTTCGGTCGATTGGAGATCGTGATCTGACTTCTACTCTGATCGATCGTTCACGAACTTCAAAATTGGCCTCGTCTCGTAGGTACACAACCCTGTCCTCTTCGTAGTCAAAGCGGAGATTATTGATAGACTCAATTTTGTACTTCTACTGAAAGCACAAAGGTCACCAATGTTCCTTAAACTCCACGAAGTCCACAATCAACAAAATCGAATTTACAAAAAATTTCAATTTTATCACCAAAATCTCGGTGAGACCTCCATAAATGTCCAGGGGACACTCCAAATTTACTTTTCAAGCGGTGGTTTTCAGCCGCTGATAAAAGATTAACCCAAAAGCGTTGTCCAACTCGTTTTATTGGTACAAAGCTCAAACTTGGGTTAATAAACCGAAAAACGCGATATAATGAAATATGATATAACAATAATAAAATACAATAAAATAAAAACTATAAAACTAAAGCCCAATTTAGAAAATTAAAATTAACTAAATAACAAAAAAACAGAATAAACTGACGACTCGGCCGAATTCACAAAAAATGACTGAAGAACTGAAGGATAGACGGGATCGGCGTCTCCTGACACATTCCTTTGTCTGTTGTAAAGTGAACAGTCTTTTTGGCCGCGTCTTCCGCGGACATACTAAATTGATTCTTTTTTTATTTACTAACGTATTCTATTAAAAGTATAAGTGTTTATTGTCCATAAAAAATTATGACAAAAACTTTATTTACATTCCAGAAATATGATCTATATTTTCTTTTTTGGTCCAACGTACTGTACGTTTAGAATATAACACAGTTGTGGAAAGCTTTCCACGCCAAAGAAATGATGTGTTTGACCTTGTTTATACAACACTACGTAGGGCACTCCAAAAGCCTATAATAATATATACCTATAGTATCCTATATCTTAACTCAGAAAACGTTATGCTGTAAATACCGCAATTGCTTTAAACCTAAAAAATAAACATACTCCTTTCCTAATAGCTTCATCAGTATTGTCTTTTAACTTTTGTTTGACGCTTTCATTGTCAATGTCTTTTACCAAATCCGTTGGCAATTCCAATCTTCTACAGATGTTTTCCAATTTTTCATGTGAATCCACCCAAATCTTGTTCACGAACAAAGAATGCCACAATTCTTCAATAACTTTCGATAACATTTCTGGATAATTGTTTTGTACAGCGGTCACAAATCTCATAGGCATAATGGAACTTTGTTTCAAAGCTTCTATTTGAAATGCCTAAATTTATCAAAAATTATTTCGTTTTCTTAAATTAAAAAATGCCCAAAAGATTTTATGCAAATTTTTTCAAAAAAGTATAAAAAGTAAAAATGTATTGCTCTGTCATTTTTTGTTGATTCGACGCTAGTGCACAGTCGCTTGACGCGAAACAAATCATGTCCACGTTCGAAACTGTAGACGGATTCTTAAACGAATACGATGGTGAACATGCCTATGAAGAATTGAAAAAGGTAATTTTTTATAATTTTTGGTAGTATTATTCATAAAAAAGTTGTTGCAAGTAATGTGTAAAAGTTAAAACGAGTATAGCATTTGTTGTAATTTTAGGACCTTCCAGAAAAACCATCTGTTGGCCACTTGTACCGTTTAGCTCATGCTTGTTACATTCGTGCCAACCAACGAGATGATGAAAACCAACGCCTCGAACTTCTTCGCGAAGGCAGTGACTTTGCGAAGCAAGCCGTCGAACTGGACCCAGAAAACGGCATTGTCATGAAATGGGCAGCTACATTGGTTGGTGTTCTCGCCGAACATTCGTCGTGGAAAGAAAAAGTGGCCCTGGGAAACGAATTCAAAAAGTATTTAGACAAAGCGATCGAGAAGTTGCCAGAAGAATGGACTTTGCTGCACATGAGAGGCCGCTTCATCTATCAGGTAAACATAAAAATGCAACATTTTTAAACTAAAAAACACGATTGGTAAACTTTAATTTAGATTGCCAACTTGGGAATTATGGAGCGCGCCTTCGTGTCTATGACCTTCCAATCCTTACCCGCTGCAACGTACGAAATGGCACTCCAAGATTTGTTGAAGATGGAAGAACTTTGTCCTGGAGACCTGGACAACCAATTGTTTATTGGAAAAGTGTACTATGCTATGGGCAATAACGAGAAAGCGAAAGAATGGCTCAGTTTGCTGTGCGAAGCCGAAGCCGTAGACGCGATCGACAGAGAACACATTGATGAAGCCTTTGAATTGATGGAGAAGATTGAACCCGGCTACAAACAAAACTTTGAAGAGGAAACTGCTGAACAATCAGAAGATCCGGAATCTATTGAAAGTACCCAATGAATTAATTATTTGCCTCTGTTCGATTATTTATGTAAAAAAATAAATTTTTGTATGATTGACAAAACTTCTATCTTATAAGAAATTTTAAAACTAAAAACTGCAAGAGTAAATTGATGAACCTACGTCAGAGATAGAAAAATTCTTCGGTGCATCCCAAAACTCGACTAGTCGGCCACAACATTCCTGTGTATACCTAAACTTTAATGGATGAACCACTGGACCGACGTTTTTTGAAGTTCGAAATACAGCAGCCATAAATGTTGGTCGATATAATATTTCTGCCGGTAAAACATGTTGATATTGCTGGAGAGCCTAAAAATATACGATTTGCCAAGCGGATAAATAATAAATATTTCATAAAAAATATATAATTCAAAGTTCAAATAAAAATGGCTACAAAACAGCCAAAAAAATAAAGATAGGAATTTCTAGATTAATCAAAACAAAAAATTTAATTTATTTTGTTGCTAACCTTAAACATGAAGTAAGAATATGGCGAAACAACATCAAAGAAAAAATTGAGTTTGGCTTTAGACATAACTTATACTATCAAAAAAATAATATTTCAAAGGTTTACAAGAGAACAGCGAGACTTGCGAAAAAATAAAAAGATAAAGAGACAAGTTATACAGTGAAACCTTCTTTATCGTACTTTTTATTTTGCTTTCTAACTAATAGGAAAAGTACCCTACCTGTCCCGCTCAAAATTAGCCCGAATTTTTTATATAAATTCCTTGTACCATCAATAATACCCATAAAAAATTTTAGCTCGCGCGGTTGAGTTTTAAATTTGAATTATTTTGGCTTCCCGCCAATTTGGCAACTTTGGTATTGTGTTTCAATCACTTTAGTATATCAGAAGAAAAATTCCTAGAGTTAAAAAATGGCAAAGTTATAAGCTTGAAACACGATGCCAATTTGGCGGGAAAATCAAAACGCAGTTTTTTGATCTCGACTTTCTTCAAAATTCTTTTAACTTTGGTTTTCAATTGAATTTGTTTAGAACGATAAAAAGTTTGCAAGCGCTAAACATTTTTTAAGCCGTCAACTTTTTGCATTTATACCGTGTACATACATAAAACTTTATAATATAAGGCTGATAAACGTTATATACGTAACAGCGTTTTATTTGTATAATATTTTTATTGAAACTTTCAATTTGGCTGCAAAACGTTTTTGAAAAGAAATCTCATTAAGAGTCGTGCCACCAATACGTCACAAGACGATGTAAATATCGGCCAGACTCATCGCGACTAAAAATAACCAATTATAACTTATTTTTAGAATGGTTTAGTATCAAACAAAACAAATATAGTGTTTTCTTGAAGTTGATAGTATTTTTAGCTCTTTAATATTAAGTTTTGCTAGTATATAAATACGGTTTTATAGCTGTATTTCATTAAAGATATCAAATCGCAGCTTTTTGGAATTTTTTTAAAAATCGTAGCTTTTTTAAACTTGTTTAAGAAAAAATAGGTGAAGAATGAGAATTTTTTACAATTGTCATAAAAAAAATTGTCATAATTGAGCTATTTCGTAGACTATTTTTTTTATCATTCTACACTCAAAAAAGCAGAATTTTTAATGAACGTTTTATATTATTGTGCAGATAATGTGCTTATTATGTATTCCTGGGTCTTTGCTTTCTTATTATTTAAACTATCATAATGAACGTGAGAACCATGAAGGGTGTGAAAAGTCCAGTCCGGGTCGGATGTTTTGAAAATTGTTTTTTAATACTCTCATAAGTTTTTGACACTCTTAATGGTAAAGTAGGGAATCCGGAGTAAGTATGAATGCAAGTAGGAAAATAGTCATAACATATAATATCTAAAATTTTTAGTTTTCAGGTAGATTTTAATAGTATTTTAATTTGGGACTTTAAATCCAGTTTTATTCATGACGTTAAAAGCCATTAAATAAATACTAAATGTTTACGGAAATCTCGGTCTAAAAATAAATTTTTGTTCAATTTCGTTTTGAAGTATAAACTATTTCTGTTTGTTGTAGCAATTCATAATTTTGAAAATAAACATTCTAGTGTTTGCAAACGTACCAGAAAAATTAAAAAATAGCGTTAGTATGAAGGTTCGTATTTATAAACAGTTTTGTATATCTGTATTAATACCTGTTTGCGCGCGCGACAATGTCATTATCTTTGTGAAATCTTTTGGAATAACTTTATCTTTGATGGATTGCGCTTCGCAAAGGACAGTGAACGCATACTTAGCGGATTTACATGTGTTTAGGAAACTTTCTGTGATTTATAATTTTTGTGTATCGTTATCATTTTAAATTTTTAATAAATTTAAAAAATTGATGGTTCTATAATACATTTTATCTTTTAAAAATTTACTTGAAAAAAATTTTACCTGCCTAAAAGCAGTTACAGAGAAAAGAAGTAGACTCTATTCTCTAGAACTTCATGTTTTCTTTTTCAAAGTCCGAGGCCTCCTTTTTCCATTTTTTATTCGAAAAGAAGAGACCTTTTTAAGAATGGAAATAGTAAAGACATACTTTTCGAATTAAAAACGATTTTACTACTTTTGATATTAACATTTGTAAAAATCCATAATTAAAAGCGCTTTAGAAACAGTTTTTTTTGTTTTATACTTAATGAAAAATCCATTTCTTTTACGCTTAATATAAAATTTTTGAAACGTTTTTTTTTCCAGGTTTCATATAATATGTAAATTGTGTTGTGCGAAAGCTTTTTGGCGGCGTTTTTGGTCGTGAAAACATTGGAAACGTTCTTTTTATTAAATAGCATTGCCCGTTTTTCTTATGTTTCGATAGTTTTTGAATTTGTTAAATACTACGAACCTCTCGAAGTAGGAAATTATTTGTGTCAATAGAGCGCAGTAAGTACTTCTTTACTTTTTAAAACCTAATTTTCTCACTGAAAAACAATCTTGAAATTTATTCCGGTTGTGAAAACAACAAAGAGGTCGTTGTTTAATTCAAATTTTTGATTTGTTGAAATGACAATGACTGTTGAGATGACGAAAAAAGTCACGTATTGAGTACGCATAAGGCTAATTAAACTTGTTCAGTTAAACAGTTATATTAGATTTGTACTTTTTTGCTTCAGTAGTGGTATATTACACCATTACAGATTATCTATCATTTCAACAAATTGATATTTCGTTCCAAAAAGTTTGTGAGTTTTTTCGAATAGACAAGGAAGCTGTCTATGTTTAATTACTTTTTCTGTTTTTGTTATTACTAAGGAGTGTTAAGCTGTAAGCCCCAGGGATTTGACGTTCTTCAGTAAAAGTGATTTGTACTCATCGTAAAAGTTTTATGGGAACTAGTTAAATTTATTACTTTGTATTTGAAAAATATATATTGCCTTCAAAGGTTAACAAAGACAAGCTTATTACTTTTTAAGTGCTACATGTTATTTAACATATTATATAATGTTATTTTATACAGTATATAGTCTTTTATGTTTTTACATCATAAATTATATTACTAATTATGTAATGTTTAATACTGCTTATCCTTAACAAACTTGTTACTGGGTATATAATACATCTCGAAGTATAAAGTTTGTTATTGTGAAAGTATATGTATCTTAGGTGCTTAATGATTACAAAATAACAAAAGTATTACCAGCTTTAAGTAATTGCGCATTTCAATACAACGTTATAATGCTATAATTCACGTAACAGGTCTATATTATTGTATAAAAAGATTTTGTTTTTGGGTGGTTTCATAGAGTTTTTATACGTTACTATCGTCGTGTTGGTATAAGTTTTTAAAAACGGATCAGGCATATTTTTTATCTAAGGGTGAGGGAAGGGGGGGGAGGCATCTTACATGCAAGTTGTATATTTTTAAAATATAGAATAAAAAACAGCGGTCAAGCTTTTTTTGTCTATTTAGAATTTTTTTTCAAGAAGCATACTGTACCATACACTTTCATCACTGTGTTATCTGCAAAGTTGTAATTTTGTATGTATTTTCACAAATCTAATTACATGATTCAAAATGAAAAACCGAGTGCATTGAAACGTGTATAGAAACGATTAAGTTGAGTCACCTTTAAGCGGGTTGTTTTTGTCGGGATAGTCATAAAGGTCAGCAAACAAACTTGTAATAGTTTATTTGCATTTTTAGGCTGAAATTAGAAAACAGTTAGTTAGTGATGAAATTAGGGGTGGTTGATAAGGTTGTGATATAGCTTACTTCAATTATTTATTGACAGCAGGTGGCGTGCCATCAAATCTAAGTCTGATTCTCCTCCCCTCCCTCCTCTATTCTGTTTTTTTGTGTATTTTTTAAAAATATTTTTACAATTTGAGACGTTACAGCCACAATTTGTAACATTCATTCTCTATGCAGACAGAGTACTTAGCAAATTACAGTAGAAATTACGACTACTTTAAAGGACTTTCCTACAAATTATTTAAATTGCCGGATTTTTAAAAGAAAACAAAAAGAGCCTTGTTTTACATTTCCTTTTTTTGCAATTGAGGAAGCAAAACGTCTTCTTATTTTATTCACTTTACGCAAAAATATCACTTCCGCCGCGTGTTATTGCTATCTTGTTATTAATGACAGTTTTCGGGATGATATTTAAAAAACAGAAACATCTAAGATGATTTGATATTCAGATATTAATTTCTTTTTCTCTTGCATATTGTTGTGGTGGCAATCATCTTATCACCGTACTTCTAGCGTTCGTGCGTGTGTTTGTTTTCAATTTAAAAAAAAAGTATGTAGTAAAATTACTTTAAATTCAGATTTCAAAAATGTCACTTGCATCTGTAGCCCAGTTTTACATTGAACAGCCTGAAACGTCGAAAGAAGCTCGTACACAAAGATCCCTTGACTTTTCTGCTCCACAATTTGTTCTTCTGGAAGGTACAGATGACCCGTTTGATGGAATTATACAAAAAATGTTTGAATACGGCCAGTGTTTTTACGAAAAAGTTGAAGTAACGAAGAATGAGCAGCTTACCAGCCAAGGTATTTAAAAGTTTAAAAACTTTTCAATTTTTAAAATTTATATTTTTTAATTGTCAAGGTTTTTAGGTGTAGAGATAACAAAGCTGCCTGCTTTACAATTCGATGGACTTACACTGACCGGGTTTTCGACTGTGTGCCGTGCCATAGCAACTCGAGTGGGCTTGGATGGATGCTCAGTTAAAGAGTCAAATGAAATTGACATGATTGTAAATTTTATTGAAGCAGAGATGAACAAATTGAGGCCGCTGATTCAGAGATGGACGGTAGAACAGGAATCCGATGACGAAAGCGATGATGACAATGACACAAACGAAAACGAGTTTACTTTCCAACTAGCTCCGATTTTGGATGCAAGGTTTAAAACTAACGGGTCCAAAACAGTGGTTGGGAAAAGTGTAAGTTACTGTAAAATATTATTTAGGTATTTGTTAATTAAAATTAACTTTTACATTAAAAAACTTTTAATTTTATTAAAATCATAATTTTTAGATTACATGGGCCGACTTTGTGTTAGTTTACTTTATGCGAACTTTGATCGAATTTACTGGAACACAAATTTTGGACGATTACCCTGACTTGGCCTACTATTATCATAAAAATCATGCATTGTAATCATTAAGAAATCGTCCCACATACAAATGTAAACCTGAATACGTGTACATATTTATAAAAATTTATAGTTGAATGTCGATTTACTACCATAAATGAAAAATCAAGCTTTAAAAAAATATTCGCATTATGCTAATGTTTTATAAAAATTTAGCTTATGTCATCGGTTTCTTTATCATTTTCCTCTGTGGAATATTGTGCATACATTGTACTTGACTTTTGTTCCTCAACAGTACCCAATAACCAGTACGTTTCCATAACACCTTTCCCTTTTATAAGAACTTCACCTCGACTTTCTGTCACATACCCACCAACAACATTAGTCAAAAAGTCATTACAATCAGCCGAAATGTGGATTCGATTTGCTTCAAATAAAAATTTAATAATTAATGTTGTTAAAAAAGTTTTATATTCAAATAGGAAATGTTTTTAAAAATATAAAAAAATGAAGTTTTTTTAAGTGCACTTACGTTTACCATTACTTTCCATCCTAGAAGCTGTGTTTACACTATCGCCAAACAAACAATACCTCGGCATAGCCAATCCTACCACTCCAGCCACTACCGGACCCACATGTAAACCAATTCGAAGCCGCATTTGTTCGCTTGGCAAATTAGGTATAGTAAATGATTTAATTGATCGCATAAAATGAATAGCCATGTTAGCTATACACCGACCATGTTCATTGCCATTTCGTTTTGGTAAGCCTGATACGCACAAGTAACCATCTCCTGGAAGGTTGTATATAAATATATATATTAAAAGATACCTATAGTTTCCACTTTATAGACATTATATTCAGCTATAATACCATCCAATAAAGTATACAGCTCATTTAGTAAATTGATCACTTGCAATGGTGTACACTTTGATGCTATAGTTGTAAATGATACAACGTCAGAAAAGAAGATTGTTACTCTGTCAAAGGCTTCAGGTTCAACAGATTGGCCTAGTTTTAGTTTTTCAGCGACTTGTCTAAAACATTATTTTTAAAATAAAGGTACAGTAATTTTTTCAAAAAAGTTTTAAAAACATAATTCTTACTGTGGTAGCATTCTGTGCAACAACAAATCAGACCGTTTCTTCTCCTCAACCAATTCTTTAGTTCTATCAGCAACTTCTTCTTCTAGATTTAAAGCATGTTGCTCAAGAATTCCAAATACGTGATCCATAAGATTAGCATTCCGGCCGCCAGACATTGCCCTTAACATTGACCTTATCAATGCAATCTTAGGCCTTTGAGATGCGGTTTCTGACCAGCAGTCTTTCAATAAGTGAATCTAAAAAAATATTTATAATTAGCGTGTAAGAAAGTTTTTTAGTAAAAAGTTACAAATCTTACGATTCCTTGATTAACATCAGGTATAGCAAGCTCAATTTCAGGTCGCACACTTCTCGATCCTCCTTTCTTAACCATATAAACTATCTCTTCAGCTCCACCTTTAATTTCATTTACTTCGTAGGCCGTTTTCATATTGACTAGTTCAGAACAAATAATGGCAAAACTGTACACATCGGCCGCTTTTGACATCGCTGCTTCGCCCTCACGTAAAACTTCTGGTGCTGTCCATAGCAAGTCTTAACGTTATGTTTAATATAATAATTTCAATAAAATTTACAAGCCTTTTCTATTAAAAAATTTTTTTGAATTTTTATTTGTTCAAATAATAAGTTTAATTTTTACTTTTTGATTCTCCTTCGCCACTCAAACGCAAAAATTTTAATCCATAGTAGGATATTTTCACTTGCCATCGATCATCGACCAAACATGAAGACGATGTTAATCGACCGTGAACTTCCAAAATACTATTTTGTAGGAAAAATAAGCCCTATAATTAATAATGATGTTTTACAACATGATTTTTAGCTTTATACTCTTAGATGGGTCCTATAGATATTCACTTACTTCAGCAATGTCACGAACTAATGAATAAACGATAAACGCGTCAATGTTAACAGTGCCTTTTTCAATCACATCTTTTATGCTACCACGGCCGCAAAACTTCCAAACCGATATGTATTCAGGACCATCAATGCTCAACCCCAAAAACTTGTTCAAATTTTCATGATCGAGTTGTCGCATCATCCTCAACTGTGCCATGTCTGTTTCTTCCAACGTCTTTCTTACTCTGTGTTTTTGACCAGTTACAAGTTCGTTTTGATACGTATACAATTGGTAATTCTTTGAACTTTTAAGACTGTCAAATGTAAATTTCGACGTTGTACTTGGCCCAGATTGAAGAGACCTACTGCTTAGAGATTGAGATTGATTTTTCTGAAATTTGTCATTATGTGATAAATCGATATATAATAAAATTTTTAACTTTGAAAATTTAAAATGAGGTTAAACTGACTCTACTATACTTTTCCAAAAGGCGGTGAGGTATTTGCCACATTTCATTCAATCTTCGTTTTTCTCCTTTTTTTGAGCTAAAATATATAATAGTATACATAACTTTTTGAAAATGTTCTTACTGTACAAAATAAGCGATAGTGCAAATGATAGATATGATTAAGACGGAAACAACTACAATTGCTGCTATAAACCATCCAAGATACTCTTCCCAAACAGCTTTTGGACAACCTTTTCCATCAAATCCACACAACGGTGTTGACAACGGCAACATACCACCTCGAGAAGCCCAAATCTTTTCGGGGTTTGTTACGTTCGTTGTGACGTTTATGTCTAAAAAATATAATAATATATTATATTAAGTGATGTGTGTTTTTTGGCATAAATTTAAAAGTGTCTTTAGTTAGTAGATGCTTTACGTTTAAAAAACGATTGTGTACCTTGAACAGAAAAAGTCGCATGGTTTTGAAGCTGTTCGTTTTCCATGTACTCAGCCAAGACGTATACTGAATCTCGAACACCATCATCTCCAATAACAACTTTGCCAGTAAAACCTAAACTTAACAATATGTAAAACGACTTTTTTATATAGACATGTTTGTACTGTATTATAAGTAAAGATATTTATGCAGTTGGTATTGCCGTTTAAATACCGTATAAAAGATTACCTTCAAAATCAGCAAAGCTACTATCCGATATATACGTTCCATTCCTATATTGACTTGGATCAGTAGACAACGTTCTATTCAACGCCATTCCATACAATTGCAATAAATCCAACAAAAACGGTGCAAATGCAGATGCATTCTGTTCTATGTTGCATTCTTGGCAATAAAACGGCCAAGAGCGAAGTTTTGGCACTACTTGACTAAGATAAGATTCTGTCATTTCTGCCGATAAATCACTTTCAGAATCCGCGTGTAACTTAAAAGTAAGATCTTACATAAATCAGCATTCGAAGTTTAAAAAAAACGTAATACATTTTTAGACATACCTGAACACTCACCTGAAGTGAAAGTTGTCCAATTTCTTTTGCATCTTCATCTCTACCATCTGCTGGTGTGTTGCGGTCGTACCAAAATGGCTTGTAATTCGCATCTGCTGCTATTAATAGTTAGTATGGCTTTGGTATACAATATAAGACTCCAAAAACTTAATTTTTCAATTAACGACTTACCTGCTAAGCTCATATCAGTATCTGGCATCAAATAAACATACTCAGGTGTGTTTAACCCGTAATCAAATAAACGTAAAGCAAACTCCCGCTTTTGGTCAACATCATCGAAACACAATAGTACTACTAAAATTTCAATTTTAAATTAACTAAATTTTTTTTCAAAGAAAAAGAATACAAAATTTAATTTTATAGAAATACCTAAACTTACTCCGAGCTCGTTGTTGTATATTAGTAATAGTGTAATTGATATCTTCGTCTTTCCACGTATCTACTCTATCTTTAAAACTTACTACGCAGTCAGAACTTACGGCAGTTATTTTCTAAAATAAGGCAAACATATATTGGTAATTAAAAGAATAAAAATGAAAAAAACTAAACGGGATACATTTTTATATATTACCTCTAAATCTCGTTGAAATGAATTACAACCACCATCATCATCAGTCTGAAGGATAAATGCAAAATGGGTCCATTTAAATGTTGCCATAACGTCACATACGACACGAGCAAAACTAAAATATTGTTTTAAAAAGATAGTACGTCCTTACTCTGTATAAGTTGGCATAATGTTAAGAGTAGTAGGAAAAAGCGTTGGGTCAGCAAAATCGGCTAGTAGTGTACCACCCCACATTAAAACTGGTATGTTATAGAATGTGGAAAGATGGCCAGCTACAGTAGCACCATCAGTACAAGGAGGTGCTAACAAAACGTCAATCTTATCTTGAGTTATCATTTGATAAGTGTAACCAGCTGCAGTTGCTTCTACACATTCTTCGTATTTCCATATTACACTGTAATATTAATTTAGGAAATATAGATTAGTAATAAAATTGTCTGTACTAAACTTAAATAGAATAAAAAGTACAACAAACAACAATTAAAATAGTTTTAAGCTAATACGTTTCAAAAAATGTTTCCAGTTTCTTACGTAAAGTTAATACTGCGCGGTATTAGGCTTTCGTTGTACATTCGTTCAATCGCCAATGGAATGGCCCCAGCACAATTGTCAAAAGTGTACGGTAGGGTGGTGTTGCGTGGCATTAGAAACCCTAAACGAATCGTTTGCGGCGCGTTCGGCACAGCAGGAGATTGGCTTAAGCAATACGGCCCGAAATAAAGAACACCTAGCATGTGCCGCAGAAGAAACAGGTGGTATGTAGCTACTGGTAATACGGTAGCCTTCATATAAAAACTCTTTTGGGTTTTATATATTTTTGAGTAGAGTATTTTTAATTTAATTATAATATATTTAGCTAAAGTATAATAGTAAACGATTGTTTTACATATATACTATTATAACAAATAGAGTGATATACCAAGCAAAGTGCCGTATAATATTGTTTAATAGGCAGTTTATTACACAAAGTAACCACAATTATTGTATAAATTTTTTTTATATGGAAAGCTATTACTTAGAAATATAATAATCGTAGCGCTATATTCTTTATAGTTATACTAACCGTAGTAAAATACGTTATCTAGTTGTAATTTTAGAAACCGATACAAAATAAGTCACAAACTTTTAACCGTAACTCTGAATACAAAATCTCCGCAACTTGATAGCTGGATTTTGAATTCGAATTACAGTCAAAATTTACTACCTTATTCACAAGTATACGGCCTAGATATACTAAGTAGGGCCGTGCAAATGGTTAGTCAAATCCCACCTACATGTGATTTCAGATTAGTAATTTCTTATTACGTTCCTTTAAGGCTTCTCCTCTTTATTAGCTTTTGGGTTACTGTAGTCCAGGGCTGTCTTGTGAAGTATCAGTATAGCTCAAATCTAATGAAAAAGGTAAAAATTGTACATGATTATAAAACTTTTTGAAGAATAAAAAACCTTATTTGATATATATATAATAAAATTTGCTACCAAAATAGAATGAAGTGTTTTATATTTTAATATTTTAAAACTTATTATTTTAAGAGTAAAAAAATAAACTACAGAATATATTTACATGTGCTTAGATGCCACTTCCGCCGCAAAGTTTAATTTTTTTTGGTGAGAAGAAATTTAGAGGACATTTTCTTTTTGATCGGAGTCGCGCTGATGAAAGGTGGATCTTCTCCCCATTAGATACCATTTTCTATCACATTTTTTTTTGTTTATTTTCGTTTGCTCTTTAAAAATTATCAAAATTTATATTTATTGTATGCTGCATGTTAATTAGAAATTATTTTTTTACAAATTGTGGTAGGCATTTTTTAAAGCCTGGCACGTTAAATCAGTTTAAAGTTTATTTTTTCACATTGAAAATAGAAAAGTATTTTTTTTTTCAATTTTATTTTTTTTGATAATAGAAGGACTACATAACACAGCAAATGTACAAAAAAAATTCTTTAATTTCATTTAACAAAAAAACGATTTTTGTTTGAATAATTAACCTTGAGAAACGCTACACGTCTTGTCATTTTTTTATTTGTGTTGTAACTAATATCGTTTTGTTTTGTTGCTTTTGTACAAGATTTTTGCAGTTGCTGTGGTAGCAATGGAGTTTTTGTTTCTTGTAATCAGTTATTTTTATACAAGAACAGTTTTACGGAGTTTTTATTGTAATAATTTTATACCTTTATACGGAATTTTATATAAAATGTTTTAAATTACGTTTTGGCTTTGTTTTTGTTATGGCTCTTTTACTCATTACAGCAATATATTATTGGTTAAGTTTAAAAGGTTGTTAATATATGTAGTGTAATTCAGCTGTTATGCCACGTTATTCAGACGAGAAGATTGCGTTTTTTGTTAAACACCGGGTCAGTTAAATGACCTTTATGAGCCATTCTTGACTTAAGTGATGAAAAGGTTTCTTTATTGTGCGCAGTTATAAGAAATACACTTTGTTTAAAGTTTTGATTTTTTAAGCGTTATTGTAGTTGTGAAAATAAAATTTAAAATTTATTTGTTTATTATAATGTCGATGAGCGTTCACTGTATATAAATTCAGATATTTAAAAACCGTTAAAACTTTTTTTTGAATGACTTTCTATTTTTATTTTAATTCAATAACGAATTGCAAAAAATTGAATTGCTGATACCTATTTGTCGTAAAAAATGTTTACGATGACCTAAACTTCCGCTTTGTGACATGACAACATTTGTTTGATAACCGAATTTGAAATGTCAAAAAATGTGCGAAAACGCGTTTTAGCCGAAAAATGTAAAAAATAGAAATTTAGCTCATATTTGATTGACGCCAATTATCATTTGAAACGATGATCGTCTTCTTTATCATTCCAATCGCTTGTGTTTTATCAATTACGTTAGTTTTTTAAAGAATTTTTTAAAAATTATTTCGTTTTTTTTGTAAGAAAGTAATCGACAGGATTAATGAACTTTAAAGTTAACTGAGCGTACTTTGTTGTTTTTGTCGTTCTCTTTTTTAAAGTACTATTTAGTGATGATTGTACAAGTTTGGTTTAAATTACATTAGCTGGTGGAAAACACAGAGTTTTTAGTTTAAAGAGCTATTTTTTTATTTTTCTGGTACAACTGTTATTAAATACAAATTCATTTGAAACTTATGGTCATGCATGTACTTTTTTTAATCGAGGTCAAGTTGTTTACGCGATATCCACTTGAGATTTACTCCTTACTTGTTTGGACATGTGGACATTTGTTTAAAAGGATGAGTCGGACCTTTTTGGCTATTTTAAAGCTTTTTATGCAAAACAATCTCATTTTGAATATTTATTATTTTCAAAAACTAAAAAGTATTTTTTTTAATATACAGAGCTTTTAGACATGTTAAGTTCTCCATTAAAATGCGTTTTGGTGGGAAACGCAACGGTTGGAAAAACGTCATTAATTGTAGCATACACAAAAAATGGATTCCAAGACAAATATGTTCCTACGGCTTTTGATAACTATTCCGGTAATTTTTCTTTAAAATAGCTAAAATAATTCGGCCTTAAGTTTTAAGCAGTAAATTTTCATTTAAATCTTTTAGTCACCATAATAAGCCTAACGTTTTTTAGTCACGGTAAATGTTGATAACAAACCATTGCGCATGGATTTGTGCGACACGGCGGGACGAGCAGAGTTTGACACCTTGAGGCCTTTAAGCTACGCGGAAGCCGATGTGTTTCTGCTATGTTTTAACATTTCCGACCCTAGTTCTTTAGCTTCTGTAACAGAACATTGGCTGCCAGAGTTGAGAACTGTTTCGCCGCATGTTCCAGGTTTATATTTTAAAATTTACCTTTTATTTAAAAATGTATTTAGTAATTATTTAAGTGTATTATATAAGCATACACAGGCTGTAAAAATGGTACTATAAAAATTACAATTATAATTTTAGTGATACTTGTTGGCACACAAAATGACATTCGAATGGGATTTCAAAAAGAGAAGTTGTTGGTTGATGGAAAACGGGTAAAACGTTTAGCAGATCAATTGGATGTAAGTTTGATAACATTTCCGAAGTGAGAGATAATTTAAAATTATATAAATTACAAAAAAAATATTTTTTAAAATTAAAAAAGATAAAACCATCATTTTCAGCTTGATTACATTGAATGTTCAGCTTTAACTCAACGGAATCTGAAAGAAGTTTTTGACCTGGCTATTTTGAATGCTATAAAGTCAGCCACCCGACATCGGCAAATCCCTGAAAAAAAAGAAAAGACACCCAGCCTTAAGGACAGTTTCAGAAGATTGGTATCGATGACCAAGAGGTTTTTATAATTAAAGTTTAAATGTTTTCATACTTAAACGATCTCATTATTTAATGGTTTGTGAAATAAAAGAAGTACTTCAAAAAAGTAATTTTTTAAAATTTAATAGTAATAGCATGGTACTTAGGAAATTTAAATGTGTAAAAAATTTGGAAAGTACTTTCTACTGGATTTTGGATATTCACCGCTATGTTACAGGCAATAGTACCCTGCATTTATAAATAACCTTGAAATTTTGCGCCGGTTTGAACTTAATTATGTTTTTGGATATGCGTTATTATTACTATATTCATAAAAATACCTAATAGTATTAAATTGCCCAGTATAACAAAAACAATGACAAAAACACAAAATAGAATGTATCATAAAAATTTGACTTTTTTTAGTGGCTTACAAACTTAAGTTTTGATTATGAATAATACATAAAAAAACAATTTACTTTAATCAAAAGTCTTGAAATTTAAATTTGTGCACTATCGATATAGAAAAATTGTATGACAATGGAACACCTGAAATGCGCGAAAAAGCGGTTCCGGTTTAATGGATTTATCCCGAAAACATCGCATTACGCCGCTTATTAGCGCATTTCGATGCGAATATTCAAATTTATAAACTACCATTGTGCGATTCAAGCCGAAATTTTATTTTGTAGTGTTAGCTTAGGTAAAGTAACAGGCTGAGTACTCTATATTTTCACACAATATTATTAGCTCGCATATATAGATAGTAAAAAGATATAGTTTTTTATGTTAAAAACAGTATACTAAAAAATTATGTACAGGTTACAGGCTAACTTAATATTCCCACGAAACTTGAGTAAACCTTTTGAACCGTCTTTTTTCTTTATTCAAATCGCTCAAGTACTTTGCGCAAGTATTTAGGGTAAAATTCACGCAAATGCCAAACAATATAAAACATGATCCTATTGCAAAGAGTTTAAAATTATTAGATCTTTTCATTTTTATTACTGTTTCCAATTGTTTGTTAAGTAATTTTTAAAATGTGAGGCAGTTTCTTAAGAGTTGATTAGATCTTTAGCAGCATTTTTTTTAATTAGAAAGAACTTATGAAAGTTGATGCTTAAAAAATATTGTCAAAGTTGTCATTTTTAAAGTTATATTCACGTTGATTACAAATATATGGGATATTAGGTAAAAACCACCTCCGACAAATTTTCTTTTCAGGCTTTTCTTCTATTAACCTTTTTATTCAAATTCCCATGAGCCCAAAGATTTACTATTATTAAAAATTTCTTTGCTCTGTTATAAATACTCCGTTTTGCCTATTAATAACAAACTATCGCGCATTCACGGGTAAAGTTTAATAGGTTTATTACTAATATTTAAAAAGGCGTTTTTTGTACGATGGTAATGTGAAAAGAGCAGTGTGAAGATAATTTTTTTTAGTTTTTGATTTGGACTACGTCCAATCTTTTAATAAATATATAATATAAAAAGTAGACAAATATAATTTTTGCTTTGCCTATAACTGTTCTTTTTTATCCAGCGCAACCTTGGATAGTGTTTTTTTTAATTACCGTACGATAGTCCGGTTTATCAAATTCGCGTATCAGCTTAAGAAACACGGTTTTTTTATATTTTTATTTTTATGTTCCCCTCATAGAAAAAACTATACTAATTTACGCTTTTTAATATATAATATTCACGATCGTATTATTAAATTTGAGTAATCAGCAAGTTAAACTCACCTAAAGGTCATGTTTTATAGGCTGTTATTTCTAACTCAACATGTGTTTTGACCTTAATTTACTCAAATTTTAAACTTATTAGTTATCCAACTGGTTTTTAGAGGAAAAATGTGGTGATGCGCCCGTAAATTAGCCATAATTTGCATATTGAGGGATTTTTGTTTGTCGAAAAAAGTTTAAAAACGTTTTTCATTGTATCTTTGCCGTTACGCAACAAATAGTTTACACGATAGAGGTAAACTGTAGATTGTATAGTATGCGAGTGACAAGTCATACGATGAATATTGTCTTGTGTTGAAAAAGTAAAAACGGTTTGAATTTAAACGCGTGTGCCTTATTTCGGGTCCATTTATAAATACAAATTTATATTAGTATATTTATAGAAGATTAGTATATTTGTAAGATGAAAAGTGTTAACACAGTGATAATCTTGCTATATGCTATACATGTCACTAGCAGTATTACCAGCAAGTTCAAAACTAATTTAATTGAACCATACTGCTCAAACGAAGCTGTCTTACAAGCAAAGTTAGAGGATGGAAGTGATAACTCAACGGAGTCTACAACGTTTTGGAACACGCAGTTGCTGTTGTCACTTAACGATACATCTTGTTTTGTTACTCGGGTAGGTATGAAAGGGTAAAAATACACCTACACCAATGATTTAATTCTTGTTATTTAAAACTAAAAATTTCAATTTTTAAATTTTGTAGATTGGCCCGCGTACAACAAATAAGCACGTAGTAAAGTTTTTACGTGTCGAACATCATTATGGTATTATGGGAACATATGAGTTTGGTGTACCGCGTATAAGACAAGCTTGCTTATGTGATTGTGAAGACGGAGAAGATATTTGTCGGTTAGATGAGTATCATTATAAGTGAGATTTTTAATCATTTTTAAAGTTTTTATAAAATTAACTTAAAAATTAATAAAAAATATTTCAGAAACTGTACTACGTCCCCAGTATGTTACCGCACTCTCCAACCTTATCAATCAAATGCTGGTTGCGTATCCTCTGGTGCGTCTTCTCTATGTTGCGAAATTCAAATTGAGCCTTATGAAAATTGGAAGTTTCAAGCTGTCAAACTGAAACAACCAAGTACAATATACGTGATACAATACAAAGTATATACGACAAAAGGCAAGCATACTACAGTGACATACGACAAAATATTTAATTTTACGATGAATAAGGGTATTTCATCGACGTCTCTGGAAATTATGGACCACGAAATGGTTGGGTTGGAACTACAATCAAATCGACCACATAGGCAACTTGAATCTGGAATGTATTTTTGGCAAAAAGGTCAAATTAAAAAGGAAATGAGAGGAAATGTCAGGCTTAATGAGCCTAGCGAGAATAGTTTAGACAAGTTGGGATGGTTTAGATATGAAAAAGACAATTGGACTGTGAGAAGAGGGCTAGAGAAGGTTACCAAAGCACAAGTAAGTACTTTTTTAGGGCATATTTACAAAAGTTTGTACATATATACGACGGTGTACATACGAACGAGCGGTTACGGGTATCTAGGGGCAATTTCAATTATGGGCGATTTCAATTATGGGCGATTTCAATTATGGGCGATTCTATTATGGGCGATTTCAATTATGGGCGGCCCAAGTTTTGTACTAAACTTAGAATGGTACTAAAAATGGTACATTATTATTAAAATAGTACTGAAATGAATTTTGGTCTTACCTGACCCTACCCCTGACCTTTTTGGCCCTACCTGACCCTACCCCTGACCTTTTTGGCCCTACCTGAGCTTAACCTTCAACTTCTTAGCCCTACCCAAGTCCAACCCTGACCTTTTTGACTATACCTGACCCTACCCCTGACCTTTTTAGCCTACCTGACCCCAAACCTGGGTTGGACTTGGGTAGGGCCAAAAAGTTGAGGGTTAGGGTCAGGTATAGTCAAAAAGGTCAGGGTAGGGTCAGGTATAATCAAAAAGGTCAGGGTTGGACTTGGGTAGGGCCAAAAAGGTCAGGTTTGGGGTCAGGTAGGCTAAAAAGGTCAGGGGTTGGGTCATTTAGTACAGAACTTGGGCCGCCCATAATTGAAATCGCCCATAATAGAATCGCCCATAAATGAAATCGCCCATAAATGAAATCGCCCATAAATGAAATCGCCCATAATTGAAATCGCTTCTAGGTGGGCGTCACGGAACGAGCTTTTAATGCAAAATAATCGTTTTTTGATTTTTTTCAGCACGTTCAGGTAGAAAACTGCAAAGCTCAGAGGTACTTAAGTTCGTTTGATGCTGAACAGTTTGTACTAGATATTGGAGACGAAAACAAACATAATTTTGAACTCGGAAATGCGACAATAGAAGTTGAACCATGGGTGAAAGATATACGCATACAAGACCGAGTAATTGAAATTGTTCATGCTGAAGGCAACGCGCTGGCAGTAAGTGGTATTTCAAGCTCATTTAATGTTGCTCACTAAGGAGGGGGGTTAAAAAAACAACAATTCATATAATTTTGAAAAAGTAAAATTTAAACTCTAGATATTTGTGCGTACAAACATACGGCCAGGGGTAATGCGACACAACTCACAGCTTGGTGATTTTAGTGGAACAATTCAATTGGATAGTTCTTCAAACTGTTATATGAATTTAACGTTTCGGGTAAGTCATTGTTGCTTCTTTATTTTTTTTTGATTTTTGAAGATTTTCGTTAAAACATTAAAGACAAATTTTTTTACATTACTTTTTAGGACGTCCAAGGCCCATTACAAGGTGAAGTTTATGCTGATGACTCTCGAAACTTTGCCGAGCTCTTTTTTCACATTCAAGCAGGAGACCAGTTAGAGACTATTTATCGATCTGTTGTTTCTTTACCGGCTTCCGTAAATTCACGACGTGAAGTTTGCATTCATCCATATGGCGATCCTCAAGCACGTGAATGTCGTTGGCTCGAATATACCTCACAACCTTTACCAAAGCCATCCGTACGCTCATTATGGACCTTGGATCAATCAGAATGCCAAGGATGCAATGAAAGAGGTTTGGAGTCGTTTCTTGTCAACTTAAATCCAACGCGATGGTTTAACGGGTTGAACTCCAAAATGGAAATTACTGCTTTTGCATTGGAAATGGGTATTATGTTAGGAGTCGTACTAGTTTTGTTACTTATGTGTTTGAAATGCATTGTGCCTTTATGTTGTTGTTTAAAGTGGTCTTTAAAACCAGTCACATACAAAGCAAGTAGTAAAAAACGACAGTTGATCTTGGAAAAGTTTTAGTTTTGTCTAAAAATAGGCAAAACTAGAGTGTTAAAAGGTTTTTTTATAAAATCAATATTCAGCTAAATTTAAAGCTTTAATCGTATTTATATGAGGCATTTACATTATGTACCAGGATATATTGTTATACGGGTCTTTCTCCGAAATTCTTATTGTGATATTTTACGTACTTTTATATAAATTCAAGTCTTCTTATTATATATTATATATAGACATACACAAAATTTAATAAATTATTTTTTTTTAAAATATGAACAAATAATTTTAAAATTTACTATATGCAACATATAATGGTATGTATAGTATGTTTAAAATCAGTGTTAAAGTAGTTGTAAAAGCGCGACTTTTAAGGCAGTAAACGGTAATCATCTGCAGCGTAGATCACTCTGAAAATAAAACTTTAATAAGAACGAACGCAATTTTGTTTTTATAAAGACTAATAATCTTAAATAACTTACTTATAAACTAGAGAAGCAAGCGCAGCGCCCAAAAATGGACCAACCCAATAAATAAAATGGTAACCCCAAATATCTTCATGATGCGCCTCGAACAATGTTGCAACTACACAAGGGCCAAAAGATCTCGCTGGATTCATACTCGCTCCACTGGTGTTACCACTAAAAATTGCAGTCATATACAGTTCATTTTTATATAAATTGGTAATTTATAAATGTTTTTGTTAATTATAAATTACCCCCCAAGAAAGTCCAAAGCAATGGCAAATCCAATACATAATCCAGCGATAACATTTGTGTTAGTATCAACTGCACACATAAGTACCGTTTGACACAAGATAAAAGTCAATATGGTTTCGACGATAAGCCCATGATGCCAATGGCCGGATAACCAACCAATTGGCCAAGTCGCTCCACCTAAAATTGTCGCATATCCAGTTTCAGTCGTTACTGCCTAAAACGAAAATCGTAAAAAATTTAAAACATTATTTGTAAAAAATCTTTTTAAACTTAACAATAACTATTAATATCAATGAAAAATAACAAAAATTTTACTCTAACAGCTAAAGCGCCACAAAATCCACCAGACAATTGCGCCAGCCAATAAAACGGTAGCAAAATAGGATTTAATTTCCTAACCAAAGTGACAGACAAAGTAACTGCTGGGTTGAAATGTCTGCCGCTAAAAACTTTTTTTATAAAACAATAACAAAAATTAAGTTTACGTAATCAAAAACGACACAAATTTTTCAAAAAAAAACTTATTAAAACCGTTTACTTACCTAATATGACCAAATGACATTACCAATACAAAGATAGTAAAACCATGTGCCAAAGCGATGCAAATCAAAAACTGGCCACTTTATTCGATATGACCACCATCTGATGCAATACTAAGGGACGATAAACAACCGATAAAAATAAAAATAAAATCTCCAACAAACTCTACTGTCAATTTGCGATACAGATGATGATACCAAGGATCTACAGGTACAGAAGTCGATTTTTCAGTACCGACAACGTCCGACATTGGCACTCACCGTCAAGTTTGCCGGGATATTATGGAAATCATTTTTTTTGGTTTCAAACTGTGCTATTTCATGGGAAAAAATTAAAATTTAAGAAATAAAATTTAGAATTTATTTAAAAAACGCTTAAATTTAAAAAAGTGGAATTCATCTTATTATACGGAATAATCAATTTTTAAAAAATGAAAAATTGCTATAAAAATCAAGGCAGTAGACGGTTTTCACTTTGTGCAAAAAATGTTCGATAAATGAAGGCAGCAACAGTCGCACCGGCAAATGGTCCCGCCCAATAAATGTAATGGTAGTTCCAGATTACTGTAGGCTGGACGGTTGATAAAATAGTGGCCGCTACACCTGGCCCCAAAGAACGTGCTGGATTCATGCTGGCCCCGCTAATTGACCCGCTAAAAATTAAATAAAAACGTAGTTATATCTCGTATGAATGACAAACCATCTTGAGTTTTATAAACTTTAAAAAAATGTAGAAAATAAAAAATTACTGTAGGTTTTTCCCTCTTTAACTTCCTTACCCTCCAAAGATGTCCAAAGCTACAGTAAGGCCGATAGCCAACGGTGCCAGAACATTTTTGTCCGTATCGACAGCACACATTAAAACTGTTTGACAAAGTATCATAGTCAGTATCAATTCTGTCACTAAATTTTGATGCCAATGATCGCCTGGCGCAGGAATAGTAGCACCACCCACTAAAGTGTTGTACTGGTCTAAGGTAGTTACAGCCTGTAAAAAATTGTTTAAACTGTATACTTGATAAAACAAATACAGTTACGTTATAAACTTTCTAAATACGTCATTTATAAAAATTTAAAAGATGTAAAAAATATTATAGTTTACGTTTCTTAAAAAACATTAAAAAATACACACAGACAAAACGCAAAACAATAACTGAAAAAGAAGAAAAATGTACATTGTTATATAAACATACTCGAACCAACAGCGCTCCAACAAACCCTCCGGATAGCTGTGCCAGCCAATATGGTACTAATAACAATGGGTGAAGTTTCCCGGCTAATGTCACTGACAGTGTTACAGCTGGGTTAAAGTGACCACCACTGAAATTAGAAACAAAATTTTATTAGTCGTAAACAAAAAACTCAATTTTTTGAAAAAAATCATTGAGATTTTTAAAAAGAAGTGTTTTTGCTAAATAAAAATTGACGTACCTAATATGGCCTAACGAACAGACCAAAACAAAAATGGTTAAACCATGGCCAAACGCAGCATGCGTTAAAACATTGTTTTCGTTGCCGTTTAGAGCTGCTAATGTACCAATAAACACAAAAATTAAATCCCCGAGAAACTCAGCCATTAATTTGCTAGCCAACCCAAACGGTCGATCTTGGCCGTTTCCCATGAACTCGATATTAGCTTCTTTTAGATAAATCTAAAATCCTTATTTGAAAAGTAAAAACACTTTTAAAACGTTTTTTTAATAATAAGAACAAACAAAAAAAGTGTATAACAAAACTAAATTGCCAGTTTAACATCATTGTGCCACATCCGGTACATTTAAAAGTGAAAGTCATTTAACCGTACCTTAATTCTCTCCCAGGTCTCTGCCATGTTTTATACAAAAAAAGAAAAATTTTAGAACAAAAATTAAAAATAAATAAAAACTTTTAGAAAAGTAGCTCTAACAATAAAAAATAGACAAATTACGTAAAATTCAAAACAAATAAGTTAAGTAGAAATATAGTATAATAAGTTGAAAAATAAGCCGAAAAGGTTTTGAAAATATATAAATATTTTAGATAGATCAATTACACTGTTAGTACTACTTTAAAAAGCAATAATATAATAAGTGTTCTATAAAAATTTAGTATAGCAAGCCTATTTTTTGCCAAATACGAAACTGAAAAGGATGGTATATACTCAACACACTTTGCACACAATAGTTTTCAGTCGCTTAGTGTATTTCCGGTCTTTTAAAAACATCTAATAGCAGGCAGGAGTAGTAAAAACCTTGCATTTTAAAATTTTTTTATAAAACAATTTTTACTATAGTAAAAAAGTATTTAAACATGTCTAAAATTTTTAATTTTCACACAATTTTAAAACTAGTAATAATTAACGAAACCGCATAAAATTTCTGTATTTGTTATAACTTAACACACTTTAGCAGTAACTACTTCTCTTTTTCAACAATGTTTACATTACTCATCATCAACAAGTATGAATTTATACAAAGTACACTAAAAACTACTTTTCATAATAAAAATTTTATAACATATTTTTTTTATTAGTCAATGTAAAATAAAAAACGTTTACGGTAAACAATGATTTGTTTTTTACATTATATTGATTAGAAAAATAACAAGGGTAAACTTAAAAAGCATCAGACGTGTTTAAAAAAACAATAAAATTAGGCTCTAATTCCCAAAAGACAATCAAAAAACACTATTTTTCATTATCGTTATCAATTATGTTTAGCGTAAGCAAATAATAAGTTTTTAAAAACTTTTGTTGTAAATGTTATAAAAGTACCAAATGCAATATCAAGAAAACAAAAATTCAAATTAAAATCGTAACGTAAAGTTTTTTTTAGTTTTCCAGAACGACATATGTTTTTGTACATTGTACGTCAGTTGAGTAAACAGTAGTTGAGCAATTATTTAAGTCTGCTTTCAAGATTTAGCTGCATATAACTTTTATTGCTAACATCAGTACCCAAAATATATTTTTTTAAATATTGTCTGCTTAAATTTCAAATTATTCGCTTAATAAAATTGTTTTTTTTTATTTAAAAGATGAAGTTTTGTCAAGTTCGGTGCTTGTTGCTTTTAACAACTGTAACATTGGTAACACCCTTTCATATTTTTACTACCACTGAGATACCAAAATCATCGACTAATGTTTATAATGTAAATTTTTTAAATTGGTTTTTTAATTTAAATTTTTTTCAAAAATTCAATAAAAGTACAGTTACTTTGAATTTTTAGGAATTAAAACAACTTGTACCAAAAGATATATATGAAGCATTAACGAAAATTTACGCTAACAAAAACTTACTTGTTGTGGTAGGTTTTTTTTGGATTACCTATTATTGTTATTCTAACGATTTGTTTTCAATTTTATTATATATGTTTCTTTTTTCTTGTAAACCTTTTTTTTTATAATCTGCGTTTTGTTCAGGACAAATTAAAAGAGCTTGATGACGTATTTATGAAGTTGGACGAGAAAACCTTATCTAAACTTCCAACGCCTAAGGCTTTTCAAAACCTTAAATTTGATTTGCAAGAAAAAGTAAGGCAAACATACTATAGTAAGACAATGAAATTTGAAGACAAATTAAAAGCGATAGAAGACATTATGAAGGCATTATCAAGTGATCAACTAAAATCAGTTCCTTTGCAAGTTGATTTACCAGGACTCATAGATTTTAAAGTAAACGTCGATTTGCTGTTTAATGGTCAAATTGTAAGGCTATTTTACCAAATCGTGGGGTTTCAAAGTAAATTGTTTAAAATGATAAAACTATTTTTTAGGAAACATATTTGTTACGAGATTACCTGACGTTACCAGAATTTCAAAAACTTGAAAGTACCTTAAAAAATTCAACATTAAGCGAAGATGACAAAACTCATGAAGTTGGAAAAATTATGAGGAATGCTTATGAAAGAGATCCAGTTAATTTTCCAATGCCTTTGAATGACGAAACTTTAGTTCCAGAAGCTATAAAACGACTTGGTATTCATATGATGTTTTCAAAAAATCCTTTTGAAAGTATTGAAAAGTTTTCAAATGTACTCAAGACTTTGGGTGACAAAAAATCGGTAACTCAACTTTATATTTTTATAGCAAAAATCAAACGTTTTATTTGTTACTCGTGCAAAAAAAAAACAATCAGATTAAAAAATATGTGTTTTGTATTTTAGTTTTTAATGATTTTAAAATTTAGGACAGAAGAAGGAATACGGTGCTTACAAACTACAACAAATACAAAGACTGGTTCACCTTTTTATCTTTTATTAAAAAATTTAGATTTAACTAACAAGGAAAGTACACAACCTGCAACTCTCAGAATTAGCTCAACATTTTTAGACGGATTCTTTGTGATACCAGTAGCACATAAAAAAATCTTAACCTGCGGTTTTAAGTTTTAGAATTAATATATTTAAATCTTCCGCCAAGGCAAATTTGGCATTGTGTTGCAAGCACTTTTTACATGATCTTTTATTAAAAAATTTGAACGAAATCTGAGCGTCGCAGGTCGAGTACCTTCTTATTAAAACTTTATTGTACTGTATACTATTAAAGCAAAACAACTTTCTTTGCAAGTTGCTAATAAAAAAAAGTTATTTTTTGGCCAAGGATATATGTATTATTTACATGTCAGTGTATCCACATAGTTGTATCAAAACCAAACCCGTGTACAAGGATCTTTTATGATGTAGCGGTTTCTGTGTCGTGTAATATATTGGATAAATGAATTAGTAAAAAATAATTTAGCAGTATTGCATATACATGTCATATACAGGCCAATGCTTGCCCAGATGCCTAATTTTTCTTAAAACTTTTTCACGCATTATATTGGGACTTTTCTTTCTCAATTAGAAAACTATGTGAAATGCTCTACTATAATTTAATTTTTATATGTGCGTTATTTTTGTGTATTTTGATAGTTCCTGTATTTGGCGGCAATCAAATTTATGCTAAACTTAAACGTATGTTAGTTTAAAATTTTTTGGTTTAAGAAACTATTTACTTCTGTTTTTTCTAAATTTATTCAATGACTGTTATATTCTAGACCATGAAGTATTAGTAAATTGGAAAGTTCTCTGGGAATCACAAGAAATCAAATTTGATGTAGCGATCCGAGGAAAATCTTTTAAATGGTTTGGATTTGGCTTTTCTGATCATGGAAAGTGGGAAGGAAGTGATCTGTGTACTTGGAAACGAGATGAAAAGTTCTTGAAAGTCTGTTTTGATAGTTTAAGTAGATTAAATTACTTATTTAGCAATTTTATAATATATGATTTTAGATTTCAAATGCTTAAATTTTAGGATTCTCATATTCGTTCAAACTTGTTTATTCATACTGATGCACATCAAGATTGCCGTATGTTAAGAACAAGCAGAAAACACAATCGAATTCAATTTATCCGAAAAATGGTAACTTGTGATTCTCGAGATTATGCAATTGAGTTTGGTACTACTCAATTTTTGATCGCAATAGCGCCACAAGTACCCATAACATTAAACTCGTCTTACGTTGAAAAACGAATTTACTATTCGAGTATTCTTGAAAAAACAGTGCCGCAAACAGTATTAGAAGAGCAAACAAGGGTTGTCAATATAACCGCAGTTAACGCTCAAGTACCAGCTGTTGTAACTTCGTATTGGTGCGGTTTATTGGAATTGCCAGATTACCTAAAACACAAAAAACATCATGCAGTCAGGTTCTCGGCTTTAATTACAAATGGCAATGAAGATATTGTGCATCACATGGAGATATACAATTGTTATCAGCCTATTCCAAAAGGTGTTAGATATAATGGAAATTGCATGCAGAAACCGCAGATTTTAAAAAGCTGCAGCAAGGTCGTTGCTGCTTGGGCTTTTGGAGCTGAAGTAAGTAATTAACATTGCAAACTTAAAATATTTTTAGACTCTTGACTACCCAAAAGAAGCTGGAATGCCAATTGGGGGTCAAAACTACGTTCCATATTTAATGGTTGAGATACACTACAACAATCTGTTTAAACATGAACATCGGATTGATAATTCTGGTTTTACAATTACCGTAACTTCACAACTGCGAAGATACGATGCTGGTATTACAGAATATGGGCTAATTTATTCTGATGCCAATAGTATACCACCTAGACAAAAAGATTTTACTATGAGTGGAGTGTGCGTACCAGAGTGCACTAGACATCTTCCTAAAGGCAGAGTTTTTATGGTTTTTTAAAACTTAAAATACTAAGAACATTTGTGATTTACAGAAGCTGTATAGAAGTTAGTGACAAATTATAAAATTAAAAAAACGCTGTTTAAAGTTTAAACTAAATTAAACGTTTAAACAAATTTAAGATGGAATTTTAATTTTTGCGACACAACAGCACGCCCACTTGACCGGTCGAAAAATTCGCACAATACACTACCGCAATGGCGTCAAATTAGGGTATATTAACTTTGATGATCATTATACTGCACATTGGCAAGTCATAAGAAGATTGGAAGATCATATTCATGTTCTGCCTGGAGATGTTATTCAAACAACATGTTCTTTTGAAACAGAACATTTGAATCGATGGACTTGGGTGCTTTTAATTTTTTTTATATCATAAGACTTAATTTTAAGCAATTGGTAACGCTTATAAATTTTTACTTATCTTGTTTTTTTTGTGTATAAAAAATTTTTAGGGAGGCTATGGTATTGAAGATGAAATGTGTGTAAACTACATGTTTTACTATCCGGCCGCCGATATTGAAGTGTGTAAGACAGCAATTTCTAATGTGACATTAAATGAGTTTTTTAAAAAGCAGTAAGTTTTGTATTTACAACAATTTTATAATAAATTCGTTTATTTTGTAACAAAAAAAATCGAATCGTTTTAGTCTGCCAATGGAAAACTTGACTGGACTGGGCATTCACGAAAAATACGAAAAATTAGATTTGTATCCAGAGCTAGTAGAGGAATTGAGTGAATGGTACGATTTAAAGCCACTAAACGTAGACTGTTTGGATCATTCTGGCCAGAGATTTGAGGTTAGTGAACATTGCCATAAAAAAGCTTACTGTAATAAAGCATGTATTATCTTTGAAATAATTAATAGAAATTACTTTAAGGGTCAAGACTGGGAATACGTGTCCCAGCCTGAAATGTTTGGCGGTTCTTATGAGAAACGCCGTTCAGCTATGGAATGTCCAGCTATTAACAGATGAATGATAATTTATAATTTTGTACGTCCTACTATATTTTACAATCATTATGTGTTTGCAATGCTAATAAACTAACAGCACCAGTAGAAAATACATGTCGTAATATGAATAATAAAAAATTGTTAAAATCGTAGTTATGTATTTAAAAATTTTTTATTACATATCTAATTTTATTAAAAAATAGCGCAAAACAACTTTAATTATACACTGTGAACGTCTTAAATTACCAAACCCATTATAAATCTCGTAGCAACATTTGTTATACGACAATAGTGTAAAAACGGGGAAAAAGTTGGAAAAAGTATCAAATTGCATATCAAGTATAATGTAAGTTTTTATTTGAGGTCACTCCATTTATTTACAAAGTCAAAATAGCTTTAAAAAATTTTATGTAAAAAAATTTCAATTTTTAACTATTATATCAAAATCTTGTAGTTCTAAGCTTTTAAAACTTTTATTGTTATTATAAGATAACAAAAATTTCAAAATTAATTTTAATAAGGCCCTGTTTGTGGCTATTGTTTCCGGTTAAAGAAGAGCCGCAAAAGCCGAGATGACCTTCTAGCAAGGACGTTATTTAAATTTTTAAAATTGACTTAATTGCTGTCGTAATTTCTATTAAATCATAAATAAACTTAAAAACAACTATTTAATTGTTAAGTACTATTTTTAAATTCAATCTGCTGTTTTTCTTTGATAATTGTTTCTGCAAGTGGAATATTAGTTGAGCATTTATTTCGGCCGTTTAAGATAACAAGTTAATCGGCGCGAAATGTCAATCTGTTTTCTCCTAGTAACCTATACTGTTTTAAAAAGCGAAAAAAATCTAAAATATGTGGCAGTAAAATTAGCCGCTAACAATCTCTAGAAAAAAATTACGATAACACAAAGCTTTTTTCACAGCATATAAAGTTAATTTCTCAGAGATTGTTAGCAGCAAATTTTACTACCATAGACCTTAGGATTTTTTGTTGGTAAAAACTGTATAGATCACTAGTAAAAAGCCGTGCTGTACCCTGGTGATAGGGTCGAAATATTGTAAGGAATTAAGAAAATAATTCAGTTATTAGGAATACACGCAACGACAGTAAAGTTAGTAAAAAAAATTGGAATCTCAAATGGCTTATTAAAGAAGTTTGAAAAAAATTCTTGAGAAAACATTAAAATATGTTCTTGATAGTTTAAAAAAATCAAAATGAAAACATTGAAAATTTAATTGTAGTAACCAATAACAATTTATCTTGGGTAATTAATGAAGTTTTTTGAAAACTTTTTGAATAATGTAGTAAAAATAGTCAACTTCCAGCAGCGAAATTAATTAGGTATTCTTCATTTTTTAACCAATTTTAAAATTAGCGGCAGTTTATATCATGTTTTTTTGAAAACTATTATATATCAAATATTTTTTTTATTTTTCTGATATCTGCATAAACTTTTGTCTTCGACGGTATTATACCCATCAGTCGGTCATTTATGGTATGAAATGACCGTAAAGTTTGCTCTTTTTGTTCATCATATTACCCTCAAGTTGCGCAACCTATCGGGCACGCTTTGATGACATTGTTTTAGCGGCGCATTTATACTTCTGAATGAACTCTATTTACAAATTTAAGTACAGTAAAAAAATTCACAAAATGTTGTTTTTATTTATTTCTTAGTTAATAAAACTAATTTTTGTTTGTAGAAAATATAAAAAACTGATTAATAAAAAATAAAATCAGAAAATTAACTTAAAAACTAAACACAGTACTCTCTCGAGAGTTGCTTATACAGGTGGTTCACTATATAGAGATAGCACTGTATAAAAACTTTAAATATATAACTTTTCTCTGCTGCGTAAAAAAATATTTTGTGTGCAAAGACTATAATTTAATAAAATAAAACGATACAAAAAACTGAAAATACAGTATCTTGAAGAACTCACACTAACCGAAATTTTGACAGAGAGACAGTTTCTTAAATATTCATTAGTCGGCCAACTTGCGCAACAGAAAGGTTTTTTACAGTCGATTTCATTTTTAATTAAGTCCGAATAATTAGCGGTGTCCGTTACGGAATTTAGGATCAAAAAGGAAAAGTGAGCTTCTTTTCGAGATCCTTTCTCGAGAGTGCACTTTTAAACGCATACTTAATCGGGTAGCTTTCTTGTCGGAAGTTTTAGTTTTATGCACTTACGATAGCGTTGGAAAATTTGGCCCGCATTAATTAACTCAACTTACCTACATGGGAAAATTTTTGAAAAATAGCATGTTACAGTATACTCATAATTTGCTTTAAAGAAGAAAGATCATTTATGTTTGTTTTTGAACGAAAGTTTGTAGTTAGCCTAATAATGTTTTTTTAAATATGTGCCAGAAATTATTACACTTTTTTTTAATTTTATGTATTAAAGGTTTAACACTTAATGCAATGTTTGCATAAGATCAGTCTTGAGTGACATCCGATTACGTCACACTTTCTTAAAAAGCCGCAACTTAATGAATCAAATTTCAAAGAATTATTGGCGGATTTATAAAACTTAAGCTATTCTGACTTATTTTCAATTGTTATACTAAAAGAAAATTTTATTTTATAAAAAACATGAAAAAAAAACTTCAAAAAGCAGGTGTTGAATACATAATTCACATAATTTACTTCTAGAATTAGTCATACAAACTGAACAAATAATGCTCGAATTACGCTCAAAAATTTGTTAATCCCGAACACTTGTCGATTCCGGGAAAAGCATGCACACGCTATTTAATCCGCTATAAAAACATATCAAATTACCGTCACACGTGCCAATCAACGAAAGGTTGTCGTAAATCCAAAAATTTCGGTTTAAGGAAAGTTTTTTTGCAAAAAATCTCCCCGATAGTTTTGTAAAGTAAAAAACTACAACATGCATAATAAATTTTAATTTTGTATATTTAAAACTTATTATTTTATCTATTTTCCCTAAGTTTACATTATTTTTTTGCAAAATATACATTAAAATTTCTAGATTTAAATTAAGGTTTACAGTGTTCACTTGGAGCATTTTAAGTGCGGCCGGAAGTAATTAGGAGACGCGCGAACCCGGAGGCCCCCGGACGTGTATTATAAGCTTAATAAGTGCAAGAGCAGGTGCAATTTAGCATTCTCATTGAGTTGTTTGCTCGCAAGCATTGTTTTATGAAAAAATAGTGTGTATTTCGAAAAGACGCCATGATGTATTGGTTGTTCGCTTATTAAGCAAGCAAGTGCGCGAATAAATTGCTGCAAATGCAGCTGGGATTACTGTACTTGGCTAGGATTTTAGCAAGGTGACACTAATTTTGCACGTTTTTAAGCCATTTTAAATATATTACGGTAAAGTCACCTTACAAAAGTCAAAGAATAAAAAATTGAATTTTAAACGAACATTTTACTTTTGATTATGGTAAGATACATCATGCTACAATAGAACATGCCTTAATATAGCGGTTTAACCACTTGACATCAGCTTAATCTGTTCTGGATTAATATGAATTAATCCATTTTATAAGACAACTGCTTCACACTTGAATCTAATAATGTCAAGAAAGCCCCCATATGATTTTAATGAGGTACTTTTAATGAGGTACAATAGGCAAATTTACTTTAAAATAAACATTAATAAAACTTTTAAGACTTGTATATAGTATTAAAACTTGTTTTATTTATTATTAATATTATATTTTTAATTAAAATAACGCAATATCTATATTAACAAAACTGCCAATTAATGCATAAATTGAAACATATTAAATTTAAATCTTATAGTCCTACAACAATAGCATAATATGACACGTTTATTATACACCTTGACCTTTTTTAACCTTGTCAAACCAAACTTTCGAACCCAAAATTAAATAGCGATTTAGCGCATAATTGCATGCTTGTTGCTGAAAAACGAGCTATGTATGAGCAATTTAATTTTTACCGTTAAATGTTCAGGTACTTCAAATTAAATTTTAAAATGATAAAAATAAGTTGATAACACAAGCCTCTACTACCCAGGTTTTTCAATCAGCATGGTTTTATGTTGGTTTACGTAGCATATGTCCTTTTATTGAATTAGTACAAATTTTATTGCAACTCAAATGTGACAGATTTATATACAAAAGAATTGCGAGGAAACACATAAACATAACAACATGTTTCTCGTAGATATACGAAGAAATAGGAGAAACACTAAAAACAGTATAATGATAAACAGAGCTGCCGGGAGATTGTTTGCAAAATATTTCAAAATCAGAGATTTCTTGCATTTTATTGACATAAATATTCTCTTAAATCTACTGAAAAATTTATAACCCGTTTTGATTAATTACAATAAAAACCGTCCGTTTACGATTCCAAAATATAAGGATTACCTTTGCGCTTCCCCTAATTATCGACCGTCTTTTGGCGGCAACACGTGTTTGACCACCTTATTTTTACTAAGCTTCGAAGCCAATAAGGATGGCAGGCTTATGAACCCAATAAAAACAATTCCAAAATGAGCGATTGCGCGGAAGAAATTGGCTCATCCTAGCGCGTATTCAATGTTTTTGTGCCGCTTCGAAAGATGGTGTTTATTATGCTGTAAAATAATTAGACCGTAATGTTATGAGAAACTCAAAAATTTAAGTTTATTAGTTATCATGGATGTTTATTGATAGTTAAAACTTTTGATTTTTTAGTTATTAATTCTTTCTTAATAAAATAACCGTTTTTAAATATTACACATTGTAAAAACTTCTTTGTTACAAGTGACAATGAGAATATCACTTGATGAATATTTAGTACAAAATTGATATTACTAAATCATTCACCTTATAATTAAATATAATATTATAAATAAAGCACTGAGATGAAAAAATTATTAACAACTTTTTTAAATGTCTACAAATTAGAAACCAAACCGCGGCTACAATTAAATAGGGGTGAGAAACGGCCGGCCCTGAGCTAAAGTTGCAACGGGCCGGGCCTAAAAATTTAAAAATTAGACCCGGTCCGGCCCTTTTCTCGCCCCTACAGTTAAAAAATTTCATTGCCCCCCCCCCCTTGTCCAAGAATTTAATCTCTTCAACAGCAACTTTATTTTTTTTTTTGGTCCCGCCTATAATCCAATACCTTATTGCCCATTATCGAAATAAAGACAATGCAAATCGCACTTTTCAGCCGCCCACTTTTTCGCGCAGCCAGTTCACTTATTCGAATAATATTTGTCGCGTCTGGCTTTCCTTGGATTATTCTTGCCTTAAATTGCCAATAAGAGTATTGTCGAAATTTAGCAAGTTTGCGTACTGAAAATAATTTTCTAAAAGTTGTTTGAAATTTAATTCATTATGGTGGTAAGTTAAAACTATTTTTTTAAGATTAAAAACTAAACTATTTTTTTAAATATTAAATATAACTAGTAACTAAAACATCGTTTATAAATAGTAATTTTTAGATGTTTGCATTATGGCCCGGCGCTCACCAAAATGAAACTCTACTACAATCATCGCTGAAATCACTGCATAATGTCAACATTTTCTCAGATTGTGCAAATTGCGCAACTGTTCCATCCACATCAACATCGTCTAATAATGTTAGTACTCAAACTGATCTTAGCGGCGATTTAAGTAAGTTTTTTGTGCTTCTTATAATTTTTTAAAAAATAGTGTTTTTACTTTTCTTTTCTGTTCATGAATGAAAAAAAATGTTTAAATATTTAGTAACTTTAGTATAGCCTAACATTTTTTTGGCTTTTTAACCGAACATCCTTCAGATCAACGGACAGTAGAATGGAAACTGAAGTGCCAAACCGTGTCACTACTTCTTTATCGCGCCATTCCTAATTTCGAAATCTCGTTGGAACTTCGAGTGACACAGCGCCGCAAGCACCGGTCGATGACGGGCCGATTGCTTTTCTGGATTATGAGTTGGTTCTCTACCTACTGGCAGCCCATCTTGATTAACGCGTGAAAAAATGAAAGTTTTATTGCCATTCCTGTGATATTCTAGTCATTGTATCATAATATTGAACTCATTTTAAAAATCTGTGTGATTTTTACATAATAAAATTTATACTTAATAAATGCTACATTTCGTCTAATTTTGAAATTTAAGATTATTTTAAACTAAAAAATTAATTAAATTTTGCCGTTTTTTGAATTTTCACATAAGCATACTTTTAAATAACAAAACCTAGTAAGCGATATCATTAATTAAATGCTTTATGTGCTTTGTCGCAACATTAAACGTCAATATGGGTGGGCTTTAATGTTTTCTTGGACATTGTGGTAGGTCCGTAATGTTGCCTTTAATGAAGAAGGATGGGGTTCGTGTTTTGATTTTCACAGTAGTGTACTCATTTCAAACAATTTTTATACCCAATTAAAAAAAAATGTAAAGGACCACGGACCATAAGTGCTTTGACTTGTCATTTCATAAAATCGAGGAACTGAACTTTTTTGACGCGAAGCGTGAGCAGGTCGTTTTCGGATTAGAAATGAGGATCGGGCCGGGCCTAAAATCCAGGTCTGGCACGTTCCTCATGTCTACTTCGGATAAAAGAACTGGTTTATCCTGTATACCCGCTTACGTCTGGCGCGTCGAAAGTTCATTGCCAAATCGAGAGAAAAAGTGGGGGCACACGATATATGATTTGTGGTCCTTTAAATATTACAATTGTAAAGTTTCTCCACTACAAGCACGAGGGATTTTTTATTTTTATTTCAAAGGCTAAACAGATCTTCATTTTTTATTTTTTAAATATTTTTTATAACAGGTTGTTTTTCCTCTATCCGTCCGGTCTTCGTTACGATGTTTAGTAGAGATACTTAACAAACTTTGCTACAATAAAATTTTATTCATACAGTAATACACTATTTGTTTATTCGGCTTCCCGCACTTCGGCCTCGCCAAAAACGAAGAAAGATTAACGCATCGCACTTGGACAACAATTACCTCGTCGTCTTTTTTGTACATAATTGGCGCCCGCGGTTCCGATTGAAAAAAGATACATTTTGTCGCGATTGAGAGACTTCCTCGTTTCTCACGGGTTTCTCTTTTTTGGAACCGGAAGCCGACAATCTGTCAAGTCTGTTTGGTCATTCTCGAGTTGCATAATTTGTAAAATTTGGTTTAAAATTTTTTTTGTTTCAAAATTTCAATTGCTAATTCTGCTTTTTAATTAAAAACTTGATATCGATACAAATTAATTCATACAAATCAAAAAACCAAAATATATGTATTTTGATGTCGACACCGCAAATATAAAGTACAGTATCGGAAAAGATAAAAAGAAGTTCATCTATCCTGCGGAGTTCATTAATTTCGGAAAATTTTATTGAGGTAAGCCAACTTGTCACCTTTCTTGATTGATTGTCTGGTCAGAATGTTGCGCAATTTTTATTTTAGAGCGTTAACTTTACCCTGATAGGTTGAAAATGCAATTAAAAAATAGCTAATGTAACTGTTTGACATAAAAAAATAACAAAATCCATAAAAAAATAATTTTTTAGTACGTTACTAAAACATTCATCTTTGAACAATGGACATCCCGATTATGTACGCAAAAGTTGAGTTTGTATTTTAAAAATGAATAGTTAGCCCTATGTGCAAGGAGGCTGTGGTAAATCAGTTGCTCAGCCTAAAATTAAAAAAAAATCGTATTGTTCAATAAAAAGTTGCAAGTTGACTAATAAATTACTTAAATGACACTAATCAATAGTAATATTGTTGATTTACCACGGCAATTTACACTAATAAACACGCCAATTGGCAATTAACCCGAACCGGATGTCAAATCGCGCATAAAATCGCGATAGAATTTTTTATAGCTTAAATTTTACCATATCTTTTGACGATACAGTTTAATAATTCGGGAGAGCGTGGGGTATAATTTCAGTTTCTTCGCGCAACATATGTCGACTGCTGTAATTTATAGGATATAAACGAATTAATTACTTAAATTACCGAGTTACGTTGCAATTGGACCAAGGTTTACATTGCAATACGTTTTATGGCCGTGACAGTTTTTAAAAACGTTTTTAACCAGTTAGTGTTATTCCCGCATTTAATGTTTATAAAAAATCTGCATTGGTCTAGAAATGCCATCTCATTAGCAAAATATTAAGTACTGCAGTGAAAATTTTGACGTCTTCATAAATCTTTGCATCAAAATGCAAATTCTAGTGAATGTCGGCAAATTGAATAAAAGAAAAATGCGAAAAAAAGAAGTTTATTTATTACAAAGGCGCGAAAACATAGATTCGCACTTAAGTCGTGAAGTGTTCAGAATTTATGACTTGGTTAAACAATGTTGCTTTTTTGCTATAATAAAAGAAAATAAATGAACAATATAATGATATATAACATTTTAAACTGAGTTATATTATTTACGAAAACAGTGTTGTATCTTAAAATACCAAAACATTTTATTATAAGAAGAATAGTTTACTAAAATTATCGTCGATCTAGTTTTTACAATAGAATTAAAACTTTAAGTGTTGTTATTTATGACAGAACGTATAACAATTTGAGGACAAATAGGAAGCTTGTGGCATATAAAACCAGTCGGCATGTCAAATTTTGAATATACCGTTGCGCCGGTTAGCCCAATACTGCAAAAAATGCTGTTCGTAAACTTTGAACAAACCCAGCTAAGGAACTGAAAGTATTATAAATAGTTGGTGAATTAAGCATTTCGCATATAATGGAATTAAGTTACCCCCCTCCCACTCTAGAAAATTTTAATTAAGAGTTTTTAAGATTTTGCATAAAACTAACAGCAATTTTTAACATGAGTACTAATACTATCAAAAAGCTTTTTTAAACCTCATTTAAAAGCGCAAGTCTTTCAACTATGCTGAACTCAAAAATTAATTCTAACTTTGTATCTTGTCAAAATCCAACTTACACTTCTAAAATTTTCTGAATTTTTTATTAACCATAAGAAAAGTTCTACTATCCAATTGCATGGAGTGCACAGTGCATCGTTAAGCCAGCTTTTCATAATTTCGAACAACTTGCTAATTGTTGTATTGAAACTTGTTAACGCTTTGTTCTAAAATTTTAGTATTTTATTAATGTAATTAAATGCCTAATTTAACAAATAATGCACAACTTTACAATTAAAAGCCTTTAAGAATTTTTAAACTTACGATAAAATTGTCAGCAAATACAAGGTTACAGAATAGTAGGATACAAATTACTTTCAAACCATATGTTACCATTTGCAAACAGGTACGGTAATTTTAATATGCGATTTTTAGAATTTTTTTAGTTTTTTTGTTGCAAAAATCTCTCAGCGTTTAAAAATCTTAAATTTGCTTTTTTAACAATATGTTACCGGTAAACCAATTACTTTATAGCTATAATCTTTTTATAGATTACGAAGTATTATGATATTAACCAACTGATCATATTGACACCGTTTTTATTCTCAAAATAATAATAAATATTGATAACGTTAACATAAATAACTATATTTTACAATAGCATATACAACACAAAATAACAAAATTATATGCAGTATCACTATTTCCATTCAAAAACCGTAATAACAGCAAAATGATCTGAAGGCCAATCGTTATTGCCAACGTACGGCAGCGTATTTTCGGTAAAGCTTTTAGGATATGTGTATGATTCTATTGGCACAAGACTCTTTCCTCTACTGAAAATGTAATCAATTCTTTCCTGAGGCTCTCGAATCTTGTTATTGCTACCATCTATATACATTTCAACCGTTGACCAAGTAATCCCTTGCTCTTCCACTTCGGAAGGGTGAATATATCGATAGGTATCAAGCAAAGCTGTTTGTTGCGTTAATATCGATGTAATTGGCCATTCGTAGACTATATTTGAATGAAAATGTCTGAAAATTATAAATTACAAAAATTAATACATGTTTCTAATACAAATTAAAACAGTTAAAAAGACGAACTATTTTAGTTTGTATTATAAAAGAAAAAAAGCTTAAAAAATAGTTACAAAAGTAATACCTACCAGCAATTCTCGAGAAAATCGCGACCAAAAAATTAAGTTTTGGATTCCCCGCCAAATTGGCATTGTGTTTTAAGCTTATAACTTTACCACTTTTCGACTTTTAGGTATTTTCTTTGATATACTAGTATAATACTTTTAAGATAAACTACATTTTTAAATTTGTAAGCGTAGCTTCTCTGGAAAGTCAAAAAAGTCCTTGAAACACAATGCCAAATTTGCTAAATCGGTAGGAAACTAAAATAATTAAAATTTAAAACTCAAAATCGCAAGCTAAAATTTTTTTTGGGTACTACAGGTGGTACAAAGAATTTGTATAAAAATTTTGAGCTAATTCTGAGCGAATAGGTAGGGTACTTTCCTTGTAAGCCTCCCTCTCTGGATTATCTTACTTTGCTCTATCAGTCCAATCAAGATGTGATGGAGTGTGTAGATCCCCAGCAACAATGACGGGCGCTACATTCACTTTTTGTAAGCTTTCATTAAAAAATTCGTCTGTTAAGAGTTCTTTTAAGTTTTGATATCGGCCTAAATTAAACTTTTTCATTAGTTATGCGTTTAAAAATTATAGTTTTAATTTTTAATCGTATAGATTATTTAGAACAGTTTTAAACAAAAAGCTCTTATTAATATGCGTTTATGGCAAAATTATAAAAAACAACTTACTGTGGTGTTTTTTCTTGTTCTTTTCAAACAGTTCGATAATATCTTCATCAAACCCATTGGATGCTATTTCTTCTGGAGAAAAGGGTTTTTGATCGAATTGAAGATTAAAAACGACAATTGGATTTACTTCGTCTATAAAGATCTTTACACCATGACCACAAAAGAGTTTTGTATTTGAGTCATTGTAAATCTAAAAAGTCGTAAAACATGTTATATTTCAGTAAAATTTATTTAAACTGATGAAATACAATATACTAAGAATACAGTTTTATTATAATTTTTTTAAAACTTTAGTTTTCATCAATTTCATCACCATCATTCTTCATTAAAAAAGCTCCTTTTTAAATTGTAAATGCATAACTCACTTCGTGTTGGGTAAAAGTTGCGACTTTTGATGGATAGGGGTAGAACATATTCCATTTATGACCTAGAGCATGACGAATACTTTCAGCCCTTTCAATACTTGTTATTTCCTATAACACAATATTTTTAAAAAAATATGTAAACAAATTTTTAACGTTATATTGCTCATGTAGTAAAAAACGATTTTAGAGACACAGTTTATATACATTTTTTGAAATTGCTTACTTGTAAAGTGACAACATCAGGATTATTAAGTGTTATATGTCTGACAATCTTGTTTATTCCGTCATTGACATTATTTCCACTTTCCCATGTGTTAAACTGCATAAATGTTAATTTCCGTGTAGGTAACGTGAAATTGCAATAAACATTTTTTATGTTTAAGCATAAAAGTATAATTAAAGTGACACTTTTCCAAAAATTGCCAGAAATCATAATTTACAAAATACGTTAATTTTTAGAAGTTTTGGTAAAGTAGACAAAAGTAATGGAAAATGTTGTTTTCTTAAAAAATTAAAATGGCAAAGTAAATAAAGCTGTACTAAAACAAAACTACGTTTGTTTTAAAATGAGTCAAAATAAAAGGAAAAAAGTTGTTTTATATTTCAGAAACAGGTATTTAATAATGAAATTTCAATTGAGTTTTCACTAGTTCATTGTTCTTTCGAGTTAAGGTGTTTTAACTGGTAGTTTTTTTATTAAAAAAATAAGAAAAAAATTTTACGACTAATTTTGTGTAATACATGAACTGCTAGCAAAGGATAATAAGCACATTATATTTTTTATAAATCATGATTTTGTTTATAAAAAATAAAGCCTAAATCGATTAAACAGAAAAGGTGACATTCAATTCTTTTTGTACACAATGCGCTTATACACATTCTCAATGATAATTTTTCTAAACGTAAAATTATGTTTTCACTGTAAATGAATGCGCACACTAAATATAAACCGTTTGCAAGACTTTTCGATCACATCTTTTCTGAAACCATTTATTTTCACCTTGAAAGGTCAACATTATTGATGAATCGTACGCTTATTCTGTTTTTGTTCGTTTTTTGTTTTCAATTTAATTGTAAGTATTTTGGATTTTATTTGAAATCTATTTTATAATAATTTTAAAAAATCATTACTCTTTTTAAATTTTTTAATGATTATGTTAAAATAGTTGTCAAAAAAAATATATTTTGTGATGTCAAGAATCTAAAGTTTTATAAAATTTATTTTTTTTCTGCATTAAAGCAATAGAATTTTTGGGTATATAGATGCTGTTATCGAATACCTGAAAGTTGTGCCCATTGCACCAGGTACATTTTACTTGGTATGGAAAATGTCGTCAGACGTCAATATACATAAAGAAAATGCTTTCTTTAAGGCAAGTAAAATTTTATACAATTAATAAACATAATGAAAAAAATGTTACTCAATAAAAGGACCAATATTTAAACAAATATCATTGTAAGTTTTTTGCCCAACTTTTTGCGTATCCAGGGCCGACCACGGGCAATTTTAATCTTGAATGGTGGGGGGGGGGGAGGGGGGGGGGAGTGGGAAGGGTTGTATGCGAAAAATAGGTACAACATTGCTTTAGATTAAAAGTCAAATCCAGCAAGGTGACGAAGCTAGAGCAATTACTGAATTACTACCGAAAGTTGCAGACGTATGTAAAGAACACGTTGGAAGACAAGGAGTTACTATATGCTCTTACAATAGCACATCTCATGCATTCGGTGTTAAGCAAGAATTCATGGTAAAATGCAGTTTGAATCTCCTTTGTTATTTTTTTTGTTTTAAGGTTGACTACTACGAGAAAAAAACAAATCTACTAGGATCAAAAACAGAAACTGCTACGTCCTATTTTTACCCACCAACCTTAAGAGTCGTCAGTAACAGCCACGACTGTATAAAACTGTTGTTACGTGTAGAAACGTTTGGAAATTTACCGAAAAAAGTAAAAGTGGAGCTTAAAAGCGTATGTATAATAATAAAATTGTTGTTAGAAATGAGTTACTAACTGTCGTTAAAGTTTTTTTTAGAATGTAAAAAACGCTGAATGGTCTTCGGATAATACGTATCTGCCAATTCTCAAACCGCAAAACCTATATTCGTACCAATACTGTAACTCTGGAAGTACTTTGTTGTTTTTAAACAAAACTGAAAGTTATTTATTTCGATACCAAGCTATTTATGAAACAACGTTTTCGTTCATGAACAAAAACTACACTATAATAAAAGATTTTACTGAAGAAAGTGAAAATTTATGGAGTCATGTGCAATGTAAGAACAAGAGTTGTATTTCTATGTACCCCTGTAAATTTTAGCTTGCATATCAAAAATTATTTTTAGATAAAAACGAGCCAAGAATTGTATTTCCAGTAGTTACAACACGCACAAACTCCGGCTGGTTTTTAAATTTTACTTTGCCAAACATTACAAAAAAAGACGACAGTGAAGAAGCTTACAGAATAGAATATAAGTAAGTTGATCAGATAAATAGACAAAAAAATTTCGGTTTTACCCACATGTGTTCAAATACTTTTGACTAGGGATTTTAAATCTTTCAGAAAAGACCGCTATTCTCGACCATACAATTGGATCTCAGTGCCAAAGAAAACTTTAAATAGCATAACAATCACCAACAACCAAGTATCCATAAATATGACAGAAGTCGTAGCTAAAAAGAAATTATTACCAGAAACCGAGTTTCGTATATTTTTCCGCCAGCGCACAACAAATGGTTGGGTGTGGTCTCAGCCAAGCTACTCCTTCAAGCACTCGGACCTACCTAAGATATCAGGCTTAAAACCAGAAAATATTGTTCAAAGACAAATTACGATTTTTCACCGATTGGCTATTGTTGTGTTGCTAGTACTGATTGGTATTAGCGCCGGATATATTATCAAAAGTTTGAATGCCAACAGACTTTTCAAAAATCTTGGTTTTGGTTACAAGAAGTTGGATTCGGACCAAGAAATGTCTTTTGTATAATTATGACAGTTTCGAGATATATTAGTATAATAAACAGTTACAATATGGTTATAGAATAGCAAAAATATTTTGTCAAAGCACGTTTGCAACAAGGGTTAAAGGACAAGGGAGGGGAAGAGAAGCAAGAGGATAGAAATTTTTCACTGAAACTTTAATTTATTTCATCTTCAAAAAACAATGTAACAACCAATAAAGTCCATAAGCGAAGAGCGGTCGGTTTCTGTTTAGTAGGATAAAATGATGTGTAAGTGTGCCTTTTGTGCTGCCAAGTAAAATAAAAAGTGATTTGTTAATTTCTATAAGTTTAAAATTCTTTGCATTGAAACAACTTTTATATTCAAAACTGCAAAATTATAATATCATTCTGCTGGAAAATTAAAACTTACATTTTTAGGTTACACCGCGAACAGCCAAGAAGATATCGTTTTAGATGAGCTACCGGTGAAAAAAATTTACGAAGATTCTGTACCTGAAAACAATCCAGAAGACGATCAACCATACAGTATAGGTGATAACCTAGATGTACGTTGTTTCTAGAAATATTGTTTAACAGGTTAAAAAATGAATTTTTTGCACCAAATTGTTTAAAACAATTTTTCATGGTTGATATTTTACACTTTAGGACATTTCAACAGTTTGTGTTTGTGAAAAGGCAGTTATTATTTTCGATACTAGTTCTCAACAATTTCCAAAAGATCAGATCACCCGACTGGTAGAAAAATTGGAACAATACATTGAGCATAATATGTTGAATACCAGTCTAGTAAATACACAACAAAGTATTTTTCCAAACAATGATGAGTACTGTGAAGAATTGGGTTATACCATGGAATCATATGCTGGAATGCTTGTTGTCAATATTAATCCGAGAAGTGACCAGACTTGTGGTATCAGTAAGAAAACCGTGCTGCAAACTCCATTAGTGGAATTCAACGCTTTTTCTCTCAACGATTCTAAACGATGGGTTATGACAGTGCAAAGCAAAAGTGCGTATCTACGGTATCAAATAAATGACACTAGCAATGAAAACGAAATGCAAGCTGCCGGATTTTTAATAAAAAGTGCTTGTTCACCTACGATTGGCCGAAGTAATTTGCACGAAGAATATTCTAGACTTAAGTGGAGTGAAGTTGAGAACAGGTTTCACGTAAATTTTCGATTAATTAAAAAAATGTATTTTTAATGTCCTGATTTCAATTTTTTAATATTTTTTGCGTAAGGTAAAATAACTATGTTTGGTATACTGTAGAAAAAAATCAATATTAACAACGCATTTACTTTTGTTTTAAACGCATTTCAGGCTTCTATACCAATGTACGGAGTGTTGCTAACTGTTGCGTTCGTTATGTGCATTGGAGGCTTGTGGGCTTTGATTGTAGTAATTTACCGTCGTTTACAACATGCAGAATTGAAAGAACAGCGTGCTATTCGATTGTTTATATCAGAAATTGTAAAAAAGGAGCATGAACGTGAAGAAGAGGTAATGCACCATATATTATAATATACTGAAGTTTTTTTTCTAATATGGGACGGAGAGAAAGAAGGCAGAGAAAGGCTAAAATTTTTTTTAGATTTTCGTATAAAATTTGCTAACATCATATTTTAATAATAATTTAAAATTTTTTAAGGAAGAACAAGCAAAGCTCTCCGAATTGCTCAAGGACTACAGTAGCCAAACAAAAAAATATTAACAAGGAGATTTTTTCAATTAGAAAGTGATTCAAAATGTGAAACTTTCTTATACATGAATAAACTTTAAATTTTGTTAGTTTTAAGCATATAAACTTGATTAAAAGTTTATAATGTTTAACATTCTAATTTTTGCTATTAAATTGATTTTCCAATCTTGTATGACAATGGTATCTATTTTACCATATAGACTAGATTTTTGTAACATTGAAAGTGTGGTTTTTATGTTTTTCACATTATTAATCACCTGCAGAGCAGCTGAACCTAGAACTAGGTCGGTGTCGTTGGAAGGATTGATTCTTCTTGCTCCACAGTTAAAAAGTAAGAGTTGGAATAATTTGCCAAAAATTAACTGCTTAAATTTAAAAATACTACTAATGTTTTATAAAAATCTTTCGTTTTATTAACAGAATATGTTGTACATTTTTCTTTTTTGATATTTTGTAAACTGTTCGTAGGACCTATCGAAGCAATTACGACAGACGAACAAGAGTGTATTTTCAAAGACAACGTACTGTATTGCATGAACAAAAGTGATGCAGAAATTTTGGAATTTGGTCGAGAAATTATTGAAAATGGTTTGTTGGAGTTAAAAGATGACTTCTTGATTGCTTACATACTTCTAGTAAGAATATAGTCAGAATTTAATAATGCGTTATAATTCATGTAAAACATTAATAGCTTTAAACTGTATAAAAATTATAGTTTTTTTTAATTAGAAGTGCCTTTTCAGACGATGGATGACGATGTATGTGTTGAAAAATTTAAACGACTGTCAACCTATGAACTACAAGAAAAAGCTGAAGCTTTTTTTTCGATTCAAAGATAACCTTCAAGCACGTCAAAATTAAAAAAGATATAAGTTGGAATTTGCAATAAATACTTTTATTATAACTTAAGTATACATAAAACCTAAATATATAAATTTTTGTGTTCGGAAACGTTCCGTCGTATAACAACTCACTTTTCGAATTTGTTTTTTTCTTTTCTCTCCTTTTCCCACGATTTCTTCAACGTTACAATGGCGAAAAGAACGTTATTTACTAACTTCGAGTTCGCGTTTTATTTTTCCTATTAGCTTTTGGTTCAAATACGTTTGTTTTATCAGTTTAACTCAATCTTGAATGTTTTAGTTGCACTCGTATCTGTCTTTTCACCAAATTTTCCGTGATAAATGTATTTTTTGGACTAAAAAGCGCGTGGAAAGGATAATATGTTTTGTAAATAGCAAACGATTTGGTTCGAATTCATTTGATTTTATCATTTCTACTTTAGTTTTGCATTATATACAATTTATGTATTGTTCTTTTGGAGATAAGAAATTGAAACGATTTGTAGAAGCAGACAAGTAAAATAACGTTTATAATCACTTTATAAAGTTTTATGTTAAAACTATCGAGAGTTCAGTGGAAGATCATTTATATTAGTTTGCTAAATGAACAATATAAACTAAACCATATTCAACTGCTTTTTGAAAGAAGTCACATAAACACAAATCACTATTTATAAAATGCATTTTTTTATGAAATGTTAGGTTGACAAAAATTTATAAAAGTACTATTTTTAATTGCTTTCAAAAGCACTTTATACTTTGATCTTTCGTGCTTTAGTTTAAGGGTAATAATTAACAGTTAAGGTTGATATAAACATCGATGTTGTAAACAAACTGTTATCGAATGATATTATCATCATGAATTTTCGCATCACATTTTGCTTGGGGCGTTCCGCGGTCTGGTTGTTTTTATTTGTCAGAACAGAGGTCAAACTTTGGCTTTTTTTTATCATTTTTTTGGATTTGGATTTCCGTTTTTGGACTTACACATATGTATTAGTAATATTGGTTAAAAAAGTACATGATATTTGTAAACTTTTCCAGCAACTAGTATGATTTTAATGCGATTATGAAGTTTGGTGTGTCGTTTTATGTGTTAATTTTAGATTTAAAGATGAGCAATCCAATTCGTGTATTGGTTACTGGTGCAGCTGGTCAAATCGGCTATTCTTTGGTTCTTCAAATCGCCAAAGGATACGTTTTTGGAAATGAAACTGTATGGTTTTATAGGTGTTTTTTTTTGAGTGGTTAAAAAAATTTTTTAAAGATTTACTATATATATGGCAAAAATTGTTTATGAACTTTACTTTTTTACTGTTTGAATTTAATTATTTTAATTCTTACAGCCAATCACTTTGGTCTTGCTAGATATTGCTCCAATGTTGGAAGTTTTGCGAGGTGTTCAGTTCGAACTCACTGACTGTGCTTTAGACATTCTGAAAAATGTTGAGATTTGCACGACCGAAGAAGCTGCCTTCAAAGATATTGACTATGCTTTTCTGGTTGGAGCTATGCCAAGAAGGGAAGGAATGGAGAGAAAGGACCTCTTGGCTGCCAATGTCAAAATCTTCAAATCTCAAGGAAAGGCTTTGGCTCAATATGCTAAGGCAACAACAAAGGTACGGTGGTTTTATTTGTTGCAGTTTTTAAATTTTGTTTCAATTTTTATTAATAGTTCATTGTAAATTTTTTACTATTTGCTCCTTGTAATTAAATCACAGATTTATTCCGACTAGAAACTAAATCTTTTTGTAGATAATAGATCTATTTTTTAAAACATTATTATTTTATGCTCAATACGGAGGTATACTATTTCAGGTGTTGGTAGTAGGAAACCCTGCCAACACCAACGCTTTTATTGCTGCCAAGTACGCTGATGGCAAGATCCCAGCCAAGAACTTTTCCGCGATGACTCGTCTGGACCATAACCGTGCTTTGGCTCAAGTCGCATTGCGTTCTGGAGTATCGGCGGCTTCTGTAAAGAACGTTACCATCTGGGGAAATCACTCATCTACGCAATTTCCAGATGTTAAGCATGCTAAAGTCACTAAGGGTAAGTGTGTAGTTTCAAAAAATTAGGTTTGTGTCGAAAAGAGAACATTTTAAAGTTTTATGATTTAAGTCTTGTCTTGAACATTTCACATTTAGGTGGCCAAGAAACCGATGCTTATTCTGCCGTTGGAGATGAAGGCTGGCTCAAGGGTGAATTTATTTCAGTATGTTTAAAAAATTTTACAATAGTTGTATCATACAACTTGTATGCCGATTTTTGTGCCATATTCTATGAGGATAAATTTGTTTTGGAATATCATTTTACTTTTACAGCTCGTCCAAAAGCGTGGTGCCGTGATTATTGAGAAGAGAAAGCTCTCGTCCGCCATGTCAGCCGCTAAGGCTGCATGTGATCACATCCGCGACTGGCACGTTGGTACCCCGTCTGGGCAATGGGTATCCATGGCCGTTCCTTCCGATGGCTCATACGGTATCCCAGAAGGTCTGATTTTTTCCTTCCCAGTCACCATCCAAAACGGAGAATGGAAGATTGTGCAAGGATTGGAATTGGATGACTTTGCAAAAGAAAAGATTGCCGCCACAACAAAGGAATTGGTCGCCGAAAGAGACGACGCTCTGGCCGCCTGTACCGATTAAAATCCTGAAGATGTTTTACTTCACAACTAGTTTTAAACATGTATGTTACTAAATAAATTCTGTAAACGAGGTTAAATTTTGGATAAAACGTACATATAACGCAGAAAGTAAAATAGTTGGCGAACAGAACGATTTTTTCAATTAAATGTGCGTAAATGAATATTATGTTTTCTGAAATTGAGGTCCTTAAAATATAAGAACGAACGTTTGTGGACTTTAATTGGTCTAAAATTATGCATCATATTTAATTACAACTCAAAACTGATAAAGCCAACAGCCGACTGTTCAATATCATCCTCGTATACGTAATGCAAAGCGGATTCTGTAGCTTGGATCAAAAAAATCTCGTGGCTTTCTCCAAGGTCAACGACGTTTCGTATGAAATTACCTTAAACATGGTAGTGTCAATTTTCGGACATCAGCAATATATAAGTCAACTGATAAATACTAAACGGAGTTTACAAAACAGCCTAGGATTTTGACATTTCGAAAGGCTTTCTTTGAAATTTTTGAATTATAATTCAAAAAGTTGAAAAATGAACAATTTTTCCCAAAAAAAACGTTTTCACTTTGGGTTAGTGACTTTTCGGGGGAAACTTTTCATTAGAACGTTCACGGCGCGGTACAATAACTTTCGCAGTACTCTAACAAAATGCGACCTAACATTAAAAGCATGCAAAAAAGTGCCAAAGGAACGCTCACGGTACGATGTCAACGTTAACGATACTTAATAAAGGCACATGTGATTCAGTCAGGGAGTTTAATGTGATTCGTTCATATTACAATTTTTATATTATTCAAAAAGATTGATAAATTTTAAAAAAAATTAAATTTTACTCTAGGGCATGTTTTGTAAAAATTATTTTTTTTTACCCTTTTACATCTTACTAACTTTTAAATCACGTTTACTTCTTATTTCCCGAAGGGTACATTCCCCGAAGGGTCCATTCCCCGAAAAGTCTTCCCCGAAAATGCATTCCCCGAAAAGTCCCGCTCGCTTTTACTTTACTCCGCAACCTTACCATTATCCGTATTCCAAAGTTTTACTGTGTTATCCTCTCCGGAAGTCAAAAGAAGATTGTGGCCGACAAGTTGCGCCTCATCTACGCCATCACAGTGCATGTCTTTTCCAGCAATTGTAGCCAAGATTTTACCCTCCTTCCAGTCCCATATACAAGCATCCGTGCCAAACGAGATCAATTTGTTCTCTTTTATATACAAAACGTCGGACGATCTCTGACAGTTCAAGATCTGAAGAGAATCTCCAGAATCCGCAGCACGAATGTTAATCAAACCTTCTATATCGCATGAAACCATCAAATTGTTGTCCCAATCCAGCTGAAATACAGTAACAAAAAGTGCATTTTATACAATTTAATAAAACTATAGTTCAGTAATTTTATTTTTTGAATTGAAGTTAAAACACACGCGGTTGTGCCGAATCACGTTTGTACAAATATTTTTTTCGTTTAAGCTTACACTATTGAGTGTATGGGTGCTGATTAACGTGATCTAACAAAAAATATTCTTTAACAAATAAAAACCATTTGGTCTACTTTCCATATTATATATTAATTGCTTTTAAAATAAAACATACAAATAACGCATTAACTTCGCAAGTGTGGCCTTCGAATTTTCTAACCATCACTCCATTTACATCATACAACAGCAATTCGCCATCGCACATTCCAAGCAAAATTGTTTCCTTTACAAACACAATAGCCGAAATTGGCGTTCTGAGACGAAATGTAGCACTACGGGTGGCTTTCTCCAAATCAAACACATTTACGTTGTCATTACCATAATACGCAGCTACAAAATTACCAGACTGTTCCATTTCCTCGCATTCATCCATATTTCCAGAAATTGTGGCCAAACGTTTGCCTCCACGAGAATTATGTACAGCTAAGGTACCGTCAGTAGAGCCACTGACAATATTTTCACCACCATCAAGTATAAAAACATCATGAATTTCGCCCGCATGTGCATTGATTGTTCGTACTTTCTGAAACATAAAAAAAAGAAATTATACAATATACACAAAAAAATCAACTCACTTTTTTAAGATAGGCATTAAAAATAATTAGCCGTCCCATATCTGTGCCACAAACAATTAGACCGTCCTTGGCGGTAGCACAACATACAGTGTGATTGATACCACATTTTGCCGTGTAAGTCGTTTTCTTGAAGTCTTTTACCCAGTTTTCTCTTATTTTAGCATGTGAAACGAACCGTTGATACCAGTCAATGTTACGAAGCCGAGAGTCTAAGTCTTTTCTCTTTGATCTGCGCAATTTTTTACGTTTATGCGCCCTAAAATGAAAATAAAAAATTGACAAATTTGTTTTAACAAAAGCTTGTCGATATTGATTTTCCGAACATCACAAAAATGATAGAATATTAACTTACACCTTAATATCGTCATAGTGATATTCCAAGCATTTCTCTTTCCAAACAAAATTGTCTTTTGCTCTTCTGTTCCAATCCTTTGATACCATCATACATTTCACTAACGATTTCGGGTCTAAATATTTTAAAATCTCCCTAGACACATCTACAGATGATTCACCAACTACATCCTTCAAAAGTCTGATTGAAGACGCCTTTTTAATATTTGACAAAAGTTGTTGATCACATTGATTTAACATGCTTTCGACTGCTTCTTGCTGTTCCAAACGCGACATCGACTAAAATATTGTAATTTTAGCCGTCAAACATGCGAAATCAAAAAAAAAATCTTTTCTGCAGGTGTCCATTTTTTGCAATAAGTAAACACAAAAACTTTCATAAAACTAAAAAGAAAAACGGTTTTAAACTTGCCTTGAAGTAATCCACCCATCCTGATATCTTTTGAGCACTACAACCCTTCACAATTGAATTACTTCTTATCTTGCCCAACCTAAACAAACAAAACCTTAATATTAAAAAATCTTACTTTTTGATTTTTTTGTCCTTCATTATTAATTTAAAAACGATGGCGACAACTCCTCTAATTGATAAAACTGGTTTAATGCGACATCTTTATTTCGAAACTAAGTAAAATATGTTTGAGCAAAATTTGGGCGCAAGTCGTACATCGCGCTTTACAACCTGCAGACTGCAGCAATGCGGACGCAGCTCTGAAAAAAAGGTATTGTTTAGAGAAAATGTAAATTGTGGCATTTGTATGTGCAATTCTTTGCAAAAAGGTATAAAGAGAGTTGTCAATATGTCGTACAACTTGGTTGATATTGGAGCGAACTTGACACATCCATCTTATAAGGAAGATTTAGCTGAAGTTATTAAGAGGGCAAAACAAGCTGGCCTTTCCAAAATTATGGTAACTGGAACATGCTTGGAGTCAGTTGAATCTGCTTATAAGTTGTCAAACGAATACAACGGATATTTGTATTTTACATCAGGTAAACTTTTCTCAACTTTTTGAAATTTTTAGGTGTTCATCCTCACGATGCTAAAGATTGGAAAGTCGAAACCGGTACAAAAATTACGGAATACTCGCAGAAGCCGAATTGTGTTGCTATTGGAGAGTGTGGGCTTGATTTCAATCGTAATTTCAGTCCTCAAGAAGTGCAAAAAACCGTATTTGAAGAACAGGTAATATTACATGTAATATATTTTCTGTTTTCCACAATTTTTATTGTTTATCACAATGCATTTTAGGTAAAAATAGCGTGCCAACTACAGAAAGCTATGTTTATTCACGAAAGAGACGCTTTTGATGATTTGAACTTAATCTTGGACAAGTATGAAACTGACCTTCCGCCGATAGTTATACATTGTTTTACTGGAACTGCCGAACAAGCCATTAAATACATCGAAAAAGGATATTATATCGGATTAACTGGATATTTATGGAAAGATCGGTCAGAAAATGGAATTCGATGTGCTTTGAGAAGTGGCAATCTTCCTATAGACAAGTTACTACTTGAAACTGATGCTCCTTACATGTTCTGCAAAGTAGATGATAAGAAAGTTCCATTAGAAGTTCGAGAAAAGCTGACGGAGAAAGCCAAGAGTCTTCACAAGTTTTGTAATTTCAAGAGGAATGAACCTTGTGGATTGGCAAGTTCATGCGAAATGATCGCTGCTTTTGCCAATGTTTCGCCTGAAGAGTTAGCGAATGTAACTACCAGTAATGCAAAGCGAATTTACATGTTAGAATAAGTTTTCTAAAATCATTTTATGTATGTCTTATTTTTTTACATCTTTTTAAATCAAACTTCACTTTAAACTTTCTGCGGTTATATATTACCATTTTATTAAAATCATTCAAGTTGATATTATCAACAAAATTATTTGAAGCACCTAGAGATTAATTTTATTCCTAATTTTACCATGCTCAGAACCAGTTTGAAAAAGGGCATTTAGTGCAATATTTTCTTATTAACTGTCCAATTCCTTTTGATTCACCGCAGCACAATATTATGTCCCTTCCAATCGTTTAATTTTTGTTCCTGACCCTTTTAAGTGGGATTGTAGCCTATGTAGTTGGTCGTCAGTCATTTGAACTTCAAATATCAAGTTACCGCTGTCATCGGTGTTTGGTACCTGCGATACAAAGCCTTCCGCATATAGATATGAAGCTAATTGGGATCCAGGTTTAAGCCTAAAACGCCTGGTTTTAGACCCAGTAACTTTTTTCACAATACTGTCCATTTTTTGCACCAAAAGCGAAAGACCAGTTTTTTTTCGACAGGATACCACCACCATGTTGTCGTTGTTTTCCATCAATGTAGCTGCTTCAAATTTTGACAATTTGTCGATCTTGTTACCGACATTTATCATATTGTCAAGTAGATGGGATGGTAACTGTAATCCTTGTAAAGTTTCCATTACATTTTGTTTCTGTGCTTTTAAATTAGGATGTGATAAGTCTTGAATATGGACTAGTAGATCCTAAAAAATGAATTTATGTGTATTTTTATATGTAAAATAGAAACATTTTTTTAACCTTCTGTAAAAACATCCGTTGCCATTTTTAAATTTAAAAGGCCTATTTGTATTCATTTCATGCTTGCTTACCGCTTTTTTTACATGTCTAAGGGTTGCCTCAAAGGATGCAATCAGTCCAATTGGTAAGTCCGATATAAATCCTATCGTATCTGCAAGAATTATACGATTCCTGGACGGTAGTAACGCTGGATGTATTGTCGTATCCAACGTAGCAAATAGTCTATTTTCTCCGCAAATGTGAGCAGCTCCAGTTAGGCTTTTGATTAAAGATGTTTTCCCTGCATTTGTGTAGCCAATCACAGCAACTAGTAAAACTTTTGAAGCTCGTTTCTCTTCATGCGTTTTTCGTAGTTCTACCTCATTTGTTTTTTCTTCTATTGTTGCTTTGATTTTCTTCCTTAGATTTTGTTCGCGTAATCTGATGACTTCTATCTTGTCTTTTCTATAATTATACTCACAAATTGAAAATTAGACGAAATTTAACGAACAAAAATACATTTAGGGCCGGGGCAGCGTGATTTGCAAAAATCTTCCACCCCCTTTTGATTTTGACCTTTCAATGTATAACATTTTTTAAAAGATTACAATCTCAAAAAGGCCCCACTTACGTTGAAATCATTTGCGAACTCGATATATTCAGTGTGTCCCGTGAGGTTCCGTATTTGTCGGAGTAAAGTAATCTTTGCCTAAAAGTTAAACATATCACAAGTAAAACAAAAAACGAAATCAAACCTTATGTATGGTATTTCAGCCAATGAAATTTGGAGTAAGGCTTCTTTAGTCGTAGCAAAACGCTTGAATATATTCAACACCAAGTTGTAGCGGTCGTATATCGGTACCATTAGTTCATCAAACAATGCGCTTTGTTGCATCGGTGTTAAAATATCGACGTTGATCATAATGGCAGTGGCGTTACAATTCTGTTGGGCCGTTTTCAATTGCTCCAAACGGCCGTGACCCCAAATCAACTTCTTTTTTGTATTATAATCAGTTCCAATAATAATCGAGCTAAAAGAGTAAAGATTGAATCATTTATAATATCAAGACATTAGCTACCTGTGCCGAAGGGTCCCCCCCCTGCGCTTGGCCCTGCTTACATGTAATATATAAGATTGAAAACGAGGATTAAAAAATGCACCTTATTTTTTATCGCATCTAAACCTAAAATTCAAAAACTCTTCTGACTTCAAAAAAACTTAATTTGCTACGGTGTATCCAGGTAATGTTTTTACCAAAGTACAGGCTTCTTCCAACTTCAAAACCACATCTTCATTCTTGATGGATTCAGAACCCCATCTTATTTTCGGATGAACAACGAGTATATTGTGAGCGTAATTTGACAATTCATGAATTCCAGACTGAATTCTCAATTGCGTGAAATTCATTTCTTTTGCTTCTGTATCATCCGAAGTAGACTGAAAAGATCGGCATGGTGCGTGCGAATTGCACCTTGTTTTTACAAGATTCCTTATTAAATAATGCAAAGCTGCATTATGAATTGTCCATGGCCTGATATTCCGTTGGTTTAATATTTTGATCCACGTGCTTTTACAGCGCATTTAAAGTAAAGTTTTAATAATATTGCTACTTTGTTACCTAAAAAATAAAAAACTAAAAAAAAATATTAAATAATAAAAAATAAATTGGATATATAGGAGCATGTGGTTTAAAACAAAACATAAAACGCCCTTGATCAATCCTTAAAAATAATTTTAAGAATTATAGAAAGAGAATTTGGGCGCGAACTGCGAAACTAATTGAGTCTTATACTTTAAATCGCTTTTCTCGCATTCTTTTTTTCGTGTAGCTATGGCGACCATGTAAACTATGTAGTGCAAGATAAAATTAGTAATATAAATTGCTTTTTATTGATTTGAAAATTTTCTTTGTTATCTTTGCACGGCACTTAATTTTATAGTTTCGTCAAAAAATAAGCATAATAACCACAAAACTACTTAAAAGCGTTTTTTATAATTTTTAATATTTAAATATTACTTATATTTTGCTTTAAGAATAATGTCCAAAAATCAGCGTAAAACTGGAGACCCCCCATTTTCCAACAAATCAAAAAACTTCAAATTTAAAGCCAGTTATAAAGTCGGAGACCGAGTTCTTTGCTCCCACAATGATGGTTTATATTATGATGCCAAAATTGTTACCGTTAGGGAAAAAAATGGAGAAATGGAATTTAAAGTACATTATCAGGTAAATTTTAATTTTTTAAAGTAGGTGCTTTCATCTTTTAATAAAAAATTATATTTCAAATTTTGGTTTAGTATAGTATGTCTTGCAATAAGACTTGATGTTTTAAGGGATGGAACCAACGGTATGACGAATTCATACCAATGTCAAATACAGAAACTCGTTTCCTCAAATTCACTGAAGCCGCGGCAGCTGAAGCTAGGGTAAATCGTTGAACTTCCTTTTTGTGATTTAGATTAGACGGTAAAGAAAAAGTATAAGAGAATTACGTTTTTTAGATCAGGTTACAAATATATTAACAAGGAATTTCTCCGATGTGGAACGCTTAAAACCAGATGAGATTTTTATGATTTCTTTGTAGTACCAGTAGTACATGTAAAAATATTAGCTTGTGGCTTTGCTTTGAAAATTAATTGTGCCTTTCCTCAACTTTTTTAGGACGCCCAAATAAATGCGAGAACATTGAAGTCTAAAAAGAAGAAGACACCAAAACCCAGTATACACGATATAGAAACGGCAACATCTAGTCGTTCTACAACGCCTTCCAAAGAGAGCAGCAAAAACCGCCCAGATCTTACATTACAAAACCAAACTTCTGAATCACGCGGTGAGGCTTGTAGTAGCGATTACTGGGATTCTAATGAGGTTGAAACTACTTTTTTCGAAAAACCGCCAAAAAGTATCGTGAAGCTGTTAGTACAAGACGCGAGAAAAGTAAAACAAGGCTTTTTGATTCGAAAACATATCTCCTACTCTGTGGATGATATTGTCAAACATGTAAGCGGTTTTTGTAATCTTTTTCATAACGTTATCTAAGTCTTAAAAACTATTTTAAAAAATTGGTGTCAATTTTTATAGATTTGTAAATTTCCACTTTTAATCGCTTTTGTTTAGTACATAGAATTCATGGAGAAAGAGCACGAAGACAATACCGTTTTTATGATTGAATACGGTCAGTTGCAAACCCTGCAACATACTACTGTAGAAATGCAAAAACAAATAGCATACTTCATTTGCGATTTGTTCAACTGCACGTTACGACAACAACTATTGTATGACAAGGAAAAAGCAGTTTTTCAAAAATATTTGTTTGGCAAAAACTCAAAAATGGTAGGATTTTTCCAAATTTTAGATAAAAAAAATTTTTAGATACCAAGCTCTACATTCGGCATCACACATTTGGTTCGGTTGCTGACAAAGTTTACGAAACTTTTGGCCGAGATTGAAATTCCGACCAATTCTGTAAGCCTTGCAATGGCTTGTGCTCAAGACTTTTTTGTTTACGTCGCTAAAAATGTTGACGTATTTTACGATGCAACTGAAGATTATATTATTGCTCAAGATTACGGTAAACTCGATTTGAATAATTTAAAGATAAGCTAAATGTAAATAAAATTTAATAAGAGCAGTAAAAACAAATTGGCAATAAACATTTTCTTCCATAATTAATAAGAAAACTTGATATGTAACAGCAGTGTTTTGCCGGACCGGTCCGCGGACGGGTCCGGGCCGAAACAAAAATTTTTGCGGACCGGACCCAAAAACCTGCGGACTCGGACCGAAGAAAAAGCTCCGGACCGGTCCGGAAGAAAATGTTTTTTTTTATTTTAATAAAACTGATTTAAAAATTGCAAATAACATGTATTTTTAAGAGTTTTTAAGCAAAAAGAAAGCACTCCTCGTTTTTTTTTAAATAAAATTTTGCGGACCGGACCCAAAAATTTGAGGTTTGGACCGGACCCGAAAGTTTGCCCGGACCGGTCCGGGTAAAACACTGTGTAACATGTATGACATGAAAATGAACTCGTGATCAAATTCTATATAAGAAACGTGTAATTTAAATAATTACGTTTTTCCTACCTTAACACTAAAAACGAAAAGAAGTAATAACACAGTTTCTGTTAACACATTTATTTTAAAAAAGGACAATAACCAACAACAAGGGATAGGGAACAATTCAGTCAACTGTTATTTAGAAAAAAAAGATGAAAAAAATTAGGGAAAAATGTAAAAAAACAAGATAAAATAAATCTGCTACAGACAAAAATATGAACTTGAGGTGATTTTTTTCAGATTTCCCAAGGTTTTTTGAGGGGAGGGTGGGGGATTTATTTAGGGCGGCTGAAAAAGATGAATAAAACATTAAAACAAAAGGCAACTTTAGAACAATATAAAGTTAAATCTACAACTTTTTAAACAATTAAAACTTCTGCCGCTCCTAGTCTTCAAGTTTGATGATAGAAAACAAACCGAAAACTAAAATAAAAAATAGAGGAAGGAAACAGATTCATTAATATAAATTCTCAATACCAGCAAATTCAAATAGTACGAAGACGTAAATCTCTTCAACGTTAGTGAATTCAACTGTTAAATTGAAATTACATATAATGATGTTGTTGGTGTCCAGAGCAAATATTTTTCACGTTGTTGGTGAATTAATATTGAGCCTGTTGATAACGTTGACCCTGTGGAACCGCGCCGTTAGACGGTTGACCACGCTGCGCAGACGAACCATTTTGAGGGTACTCGTATCCCGAAGCATCTGAAACTATATCACATAACATTGTTTAACAAAAAAAAAAACAAATCTAAAAAATCAATAAAGTATAACATTAAGTCAAATATTAAGAATACCTTAGTAATAGAGTACAACCTACTTATTACTTACTTCCATATCCTGGGTAAGCTTGGTTCGGGTTTTGGTAGAAATTGTTAGAAGAATACCAATCACCCCAGCCACCACTTCCAGCAGCAGCACCTTGAGATGGAGCTCCATATGGTACAGCGCCCATCTGATTCCATCCTCCGTTGAACCACGGAGCGGCGTTATGAACTACTCCTTGACGAGGCAAACCAGCACCAAAGGTTCTTGGACCTCCAGCGATCGGGTTGCGGTAGGCGTTGAATCTGCGGTTTTGCGGCACCGCTTTCTTTACATCACACTAAAAAAACATTTTTAAGCTAAAAAACGTTACGCTTACCTCACGGTCGCTGAACATTTGTTTGCTGTTGGCAGCGGCACGATCAGCGGCTTCTTCCTCTTCAAAAACAATGAACGCAAAGTTGCGGCGATTCTTAGTTAGTTTGTCAAAAGGCCATTCAATGTCTTCCACCTTTCCATATTGCTCAAAATGCTTTCTAAGGTCATCTTCCGGGTGATCAGCTGGCAATCCACCGACAAAAACCTTCTTGTTTTCACGAGACTTGGCTGGCTTGACTTCGCATTGCTTTCCTTTAATGTTCTGCTCACGTTGATGAAGAGCGTTCTTGCAGGCCTCAGCGGTAGCAAACTCGACAAACGCGAAGCCTCGAGAACGGCCCGTTGAACGGTCAATCTTCACTTGGGCTTGAGTAACTTCTCCATACTGTTGGAAGTATTGTTGAAGGTCCTCGTTTCCTACTTCAGCAGAAATTCCTCCAACAAAGATTTTACTAAAAATCAAATTAATATTTAAATTTTAATACTGTTTTTTGTCTTTATAAAAAAAGTAACCAGACCAACGGAGGCCCTACAGGCCTCCTATGGTCTGGACATTGCAATTTTATTTCATTTACAATTTACTTTATGATAAAAAAAGGCCTCGGGCCTTCGGCCCTCGGCATGATACATTCATACTTGCATCGTATCTTCACACAAATCGTATCTATAAAATATTTCATAAAACCGACCGCTCTTTTTTCAAAATTTTTTTCACCGATTTTCACATAATTTTCATTTTAAAATGATTTTTTTTTGAAAATTTGCATGGCTCTCTCACTTAGTACAGATGCACTCTAACAGCGGCTTCGGACATGTACCGCTCTGCAAATAGTAATTGTTCCTCTAAAAACAAAACTAAATAAAGAACTCACCGGTCTTCAGCTCCTTTTTGTTTTTGGTCTCCAGCGTTTCCAATGTCCATTTGTTCACTTCCCATAATTTCTCGATTAAGATTAAAGAGACAAAAGAGTCAATAGAGAAAAAAAAGTTAAGAAAATTTTGAGTAGTTCAATACCAAAAACTGTTAAGCAAAACAAATTTGCACTTTTACTAAACCGTTAAGAAAGCTTTAAAAAAGATACGGCCTCGAAACAGTTAGACAAAAAACACTTTACCAAGAACTTAAATAATTAGATAATATTATTAGGCCAAAGATCTTAAAAAAAAGGGTAATTAGAAAAGTTCTATCTAAAAAAACCCTGAAAATAAAATTTTTAATAACAATATTTCGAAATTCCGCGACACGGTTCCCTAAAACAATACCCCAAATGCCTGAAAAGTAAAATGTTTCGACAAAGTTTTCTCTCCTTCGCGTCGTAGTTTGTTCTTGATTTTGCAGGGTTTTCGCTGCGGGACCAACAAACAGATTTAAAAAAACGTTTCATCGCAAATAAAACAATTTAAATATTAAGTTTTGTGTGTAAAAATACGACAAGGGATACGTTTCAATTATTAATTTAAATACGCCGCAAAAGAGTTTTTTTATTGAATAATTTTCAATATCTTATTTTATGCAAAAAAGTTTTAAAAAAAGGGGATTCTATATATAAGAGACCATTAATAGTTTCATAAGAACTCATATCCAATTAACATTATAACACAATGCCCACACTATGGTGAATCGAAAACTGTTCGGACACAGAAAGGTGTGATAGAAGCTAAGCCAACGGACGCGTTCTATAAGTGAAAAGAAACCATCTCATCTCTCTAACCACCTCGTTCGCAAGGAAAGGCTTTTTGCGACGAGTGGGCAGTTAGGGTAATTTGGGCGTCTTTCCAATCACCCCAGCAAACTTTCAGAATAATTAAGAAATGGACACTTTTCAAATTTTGGAAATTAAAGTCAAAAGACCCACATCATGTATAACATAAATTTTCAACTTTCTAGTTAAAAAATATTAACCAAAAGATACAAATTAAATTGGATTAGTATATTGACTTAAAGTTTTCCTTTAAACACCAACGATCGGTGAAACCCACTATAACAATAAATATGGTAAAACTAAATAAAATTATGGTGTTTATAAATCTCCGAAAAACTTGAAATACCAACGTTCTAAAGGCCTAAAAATTGACGAATCGCCTGATCCAAGGGTCGAACAAAAAATAAATTTGATGACCACTTTAATCGAATGAAAGGACGCACCAACCATAGTGGCAGAGACGCACAGATGGCGTTTGCGCCAAAACAGTAAATTTATTGTTCTTCATTTCGTTTTAAGACGTAGTCGCATGTAAAGTGAAAAATTAAAACACGATACCAATCAAAATAACTGAAGACTTCACCAACAATTTTACTTGCAGAAACAAATCGGCTAGAAAACAATTCCAAAAAAAAAGAACTTATAAGCAACCATAATAAAAAATTAAAAAATGTATACTAGTAACTCAAAATTATAACAATAATAAATTATAATTCTTTGCGAGAAACCTTGAGTTACCGTTTATTACCTAAAATGATCAAGTTTTCCGGAGATATTCCCTGGTCGACGTACTGTATTATTTTGGTTTCATATCCAACAGACCTTAGAAATTCTGATCTCGCATGTTCAAAAATGCGCTTGGCTTTCATTCCCAAATCTTTTTTATCTTGATCATCCCTAAAAATCGTCCATTAGTACCTATTTTAAGTGTTTTCTTAAATCTTAAAAAATGCGAATTACTAGTTTTTTCAACGTAATTAATTTAAAAAATCATCGTAAAATTTAATTTACAAAAGTTTCTAGCATAAAAAACCATAAGGAATTTAAGTACAGCTATAATTTCTAAAAGTTTAATTTATCGTTCCAAAGAAACGACTAATAAGCCTCTTACATTTCAAAATTACCATCCTTTGCATTAAAAACAAAACCACAACAGTTCCAAGTCGATATATGCCGCAAAGCTGCAAATTCTATCTCAGTTGATATTCCGTTAGCTTCCAAAAACTTCGTACCCACAAACTAAAACAAAATGTATAAAATTAAGGAAAACCTTACCTCATTTTTCAGACATTTATGATGACAACAAGGTGCTAACGCAAATCCGCTGATATTGACTCCGTCAATTTTTCCATTAACCAAACATCGTATTCCATAATCAGTAGCTACGCCACAGAAATGTTTACATACAGCCAAAACTTTCTTGTTATCTTGTAACAAACTTACGTTGCCCAGTTTTAAGTGTTCGACTGAACATCGTAATCTTTCAATCTTAAGTGTAGAATCTTCTTTTAAAGCTTTTCGGTCGAATTTATTCCGAACTCCCATCCGGTCGATAAGAAGATAACTAAAGTTTGAAAAAAACTTGCTCATCCAGTACACTAACTGAGCTTTTCCACTCCCTAAATCGATCAAACATATGTCTGGCGTGTTCTCTAATGAAAAGTAACTTGTCAGATTGCCTAAAATTTAAATAAATTTTAACTATTGTTTTTCCATACTTCAAAAAAATAACACGTAAAATTCGAAAAACGCATGTTGCAGATATTTTGACATGTTTAACTGCCAATGCGTAAACTACAAATTAATGCGTAAAATGAATATAAAAAGAACTGAAGACAACTTACTCATGATAGAATCAACTTGCTTTAAATGTAGCTGTTTCTTTCCACCTACTAAATCTGCAGCTTCTTTTATTTCATTGTAATGGAATTCTTCCGGTGTATAAAAAACAAACTCATGTTTTATTTCTTCATATATTTTGTTCACTTTGTTGACCATATTCCTTATTTCATCGTCTGGAGGCCGTAGAAACAATTCATTTTTCGCATCTTTTATCAACTTGTTGCAGTTTTCTTCTATCCATACATCCGTGTGTATTCTTGCATTGCATTTCTTTAAATGTTCTTCAAGATCAATTAACAACACTGTATGTTTTGGGTCATTGGGACATGCAATTCTATCCTTAAAAATGCTAAGAACTTATATATATTTTAAGTTTAGTTGACTTTTTTTAATGCCTAAAAATTAATCAAAAGAAAAAACAAACTTACGGTATTATTCGGATCATGAATTTTATGTTCCCCACAAAATCGTTCTCCTTTCTTGCTCAACATACGGCATCTACGTTTCTTCTTTTCCAATACAAATTCACACCTTTTGAGTCCTGCTATTAAACTCATTATGTTCTGGACACAAAAAACGAAGTTATTACCTTCTTTCTCAAGAGTTGGCGAAATCTTTAAATTTATATTTCTAGAAAATATTTATTTTATTTTCTATGTGCGCCCAAGCTGCGAATAACCTGATATATCAGCTGATATTCGGAGAGTATACAAACATTAATTTTTAGCAGAGGAGGAAACATATTACAAAAAAAACTACATCAATAAAAATGGAATTCTCAAAATTTTAAAGTAATATAAACTTTGCTTTTTTAAAACATCAAAATTTATGAACAACGAAAATCAACTTCTGTATAATCTATCAGTTCGGCGCTTGTGTCTCCTTTCCGGGCTTCTAGATCTACTTCTGCTTTCCCGAGTCCTATCGCGTGATTTTCTCCTATCTCTACCATTACTACGGCTGCGACGTGGGCTCCTGGACCTACTTCTTGCATGCGGATTTTTAAAACAGTCATCACGTTCACGCTCACGTTTCCTTAAAGCTCTTGCGTCGTTCGACAAAATTTCATCTCGTTCCTAAGATAAACATGATGTTAATACTTTTGACAATAACACAATGTATAAATTCATATTTCGCTATAAAAAATTTAAATTTCACTTTTTTTGAAAACTTTGACAAAAAGTTACCTTTTGCTCGGCACGCCGTTCCAATCGTTTATTTCGTTCCTCCTCTTTCATCTGATCTGCTCGTTTTTGTAATTTTTTGTCCATTTTTCGTTTTAGTCTTTCCGCAACGTCATTATTTCTTTGTTGGTCGTCGTCGTTTTTATTGTTTATTCTTTTGTCGACCATTTTCTTCGTTTTTCTAATCCTTTTTTTCCTATTTTCAATTTCTCTTCTCTCAACTTCTGATTCACTCATACTTGATGTTACTTTTAAAGGTTCTGCATCACTGTCGCTCAAATTCTAAAAGTTAGGCAATATAAACAAAACACAAACATAAAAACATTAGCTTGTAAACCGTTGCATAAGGAAATAAAGTTTTATGAGCTATATTGGGATCAGGAACGTCGTTTGGGGGAGAGGGTAGGAGGGGGGGGGGAGGGGGGGGGGAGGTACCCCCTCCGCCAGAGCTGATCGGAAAAAAATTCCACAGGTAGGAGGTAACCGTACGCAAAAAAACAAAAAAAAAATGATGAAAAATCGGTCATTCATGTGGAAGAAAAAATTTTTTTGACCTCCCCCTCCCCCAGATAAAATCCGTAGCGACGTCCCCGATTGGCACTACTCTGAAGTTTAGAATTAATTCTAAACTAAAATTTTCCGTAATTAAAGTATTTTAAATTATTTACCCCTTCGTTTAAAGGTTCCGATGTGTTTGGCTTTACGCAATCTGTTTCTGAAGCTCCAAAATCAGGAGAGCTTGAATTTCGATTTTTTAGTTCCCTAAATTTGTAATACTTAAAAAAATTTTTATCAATGATATTTACTCTCTTTATGAAAAACAACAACATTTTATGAAAGAACGTACCTTAAACCATCATTATTATCATCCTTTTTGGTTAAACTAAATCTTGAACCGTAAAAGTTGTATTTTGGAAGTTCCTTTGAGTGACCTCCAATTATCAACGTACTTTTTTGTTCGTCTTCAGATTCTGACGACGAATCCCTAAAAATATTTACCATATCAAAAATTTACCTACTTTTGTTGCAGTAATTTCTCGCGTTTTAAGGCACCCAACACCATTTTTGTAGCATCTTCGTTTTGATTGAGTTTGGTCAGTAAAGCTGCACGTCTTTCTTTTAGACGAGATCGCTCCATTTTCGCGTCTTTCCCCTAAATAAATTATAGGTTAAAAAAATAAAATACATGAAGACAATTTAAAATTTTTAGTTAGTAAACTTATTGTTTCTAAAAACGTTAAAATAACAGATAAAAATACATTTAAAGCCAGTTTTGCTTTGTCAATCTCCTTTAGTTCCTTGGCTTCTAATTCTTCCTTTTGGTCTATTCGCAGCAAATCCAAAAATACAGTACCAAGCCGACCAAAATGCGCGCCATGTTTATTTAGCTCCACTGCTTTTTCAGCTGATAGTTTGTTCAGATTGAATTGGGTATCTGTAAGTCAAATAATAGTTTTATGAAACCATTAAGTAATCAGATGACTAAAAGCCGAATCATATCATTACATTTCAAAGTACCTTCTTTTAGTTTTATTTATGATAATTAATAAAATTTTACTTAAACATACCAAGATGATCAATTTCTTCAGCATCAAAAGCTTCATCTTTTGATCTTCCAGGAACAATTGTAGTATGTTCGTAAGAAAAAGAAATGGTAGCCGATTCTGTTTTCTTCCTAAAAGTAAACTTTTATTATAAAAAAATTATCGAAAACTGCACCATTAAATCTTACCTATTGCTGCCTGGATTTTTATCGCTTTCACGGTCTTCCCAAAATTCTTTCGAAGCAATAGACTTTAAAAATCGGTTTGATCGATACCTTCAAATTCATTGATCACAATGGTTTTGTATCTATCAAAATCACATTGTATTTCTTCTACCTCTTCAGCTTGAGAAAGACTACTTCTTTTATGTTTGATCTCACAAAGTGAATCAAGATGAGCTCTTACATCAAAACGATCAATCGTAATTTCGGGATCTCCCTGCCACTTTCGTCTAAATTTTTTTTGTTGCTAAAGCTTTAAATAAAAAATAAAACTTAAAAAACAAAGCAACCTACAAGACTTGTGAAGCCGCCTTGGCAATATCCGGATCAATATGAATTTTGCACTTTCTACCATGAATTTGCATAAACTGTGTTGGGTCCCTCCTCTAAATAAACAGCATAAAAATAGAAGCTAAGTAACTTACAACGCTTTCATAGTAATTTCTTCGCCGTTCTGACCGTTTAGCAGCATCAACCATTTTGTATCGAATTAACTTATCCTGCTTCCGTGCTTCGTGCCACATCCCTGTAGCCAACAAAGTAAAAGCGGCTTATACTAAGTGGTATCTCTTATTGAGAAAATAAACCCGGCATTTAAAGTAAACTTTCATACGAGTATAGCAGACGTTAATTGCTAAAGGATAACACACTCCAATAATAAAAAAATATATTACAATGTGACGTGTATAACACAATACGCAAACCATAAAAGAAAATTTAACGTTTATTAAATTTTTATGTTACAAGTTAAATAAAATCTTTAGAAAATTAGCTAAATCGACTTAAAAACGCTTCTCTTTTCCGCCGTAAATCGCTTAAATCACCAGAATCTGTTAAATTTCCACCATTTAGTCTTGGCTCTTGTTCTGAATGCTGAAGGCTTTGAGATCCACTAAGTTCACTTTTCATAAAACTCTGAAATTTGACAATAAACTAGTACACAACATTCAACTCTATACCTCATGATCGACTGTTCGTGAACTTGTCGCAATGTTGTCCTGATGATCTTCCAGACTCATCGCAATTGCTTTCTAAGAATTAATTACCGTAAATCTAACAAAAATTACCTTTAATTCCTCGTCAATTTCGGCTTCATAACCGTTTGGTTTCATACTTAATGATATCGCCCTCTAAACAAATATTTATTAATTTTAAACAAACACTATTACAGTAAACTTCTAAAGCGGAGTCTTATATATTAGCCAGGTTTCAGTATATACGTCTCTAATTTATAACGAAAAATGAAATGTGTTTTGAAAAGCGTCAATACAATAACCGCGTTAGTAAGTGACTTTAATTTACTTACCTGCAACTCATCATCTTCACTTTCCGTTTTTTCCAGTTTGCTTAATTCGAGTGCTTTCTAAATTCCAATAACATCCTGTAATATAAACTTACAGCAAAATCGTCTTCCTGATACATAAGCGGTGAGTCTTCTCCACGTCGCTGATCCATATTCACAAAATTACTCAAATCACCTTCAACATGAAACACGGAATAACCTAAAACAATACATATTTAAATTATCTTTCTTTATGTTCGGCCTTTGTATATAAAACCTCTTATATAATAAAATGAACATTTTTAAATGTAAAATTACTAAAACATGCCTTCAGCAACAAGCTGAGAAATATACACATCTAAAAAGCCATCTGATATTACTTTAGGTCCATCTTTCATCGAATTCAACTCGTACCATGCACCAAAAATATTCCTTAAAGTGAACCAATGCAACTCCATATTACAAATAAAAGCATTTCCAATTCTAAAAAATATTTTTTAATTAAAAATATTTAAAAAATTACAAATGAGCCATAGCGAAAATTTTTATATAAATTTACAAAAAACAAATACGTGATGTAAACAAAAGAAGACATACTTTGGACTCAATTTAACCTCAACCAACTCTGGATTCTCTAGCGACACCAAATCAAGACCCAACGTCCTCAAAGCCTGTCGAATGACTTGTATCGAAAAGAATCCGCTATCATCCATGTTGCTGCTTACAAATAGAGCTCGTTGTTCAGCAGGCAGTAAGGCCTTTTCTTGTTCATCTAATTGTCGGGCGATATCTCCCAAGTCTAACGCCGTGTACATCCTGGTTTGTAAAAGCATGTTCAATGCATGCTGAGCACAAAGCATCCCATCTTGCTAAAAATAAAATTAATAACAAAAACCCCTTACTTTTTCAAAAAAGATGTCCATCTATTGCTGAATACACGTTAAAAATATAGTAAAATTGTAAAAAATATAAAGTAGAAAATCTCAAAAATAAATTTATATAAGTATAAGCGTTTAAACTGCACGCTTTCTAAAGTCTCGAAAAAAATAAATAACAAGAATAATACAGAAAGCCAGAAAACATATTTACTTGTTTACCAGTCGAGACTCGAACACTTAGAATAGAATGCCAGGAAACAAAAAAATATGTGATACGAGAAAAGAAAATTCAAACTAGTACACAGACGTTGATTTTCGGACAATATATGACTTCTGCGATCGAACAGTTTTTTTCCCATGTTGTTCGGTAGTGAACATGACGATTTTTTATTGTGATAGGAAAGCTTGCATTATTAAGATTTATTAAATTCAAAAAGATTATATTTAATGTTTTAAATATTTATTATTACGAGATTTTAGCAGGAATTATGAGATCATTCGTTTTTGTTGTCGTAAAATGAGCTTCAATTGTCGCCAACCGATACAAGTGACGACCACAAAATATGCATTAAGAGCACAACAAAGAAATATGAAGAATCCTAAGAGACCATAGTAATGTCCATTCATGTTAATGTAGATTTGGGCACCCAACCACGTAACGGCCGATCCGCCTATCACCAATAAAAGGCTGATAAACATCATAAAACTGATCACTGTAAGCTGAAAAAAATATTTTGAATTTTTTAAAATAACAAATAATTTGCAAACGTACTTGAAACAATACATGAGTGACATACAACCATGGCATTTGTCTCCAGAAACCCATTAACAATAAAAAGTAAGAAAAAAGTGTAAATAAAGGCAAAGTTAACATTGGACTGTTATAGTATGCATAGTAAATAAATCCGCTTATACTTAATGCTATGCCAACTACCGATATAACAAAACATCCTATCTGAAATGGCTTGAAATATAAAATGTGGCATACATTTTCATAAAATTTTAGAATTACAGTGAAACGTCGACAATAAGACACCGCTTAAAACGAAACCCCCGTTATACAGGATTTTCTTGAATCCTCTAAAAAATTTGCTTTGATTCCTGGACTCCGGAGACACCGCAACTCCATTACACCGAATGATTTTTCAATTCCCTTGCAACTTGTTATATTAGGAGTTGGCGTTAGGACAAACGCGGTTTTTGGACATTTGCGGATCTGCGGTTTTTAGACACTTGCGGATTTTGGACATTTGCGGATTTTTTAAAGGTTTTTTTTTTATTTTTTAGTTAGTTTAGTTGTAGTATGGTACTAAATTGTACTAAAGTTTAAATTGGTGCGGTTTTAACATAACAGTACCTTTTTGGGCTTTTAGTAACATTCAGTACCAAAAAATATAAAACAGTACCAATCTAAAATTTAGTACTATTTAACACTAAAACATATTAAAACAGTACCAATTTAAACTTTAGTACCATAATACAACTAAATTAATTAAAAAATAAAAAAAAACCCCTTTAAAAAATCCGCAAATGTCCAAAATCCGCAAGTGTCCGAAAACCGAAGATCCGCAAGTGTCTAAAAACCGCAGATCCGCAAATGTCCAAAAACCGCATTTGTCTTAGCGCCTAGGAGTTCATTGTACCTGTGCCGATTTTTTCGACCCCCGCCTACAGACCAAAAGTTCCCGCCCGCCCCTGCACGCTGCATAAATTTCTGCGGACGGTTTAAACAAACTGTTTCTGCTCGGTAAACTTGAAAGACTCGTGCTAAAAATTAATATAAAACTTACTTTCAACTCAACAAATCCGCAACAACATGTTTTACCCAACAGTGGTTGGGTGTCAGCGTTTAATATTGCAACCTTACCGTTAGGGTTAGAAAAGTCTTCTTTACTTTCATTAGGTTGTTCACCTCGCTCAACTAACGAAACATTTCTAGGCTGTTTACTGCTAGCAAACTTTGGAAAACGGAATTCCCTTTCTTCAAAAGTTATAGCCGTAGGGACTTTTATGGTAGGCATAAGATGATATATTAGTTTAAAATATTTTAGTATTTATTAGCTGTATAGTTTTTTAAATAATATTTAGGTTAAACTAATATATATAGATATCTTGTTTTCCAAATATAGAGAACTTTCTGCGCGTTACTTGCTTTTAGTTTGGAAAAAAGCGACTTGGCCAATGTTTTTTTAAGTCTGCCGTATCATTCCTTTGCGATATCTTTTTTTGCGAATTTCAATAAACACGCACACAATTTTCTATACTTTTTCAACAGATTTCGAAATTTTATGACTCATAATAAAAGGTTTGTATACTTCAAAAATTTTTAAAAATGAGGAAACGACAAACGGGGAAAACGACATAAAGGGAAACTAAAGTTAAAAAATTAACACAATGAAAATTGTACTGCTATTAATGCATCTTATAGTTTAACTTGCAATGTTGGTAAATGCCGGAAACGTTTGATCTAAAAACGATTTGTTTCTAATCGCAAACCCGTTTTCTTGATAAAGAATTATCCAACATATCAAAATCCTTTTTTATTTTCACTATAATCGTTTCAAACTGTCTGGAAACGCAAGATAACACAAAGAAAATAAAAAATAGAAATCTACCACAAAATTGTAGTTGTCTATAAGTGTACTATAATAGTTAGTTTTAAGAATCGTAGAATAAACATATTACAAAAAGTGACGTCAAAGACGTTTCATATTGTAATAACCCGGATTTGACATTATGTTGATCACTTTGTTTAACGTCTGGTTCCATCTTCAAAGAAGACACCGCCGTCGATGGCGCAGTATTTAGGACAGATACCCTTTTCTCCAGCAGTTCCGGCTCCACCGGGTGGTCCAGCTGGTCCTGGTTGTCCGTCAGCTCCTGGGGCTCCATCTGGTCCTGGTTCTCCTGGTGGTCCAGCTGGGCCTGGTGGTCCATCAGCTCCTGGAGCTCCTGGTGGTCCTGGTGGTCCGGGTGGTCCTTGGTCTCCTGGTTCTCCTGGCTCTCCTGGAGTGAGTGGTTCTCCTTGAGCTGGGATTCCTGGTTCTCCTGGTGGGCCAATTGGTCCGGATTCTCCTGGCGGTCCAGGGGGTCCACGAGGTCCTGGGGATCCTGGGGAAGCGTCGGATCCTGGACGGCCTGGGGTACCAGCCTCTCCTGGGTCTCCTGGGGATCCTGGTGGACCTGGTGGGCCGGGTGGTCCTTGTGGGCATGGCTTGCAAGGTGGTGGGGTGGTTGGCTCACATGGAGCAGTTGGTGGTTTTCCGGGAGCACCTGGCGCTCCTGGAGCTCCTGGCTTACCTGGACGACCTGGTTTACCTGGAGCACCTTGTGGACCGGGTTGGCCTGGCAAGCAACAACCGTCGCAGCTTAGGTTTGGAGCTGGGTTGACATCAGCACCGTAACCAGATTGACGAGCGGTACGGTTGGCTGGTGATGGAGCATTCTTCATATGGTTTACTTCAACATAGATGTCTTTGGCTGAGCCTTTGCAGAACGACAATTCGTGATGCATTTGTCTTTTGACTTGGCTGACATAGTTGTAGACCATTGGTAGCGATACGACAACCGACAATACAGCGACAACACTGAATGTGACGGCAGAGTATGCCACGAATTTGTAGGCCTTCATGCGGCCATCGGACTCCATTTTGAGGTTTGTTGCCTTTAAATTGCCGAAAGTATAAAAAAAACCGTATGTGCGATGCAGTAAATTATCGCGTGAGTCAATTTGTAAAAAAAATATGATTTTTATTTATATAAAAATACAAAAGCGATATAAAAACGTAAAAGTCATAAATCAATGCTGTAACAACTTTAAAAAAAACTGTAAAAATTTAAAGGTACTGTTAAAAACGTGATTTAGTCAAACACATTTTGACATATTAAAAGTAGTTGTATGAGGAAGTAACATTTAGCCCCTTTTATTTGAACGCTAAATCGCGCAAACATAAGCTTCGCCGCTTACGTTTTAGGGGGCGGAAAACCACACCCTTAATTGACAAGTACGAGTTTGGAAAAATAATTTTAATGTTAATTATTACAAACTTGTACTATTGCAAAAAAAATTTACGTTTTTCGACACTAATAGAAAAATTTTTCTGGATGAATTTTCTTATTAAATACAAAGCGTATCTACTTAGAGCGTTATTTATATATTAAAGTGCACAAAATCTAACACTGTTAAAAATTGCCTTCAATTTAATGCCATGGATATTTTCCAAAAATGGGAAAAGTTGTGCAGAAATGTATGAAAGAACTAAGATTTTAGAATTTAGTGAATAAGCTTAACAATGTTAGTACGTCGTACGATAAATATTGCATAGATTAGACAAATGAAGTTGTGCTTGAACTAATAGCATTAATTTATAAGCTCATGAAATGTTTAAAACTTTAGTGGGAACTGTTTTAACGTCTAAACTTAACACTACAAGTGTTTTTTCTTATTTTATTTTAATTTAATATTTTAAATAAATTTATGAGTGCATCTGTATCTAATTATTTCTTAGTTTCGAATTTCTTAGTTTTTAAATAATTTTTAAAATTTTACTGTCAACTTCATTGGTTTTAGCGATTTCAACGACTTTCACTTTGAATATTGATAAAATTTTCCATGACTATTATAATTCTGCTTTCTTCTGATACGTAAATTTTTAACACAACGATGTTTTTGATAAAATCAGGTTTAAAACAAAAAGAAATCTTTGTAGACAGGTTTGCTTCGTCGATCTTTTATCGCAAAAATCTACCTTCGAGGTGTGACAAATTCTAGCGTAATTAAAAAAGGGCCTCTGTGAAAAAATTTCAAGAAATAAAAGTTTTATATTTTTAAATTTTTACTTCTTAACAATTTTGCAAATATTTTTAATAACTGAAACAATTTTTTCTGTTTGAAAAGTGATGATATAAGTGAAAAAAAATTAAAAGGTTTCTTCGAGCGACTTGAAAATCAACTTGAGAAACTTTTTCAAGTCAATTCCGGGGTATATGAAAAATCTTGTCTTTAATTAAAAAAAGACCGCTACGCCGTGCCGGAATTGATGTTGTAATAAATCACAAATACTTATGTTTAACTTAAAAAATAAAAGTAATAAAAGGATTTTATTAATATATGTGATATTGAAGTTAAAACTTAAATTAAATTTGTGAAATTTTCGTTATATGTAAGATTTACAGTTTTTTAAATGTGCATAATTACGGCAAATCAGTCAAAAATTAGAACATAGAAAAAAAATCAGGAAAAAACACATAAAAATAATGGTAGACAATGGTACTAACGTAAAAATAAAATTTTGTAATAAAAATCTTAAATAAATTAATATCTTCATAGTATAATAATTTATAACGGAAACTGTAATTTTGAACTTCGAAAAAAATTTAATATGCAGCAATGCAATGACGTAATCAACAGCCTGCATAGTTAAATTTGTTTAGCATTGATCATTTACTTTGCATTCTTTTTTTTTACTGTCAATAGAAACTAAATATGCCTCTGGCGTCCGAATTAACTTGCAATCGACGGGTTTTTGTTAAGGATATCAAGGTTTTCTTCTTCATCACACATCCGAAACCGCTTTCCTTTTTTTAAGTCAGCTTTACACATCGTAGAAGAAAGTCGACATTGCATAAAAAAGAGTAAACATAATTGCTTTACGTAATTAATTTAATTTTTGTTGTTACCTCAAGTATGTTTAAAAATGGATGTAACTTTGAATTTTTAAACCTTAATCAGTTTTTTAAATTCGGTTACAATACTTGCAGATTCATCTAACTTTCTAATGTCTGAAAATTGTCAAGGCTACGCAATACTTGCTGGTTTATCCTTTATCACGCATAAACGGCGCACACGCCTCTAGCAAAGGTTTTTCCTCAACAGAAACCGCTCTCCACCCCACATCGTCAATGTGATATAAAAGCGAAGTCGTGCTGATCACAATCAGTCGCTGAGCGCAATTTCTCATTTTTTCATTAAAGATCCTTTATCTTTCAATTTTAAAAAGGCTGCTCTGAAATCCTTTTGATTTCCTTTTTTGCGCATTAAATTTTAAACAAATCTTAACATAATTTTGTCATTATAGGGCAACAAACCTCAAAATGGAGTCCGATGGCCGCATGAAGGCCTACAAATTCGTGGCATACTCTGCCGTCACATTCAGTGTTGTCGCTGTATTGTCGGTTGTCGTATCGCTACCAATGGTCTACAACTATGTCAGCCAAGTCAAAAGACAAATGCATCACGAATTGTCGTTCTGCAAAGGCTCAGCCAAAGACATCTATGTTGAAGTAAACCATATGAAGAATGCTCCATCACCAGCCAACCGTACCGCTCGTCAATCTGGTTACGGTGCTGATGTCAACCCAGCTCCAAACCTAAGCTGCGACGGTTGTTGCTTGCCAGGCCAACCCGGTCCACAAGGTGCTCCAGGTAAACCAGGTCGTCCAGGTAAGCCAGGAGCTCCAGGAGCGCCAGGTGCTCCCGGAAAACCACCAACTGCTCCATGTGAGCCAACCACCCCACCACCTTGCAAGCCATGCCCACAAGGACCACCCGGCCCACCAGGTCCACCAGGATCCCCAGGAGACCCAGGAGAGGCTGGTACCCCAGGCCGTCCAGGATCCGACGCTTCCCCAGGATCCCCAGGACCTCGTGGACCCCCTGGACCGCCAGGAGAATCCGGACCAATTGGCCCACCAGGAGAACCAGGAATCCCAGCTCAAGGAGAACCACTCACTCCAGGAGAGCCAGGAGAACCAGGAGACCAAGGACCACCCGGACCACCAGGACCACCAGGAGCTCCAGGAGCTGATGGACCACCAGGCCCAGCTGGACCACCAGGAGAACCAGGACCAGATGGAGCCCCAGGAGCTGACGGACAACCAGGACCAGCTGGACCACCCGGTGGAGCCGGAACTGCTGGAGAAAAGGGTATCTGTCCTAAATACTGCGCCATCGACGGCGGTGTCTTCTTTGAAGATGGAACCAGACGTTAAATTGGTCAACGTTAAGAATCTCCGCCAGTTTGCAAAGTTATATTTTTCAATTTTTGAAAGTATACTTGGAAACCGGCTAGTCTTTTTTATTTTTAACTTAGTACTTCGTATAGACAAAAAGTCTTAGCTACATTTAGTCTTTCTTTCAAAAATTGTGTTGTACAAATAATTGATTTTAATTTGTTACAACCGACATGCCCGTTAAGATTTTGTCTTTCAAAAGATTCAAAGTTCACTTGTAAGTTTTTGAGACATCATTAACACTTAGATTACATGTATGTATATTAGAACTGCAAATTTAAAGTACTTTTGTAGTGAACACTTTTCCTGTTATGATGTCTAATGTATGTGGCTACGATAAAAATTTTGAAGGCATAAATTTTAATAAAATCATGAATGGCTTTATTTTTCAGAAAATGTTCGTAATAATTTAAATTTTTACTTATAATTTTTAAAAAAGTTCAACATTTTCTATTGTTTCTCAAAAGCAGACGCATTTTTACATACAGATAAAGTACCGTACCTACCCCGCTCATAATCGTTTCAAATTTTTTATGCGTTCTTGGTACCACCAGTAGTACACATAAAAAGTTTTAGCTTGCGCTTTTGTGAAATTAGTTTGGTTTCCCGCTCATTTGGCAAAGTTGGCAATGTGTTTCAAGCACTTTTTTTGGCCTGCCAGACAAGCTACGCTTACAAATTAAAAAATGTAGGTTCATTTAAAGGTTTTCTACTAGTAGCTCAAAAAATTTTTTAAAAGTCAAAAAATGGCAAAGTTACAAGCTTGAAACACAATGCCAATTTGGCGGAAAATTTAAAAACTAATTTTTTGATCTTGTCGCGATTTCCTGGAAAGCGCGATTTTGTACTTTCCTGAAGATCTTATATTTACGTGATCTTTCTATATAAAAAGTTTGAAGTCAATCAAAGCGGGGCAGGTCTGGTACTTTCCTTATTAGTTGTTAGAAACAAAAAACTTTTGCAACAATAATTTTTGTATTCTATTATAATTACTTGTTTATGAAATGTATTACTTACTTATTTAGTCAATTGAAAATTGCAAAAATACCTTTTGTCATACGATTGACTGAAAATAACGATGCGTTTATAAACTTGTAAAAAATTTCACCCTAACCGTAAAAATATAATTTTTTTATTATTATAAGGGTAAGAACAGAAATAACCGTCGTCCATATCTTGATTTTACAAATTTTAATTGCGCATTATTTGCTCACCTTTATAGTCCGAATCGGGGTAAATTTTTCTTAAAATAGAAAAGCTCAGCCGCAGTTTGAGTCCGAAACTTGTAAAATCTGATTTAGTATGTATATTATTTTAAAAACAGGTAAATTATTTGGTCGTGCAAATATTGTTCAAATGTATCTATATAATATAAAAATTTTTTTCAATATCATTAAAAAAATTACGAAGTCTTTAAAATCTAATCATAGGTTTGCTACTTTGGGTTATCTGTTCTTCTGAAGCTATTTTGTGTCCAAAAGCAACAGCTTACACTACTGGACCAAGTCCTAACTGTAAGAAGCCCACTGATCCTTTAAATAAGAACAAAAGTAAAATCGAAGATTGGTTTACAAAGGATACTTTCGATGTAAGTTTTTTATTATTAATACAATCTTCATGTTTGCCAAGCCTGGCATTTTTATCTATTTTTGTAGCCAAGTTATAGCTGGTCAGTTTTTAACATTTTCCTTGGTACATTCTGTATTTGCAAAAGTTTACAATAGAGGCTTACGAGTAGTAGCAAAAAACTTAAAATAACAAGCCAAATATTTTGCTAGTAATTTTTCTTCTACATTAACTGCCGTATTTTAAGACACATATTTCAAAACCTTTATATATTATTTATTTAAATTATTATAGGATTTGTTTCCTAAAGCAAATCTTGGATGGGGTCCTCATGAATGCTATCCTTATTCCTATGAAGCGTTTGTAATTGCTGCAAGATACTTTCCTAACTTTGGCACTGAAGCCGGCACAAATTTTACGGCTGAAGAAAATGCCCGTCGTGATTTGGCGGCGTTCTTTGCGCATGCCATTCAAGAAACCGGCGAAAATGATATTTCATTATACACTTCGGTGAAACCGCAACAAAATGCAGATGATTGTTTTTATCGTGGCGGTTTTTTCAACTGGTTTGAAGGTGGGCCGGTTTCATCGTTTTTACTCAAAAACCAAAGTGGATCGCAACCTTCAAACGGAGATATATGTTTTCCAGCGGGAAAGTGGGTTTTTCTTATTTTGTACGAGTACAATAATAATCTAATAAGGAATTTTTATATTCACAAATTAAAAATGCAAAGTTACAGATACTGCGTTAGCAGTGTAGAATACAACGCGTTTTACCCATGTAATAACGAGACAAGTGGAAATTATTCAAAAGGATGCTACTTTGGGCGTGGAGCTATCCAGATTTCCTATAACTATAATTACGGTCAATTTCAAGATTGGTTAAGTAAACAAGGCATAAATGTCAGTCTTCTCAACGAGCCAAATCTTGTTTTAACAGAAACAAATCCACCACTAGCAATTTTGGCGTCTTTGTGGTTTTATATGAGTCCGCAACCACCCAAGCCTGCAATGCATGATATAGTGATTGGCAATTGGAATGCTGGTGATAGAAACCGTGCGTTAGGTTACAGTGGCGCATTGTTTGGTCCAACTAGTTTAATTATTAACAATGAATGTAATGGAGAAGATAATGCAACTCCAGGTGGACCCGGCGAAAATCGAAGAATTAAGGCTTTTAAATGGTTTTGTAAATACTTTAATGTTCAACCCGGTGCTAACACAACTTTAAGTTGCAAATGTAAGAAAAACAGTGACATAAATATATATATATAATAATAATTAAATAATATAGCTTTTATGTAGGGGTGAGAAAAGGGCCGGGCCCACTTTTTAGGCCCGGCCCAGGCCCGGGGCCCAACGTTTAGGCCCGGCCCGTTTTCAATTTTCTCTTAGGCCGGCCCGGTGTGAAAATTTCTAGGCCCAGCCCGGCCCGTTTTAAAAAATTAAAAAATTTTAAAACTTAAAAAATAAACGGAAATTTGGGTTTGCATTGTTCTTTTAGATCATTTATGTATCATGGTACCCAATAAAATCAAAAAACATCAACGGGGATTAAAATATTAAAATAAAAAATTTTTTAAAATTTAAAGATTTTTTTTCGGGCCCGGGCCCAATTTTAGCTCAAGGCCGGCCCGTTTTTCACCCCTACTTTTATGTGCTGTGTGATGAAAAATTCAACCTACGGAATATTTTAGACATGCCGCAAAAGTTTTCGGAGATGAAGCACAACGTAAGTTATCAACCAGACTGGTCTAGTACCTGGAAAGACAATGGTCCCTGCGTATGTGCTCCTGCAAGTTACGGTGGGCTCATACCGTATTACGATCCCCAGTTTTACACAAAACAGTTTTCCGACTTAAATGAAGAATTAAAAGGAATTTGTCAAAAAGCACTCTACGAACACCCTGAAGCGTTTTCCATAACGAACAGTACAGCACCGTGTTTAAACATTGATCCATAATCATTCTTTTATAATCTTGTATTTTTTTAAAATAAATATTCAAAATCCCTGAAAAAACATGTTTTCTTTCAATGTTCTATTTTTTCAAATGACGTACCTTAAAGTGAAAAATGCACTTTTAAAAAATAATAAGCGCAAATCGTTTATTTTTTATAAACTATTTATTTAGCAAATTATTGCATATTATTCAAATGTTTTTGCGTTCTGTGAGTCGACTAGCATAGTGTTGTATATTAGTAAACTAGAAATATGTTGTTTAAAAAATTAAATACTAAAAAATTCTTTCCTAAAAAACGTTGTTTAACGTACACGAACAAGCAGTGGGAATAAAGAGTATTCGGTTTCCGCAAAAACCGATCGGGTTTCGGCTTTTTTGAATTTTCGTTAGTCGCAAGCTTTCGTTAAAAGCGTCTATTATTATTTTTTTTGGTATAGCTTAAATAGTGAATTAAATTTAATAATTAAATGAAAAATAATTCCTGAAGTTATATTTATAAAGTTATTCCTTTTTGCCAACTGTTACATTTTTTCACCTTTACTCGCGGCTTTTATAGCTTTTCTTATCGAAAACTCCTCCCCATTTTTGAAAATATATATTACCTTGAGTAATAAAATCCGATGTTCAGTAAGTAGTTGAAAACGTAAACTGATCTAGTGAGAAACGTTTAGTGTATCATATATACTTTTGGTATCAAATGTAAGCGTGTACATATGATATTACACACCATCATGATTGAACGATTAAATAAATTAAAGTTATAGTAAAGCGATAATCTTAATTTTGAATAGCGCTAAATATCTTACAATGCATTAAAATATGTATCAAAATAATCGTGCATTATAAAAAAAATTCTTTTAAAAATTCATCAATTTATTAAGATGTTCCACTACTTTGCATCAGCACCTCATAGTTCCAATCAGGAGGATCAGCTATTTTCCGGCTTTATACGGTCATCAAATTTTGAATATACAACGAAAGCACAGTGCAGTTTTGACAACAAACCCTTGCGATTAAATGATTCTGAAAAAACAGATGAACAAAAGTATGTTAATAACTTTTAGAAGAGTTTTTGTTTTGTGTTACACTCATAAAAAAAGTATACAATCAAAATTTAGCTTGGAATTCATCTTTGACAACGAACAAATCTCTGTTTTGTGCCAGGTACTCCAAAATGGTGATGAAATAGATCAACTGGTATTTATAACAAAATTTGTATTGCCGAACTCTTTTTACTAGTTTTTTCTTGTTTTAACGATATTGTTTCTTAATTTTTAAAATACAATTTATTGAAATTATTTATATTTTTAATCACACTTCATATAGTCAATTCATGGTTTTAGGCGCAGTTTATATGGTCAATTCCTGAAAAAGCATGCTTTAAATGTAACGAACACGTTCTTAAATCACAAGCTTTGATTGCATTTCATCGTCATAATTTTAAAGACTTGTATCATCTATTGCAATCGCACCACTTTTCACCAACACATCACGAAGAACTTCAAAACTTATGGATGAAAGCTCACTACATAGAAGCTGAAAAAATACGTGGACGTGAATTAGGTGCGGTGGGAAAGTATCGTATTAGACGTAAATACCCGTTACCGAGAACTATTTGGGATGGAGAAGAGACGAGTTACTGCTTCAGGGTAAGCTCAATATACATTTTAAACTAATTCATAACTGTAAGTAAGAAATTATAGATGTTTTAATTTAGAGCACTTTAAATAATAAAAAAAACAAAAAAAAACGTTTGGCTGAAACTTAATAATAATCTTAAGGAAAAATCAAGAGTTGTCCTTAGAAACTCATACAGAAAAAATCCGTATCCATCGCCGAAGGAAAAAAAAGAATTAGCTGTTGAAACTAATCTTACCGTAACCCAAGTGTCAAATTGGTTTAAAAATCGCAGACAAAGAGACAGAGCAGCTGGCGCAAAGTAAGTTTTATTGACACACAAAAACTTGTTTTATATTTTTCTTTACCAATAATGCAAAATGTTACATTGCTATAAAACCTTAATTATATATTGCATATTTAGAGATGGCATTTCACCTTCAGGTTATAATAGTTTTGATGAAGATGACGGGGGAATACAATCTTCTTCTCGACTAATAAGTTTGAATACAAACGTCACAGATACTTCTTCTGCATATCGACCACTAATGCCATTAGAATTTTCACTATATAATCCTACGTTTACAGTAACGCCATGGTATAATGATTTTAGTTCTACAAATAACTTTATTACATGTACCAGTATTAGCGAAGGCTACGATATTTCTAAATTTTCCGCGCAGACTTTGGCTGATAATACACATGACGAACAAGGTAGCGGTTATCAACTACTGTAAACTTTGTTCAATACTTTAAAATACTCTAAAGCAACGCTAAACGATGAGATAATAAATATAACTTCCCTAACAAAAGTTTATTGTTTAAAATAAAGGAAAAGAAACCTATATACATATAATCAGTAAGTATACGCTCGATTATCACAAAAAGTGTGAAGGTTTAAAACACAATGTAAAAATTCATTTTTGGGTACGTTTTCATAACTTGTATCGACTGTCTTAAACCTGCGGTACTCGTCGAGCTACTGTATTACAGACCACTAACCTGCTGTATTATAAAAGGTGAATTTATAACCGATAACTAATACGATCAAGTACCACAAAAAATCTCTTTATAAGATAGCGGCGAAAAACCAGTGTGAGATGTCATTTTTAGGGGCATTTAGAATCTGTGTTGGTTGTTGTTGTAACTCCATTATCTGTCAAGTTACAGTAATGTAAATTGTTCCATGCTTTATACATGCTGAATATACGATCGAGTACCACAAAAAATTTTTTTATAAGATAGCGTCGAAAAACCAGCGTGAGATGTCATTTTTGATGGGCTTTCAAAATCTATGTCGGCTGTTGTTGTAACTCCATTATCCGTCGAGTTACAGTAATTTAAATATTTCCATGCTATATTATACATGCTGAATATACGATCGAATACTACAAAAAATTTCTTTAAAAGATAGCGTCAAAAAACCAGCATAAGATGTCATTTTTGATGTGCTTTCAGCATCTGTGCCGGCTGTTGTTGTAACTTCATTATTCGTCGAGTTACAGTAATGTAAATTGTTCCATTCTATATTATACATGCTGAATATACGATCGAGTACTACAAAATATTTCTTTACAAGGTAGAGTCAATAGGCTTAGGCTTAGGCTTAGGCTTAGGCTTAGGCTTAGGCTTAGGCTTAGGCTTAGGCTTAGGCTTAGGCTTAGGCTTAGGCTTAGGCTTAGGCTCAGGCTTAGGCTTAGGCTTAGGCTTAGGCTTAGGCTCAGGCTTAGGCTCAGGCTTAGGCTTAGGCTTAGGCTTAGGCTTAGGCTTAGGCTTAGGCTCAGGCTTAGGCTCAGGCTTAGGCTTAGGCTTAGGCTTAGGCTTAGGCTCAGGCTTAGGCTCAGGCTTAGGCTTAGGCTTAGGCTTAGGCTTAGGCTCAGGCTTAGGCTCAGGCTTAGGCTTAGGCTTAGGCTTAGGCTTAGGCTTAGGCTCAGGCTTAGGCTCAGGCTTAGGCTTAGGCTTAGGCTTAGGCTTAGGCTTAGGCTTAGGCTTAGGCTTAGGCTTAGGCTTAGGCTTAGGCTTAGGCTTAGGCTTAGGCTTAGGCTTAGGCTTAGGCTTAGGCTTAGGCTTAGGCTTAGGCTTAGGCTTAGGCTTAGGCTCAGGCTTAGGCTTAGGCTTAGGCTTAGGCTTAGGCTCAGGCTTAGGCTCAGGCTTAGGCTTAGGCTTAGGCTTAGGCTTAGGCTTAGGCTTAGGCTTAGGCTCAGGCTTAGGCTCAGGCTTAGGCTTAGGCTTAGGCTTAGGCTTAGGCTTAGGCTTAGGCTCAGGCTTAGGCTCAGGCTTAGGCTTAGGCTTAGGCTTAGGCTTAGGCTTAGGCTTAGGCTTAGGCTTAGGCTTAGGCTTAGGCTTAGGCTTAGGCTTAGGCTTAGGCTTAGGCTTAGGCTTAGGCTTAGGCTTAGGCTTAGGCTTAGGCTTAGGCTTAGGCTTAGGCTTAGGCTTAGGCTTAGGCTTGAGGCTTAGGCTTAGGCTTAGGCTTAGGCTTAGGCTTAGGCTTAGGCTTAGGCTTAGGCTTAGGCTTAGGCTTAGGCTTAGGCTTAGGCTTAGGCTTAGGCTTAGGCTTAGGCTTAGGCTTAGGCTTAGGCTTGGGCTTAGGCTTAGGCTTAGGCTTAGGGCTTAGGCTTAGGCTTAGGCTTAGGCTTAGAGCTTAGGCTTAGGCTTAGGCTTAGGCTTAGGCTTAGGCTTAGGCTTAGGCTTAGGCTTAGGCTTAGGCTTAGGCTTAGGCTTAGGCTTAGGCTTAGGCTTAGGCTTAGGCTTAGGCTTAGGCTTAGGCTTAGGCTTAGGCTTAGGGCTTAGGGCTTAGGCTTAGGCTTAGGCTTAGGCTTAGGCTTAGGCTTAGGCTTAGGCTTAGGCTTAGGCTTAGGCTTAGGCTTAGGCTTAGGCTTAGGCTTAGGCTTAGGCTTAGGCTTGAGGCTTAGGCTTAGGCTTAGGCTTAGGCTTAGGCTTAGGCTTAGGCTTAGGCTTAGGCTTAGGCTTAGGCTTAGGCTTGAGGCTTAGGCTTAGGGCTTAGGCTTAGGCTTAGGCTTAGGCTTAGGCTTAGGCTTAGGCTTAGGGCTTGGGCTTAGGCTTAGGCTTGGGCTTAGGCTTAGGGCTTAGGCTTAGGCTTAGGCTTAGGCTTAGGCTTAGGCTTAGGCTTAGGCTTAGGCTTAGGCTTAGGCTTAGGCTTGAGGCTTAGGCTTAGGCTTAGGCTTAGGCTTAGGCTTAGGCTTAGGCTTAGGCTTAGGCTTAGGCTTAGGCTTGGGCTTAGGCTTAGGGCTTAGGCTTAGGCTTAGGCTTAGGCTTAGGCTTAGGCTTAGGCTTAGGCTTAGGCTTAGGCTTGAGGCTTAGGCTTAGGCTTAGGCTTAGGCTTAGGCTTAGGCTTAGGCTTAGGCTTAGGCTTAGGCTTAGGCTTAGGCTTAGGCTTGAGGCTTAGGCTTAGGCTTAGGCTTAGGCTTAGGCTTAGGCTTAGGCTTAGGCTTAGGCTTAGGCTTAGGCTTAGGCTTAGGCTTAGGCTTAGGCTTAGGCTTAGGCTTAGGCTTAGGCTTAGGCTTAGGCTTAGGCTTAGGCTTAGGCTTAGGCTTAGGCTTAGGGCTTAGGCTTAGGCTTAGGCTTAGGCTTAGGCTTAGGCTTAGGCTTAGGCTTAGGGCTTAGGCTTAGGCTTAGGCTTAGGCTTAGGGCTTAGGCTTAGGCTTAGGCTTAGGCTTAGGCTTAGGCTTAGGCTTAGGCTTAGGCTTAGGCTTAGGCTTAGGCTTAGGCTTAGGCTTGAGGCTTAGGCTTAGGCTTAGGCTTAGGCTTAGGCTTAGGCTTGGGCTTAGGCTTAGGCTTAGGCTTAGGCTTAGGCTTAGGCTTAGGCTTAGGCTTAGGCTTAGGCTTAGGGCTTAGGCTTAGGCTTAGGCTTAGGCTTAGGCTTAGGCTTAGGCTTAGGCTTAGGCTTAGGCTTAGGCTTAGGCTTAGGCTTAGGCTTAGGCTTAGGCTTAGGCTTAGGCTTAGGCTTAGGCTTAGGCTTAGGCTTAGGCTTAGGCTTAGGCTTAGGCTTAGGCTTAGGCTTAGGCTTAGGCTTAGGCTTAGGCTTGAGGCTTAGGCTTAGGCTTAGGCTTAGGCTTAGGCTTAGGCTTAGGCTTGAGGCTTAGGCTTAGGCTTAGGCTTAGGCTTAGGCTTAGGCTTAGGCTTAGGCTTAGGCTTAGGCTTAGGCTTAGGCTTAGGCTTAGGCTTAGGCTTAGGCTTGAGGCTTAGGCTTAGGCTTAGGCTTAGGCTTAGGCTTAGGCTTAGGCTTAGGCTTAGGCTTAGGCTTAGGCTTAGGCTTAGGCTTAGGCTTAGGCTTAGGCTTAGGCTTAGGCTTAGGCTTAGGCTTAGGCTTAGGCTTAGGCTTAGGCTTAGGCTTAGGCTTAGGCTTAGGCTTAGGCTTAGGCTTAGGCTTAGGCTTAGGCTTAGGCTTAGGCTTAGGCTTAGGCTTAGGCTTAGGCTTAGGCTTAGGCTTAGGCTTAGGCTTAGGCTTAGGCTTAGGCTTAGGCTTAGGCTTAGGCTTAGGCTTAGGCTTAGGCTTAGGCTTAGGCTTAGGCTTAGGCTTAGGCTTAGGCTTAGGCTTAGGCTTAGGCTTAGGCTTAGGCTTAGGCTTAGGCTTAGGCTTAGGCTTAGGCTTAGGCTTAGGCTTAGGCTTAGGCTTAGGCTTAGGCTTAGGCTTAGGCTTAGGCTTAGGCTTAGGCTTAGGCTTAGGCTTAGGCTTAGGCTTAGGCTTAGGCTTAGGCTTAGGCTTAGGCTTAGGCTTAGGCTTAGGCTTAGGCTTAGGCTTAGGCTTAGGCTTAGGCTTAGGTTTAGGCTTAGGCTTGGGCTTAGGCTTAGGCTTAGGCTTAGGCTTAGGCTTAGGCTTAGGCTTAGGCTTAGGCTTAGGCTTAGGCTTAGGCTTAGGCTTAGGCTTAGGCTTAGGCTTAGGCTTAGGCTTAGGCTTAGGCTTAGGCTTAGGCTTAGGCTTAGGCTTAGGCTTAGGCTTAGGCTTAGGCTTAGGCTTAGGCTTAGGCTTAGGCTTAGGCTTAGGCTTAGGCTTAGGCTTAGGCTTAGGCTTAGGCTTAGGCTTAGGCTTAGGCTTAGGCTTAGGCTTAGGCTTAGGCTTAGGCTTAGGCTTAGGCTTAGGCTTAGGCTTAGGCTTAGGCTTAGGCTTAGGCTTAGGCTTAGGCTTAGGCTTAGGCTTAGGCTTAGGCTTAGGCTTAGGCTTAGGCTTAGGCTTAGGCTTAGGCTTAGGCTTAGGCTTAGGCTTGGGCTTAGGCTTAGGCTTAGGCTTAGGCTTAGGCTTAGGCTTAGGCTTAGGCTTAGGCTTAGGCTTAGGCTTAGGCTTAGGCTTAGGCTTAGGCTTAGGCTT